ATACAACTTAGAATGGCAAACAAGCTGACGGCCCACCTGATGGAAAGTGGTAACAGTCGCCTATAGACATGAGCAGTACCATGGACATAACAGAGTATACTGTTTCGCCCATGATACCCCCCATGCGTTGCCATTCCTGAGGACTCAGGTGTTATTCCTCTCTACCCAGTAAATTCACGCCATATCCCACCCTTCAAACCGAAACACAACTGCTTCACGGTTAAAACACGAATGGGACAGAGGTACCCAAGCAATCGACTTTTGTACAAAGTCTCCCTCTGGTAAATTTATATTTAGGCTGGTTAATGTACGTGACCTTATGGGTAGTGGGTTCGACCCCGAGATTTTTACGCAAGGTCGAAGGACAATAAATGAACAATATTACAGCGCTTTGCTGGCGTTACGCCAAGATCTTGGTTCAGCTGAACGACACATATTAATTTATGTTGGTGCTAGTTGTTACCCGCGGATTTGCTCGTGCCAGTTTAAATGAGTGATTCAGTGTCAGGATGTAATTATAATCGAAAGGGGAATGAAGTGTTGTAGGCAATTAAAGTATACTTTATTTATGTTAATAAATTATTCAAAACAACATATATATATATATTAAATTACAATTCTTGATAGCCTGACCTGTATTATATATATATATATATATATATATATATATATATATATATATATATATATATATATATATATATATATAATACGTCATACTTTAGTCAATTTATTTTCGCAACACTAAAATTACTAAGGAAAAAAGTTTTTGTTATATTGCAATATTTCATTTATATATTCTAGGTAAAGTAAACCACTTACATTTCCCGACCTATCACAGCAATTCTACTAATGAGGTTCTAGCACGAGTGAATGGTATAAAATAAAAAGCTAAAATACTCTATGCTATTTATAATAAAGTACAATTTACTTCGCAACAAACCGGCGAAATGTTTCGTATCTACGTAAATTCTAAATTCAAATATAAAAATAAAAAATATTCAAAAATTTTTAATTTAGAACTCGCAATCGCGTGTTTACGTATAGAGAAATTTTTGAATTTGGAACTCAGAATAGTGTGTTTACGTGTACATAATGTGCGGATCACTTGAGAAACAATATTTATGAAGTTTTAATATAAAGGGTTTTGGTTAAAGACTTACATTAATACAGCACAGATGTAACGACTTGAACACGACTGTAACACGATTATAACACAACTGTAACACGATAATAACACAACTGTAACACGATGATAACACAACTGTAACACGACTGTAACACAACTGTAACACAACTGTAACACGACTGTAACGTGACTGTACAACGACTGTAAAACGACTGACCTGCTCCGGGGTGGACACTCTTATATATAATATATACATACATGTATCATTACCAATACCTTATTGTATGTGTTAATGGCTAATTAACATATTACTGTCAATTAATATTCATGCTAATTTGCTAATTATTATAATTGCTATTGTTAATAATGACAAAATCAATTATATTAGTTTAAAAATTAAATTACTGAACCGATTTCGATAAAATGATTACAAAAGCAATCTATAAGTATGTCCTTTCAGATAGAAAATAGTACATTACTGCAGCGGCCAGCGACTTAGGCATTGATGGACGAACGTGCAAATGTGGGCCGAGGCGTAGCCGAGGCACACATACGTGAGTCCATCAATGCCTAGTTGTGGCCAAGGCTTGTATAGTACTTTTCTCAAGCAATGTGTGGAAATCAAAAACACAATTTTACTTTTTAAGCTCAATGACGAATAACGAACAATAATAATTTTTCACGCGCCATAATGTTGCTTTGTTTTTTTTTTTTTTTCAATAAACATCTTTCTATTTGCAAGCCAGATCGAAATTTAAATAAAACCTTTTATTAGTTACCTCCTTGGTAGCCATGTTTCGAAGTAAAATTCATCCATCATCATGGTCATTCCATTTTTAAATTACAAGACAAATATGAGTTTACATAGTAATTTATCTGGCCGCAAAATATGACAAATATGGATTTTCATACAACTTTTGCCGGCCGCTGCCCGCGTGTATCTGGCCAGTACGGCAAATTTGATTTATCTCTAAGAAGATTGTCAAAATAATGCTCACATTTCCAAGCATGTTTGAGAAAAAGAAGTTTTTAAGTAGGTTTACAACCGACGTAGCTATGAGGGAACAAACATTAAAAAAACCGATTGGGAATCTGCTTCTTTTTAAAGTCGGTTAAAAATTAAATAGCTGTACACTATTTACCTGTTTCTACATTCGTCTAATGGTTTTTGCAACTATGTTACGCGATTACGATAAAGCCCTGTGGTCCCGGCATAGAATGGACCACCCCTTACTTTCCCGTGGGTGTCGTAAGAGGCACTTGCCAATTCACGTGATTTGTTTTCAAATTTACGTGAATTGGCAAGTAAAAGTGAGTACTTAATGATATATAATACTTATTCTACCAGAGGGAGACTTTGTACAAAAGTCGTTTGCTTGGTCACCTCTGTCCCATTCGTGTTTCAATCGTGAAGCAGTTGTGTTTGCATGGCTGTGTATCGACTTGAAGAGTGGGATATGGCAGCGAATTTACAGGGTACAGAGGAATAACACTCGAGTCCTCAGGAATGGCAACGAATGGGGGGTATCATGGGCGAAATAGTATACTCTGTTATGTCCATTGGTACTGCTCATCAGTGGACTGCTTCCATCAGCTTGTTTGCCATTCTAAGTTGTATAAAAAAAAAAAAATAATACCCGCCCACTATGTACTCTTTATTATAACAGATTGTGAATTGTCAATCTTTGTCGGGTGCCCACTATACAGGCTCGCCCACTGTGGGGCCCATCGTATCTTGTATTTGTAACTTTGTTTTTGTCAAATAATAAATTTCTAATTATATTAAATAAATTGCATTTTTTTTTGTTTAAATATAAACGTACATGTATGTGGTTGTATTATTATGTATGTACGGTTACTACTTTTCATCAGGTGGGCCGTCAGCTTGTTTGCCTTTCTAAGTTGGGTAAAAAATCAGTATCGGTGTAACATATATAGTGAATGATATATAAGATTGAAAATCTATATAAAGCGATACCTGACCTAGTGCGGTCAGAGATAGTTGGGACAGTGTTATGCAAACACTCAACATTCTTTTTTACAGTTCCGTACCTATTAATGTGTACTTCAGGTGGGCCGTCAGCTTGTTTGCCATTCTAAGTTGTATATAAAAAAAAGGAAAAAATGGAATCAGTTTGTTGCCCGTCTGTCAAGACCCTTTTTCTTAGGAACGCGTGGAGGTATCAAGTTTAAATTAATATACATATTCACGGTTTGTCAAGACCCTTGTTCTTAGCAACGCGGTGGACGTATCAAGTTGAAATTAATACCACATACTCAACTCTGCAACAAGTCTCTTGAAGCGGTGAAAAAATCAAGCTTCTAAATCGACGCAATCAAAAGATACGGCCGTTTATGTTACATTTATATCGCATGTTTTGACATTCGAAAAGGGAATCAAAACCTTAGGGTGGGTATCTACTTCCCGTTGATGTAGAATCATGAAATTTGGCAAGAAACAATGTCATGTAGCACAAGTAAAGGCGAAAATCCGAAAACCGTAAATTTGTAGTTATTTCACTAAAAAAAAAACTTAATTTTGTACGGAACTCTCGCTGCGCGAGTCTGACACGCACTTGACCGGCTTTTTATAATAATTAAGCATGTGATATTACAACAAATACGTGCAGAAGCAAGATAAATTGTGTTATTCATAAAAACTAAAATATCCTGTAAATACATTTTTACTATTACAGTGTTTTTTTTTTATACAACTTAGAATGGCGAACAAGCTGACGGCCCACCTGATGGAAAGTGGTAACCGTCGCCTATACACATGAGCAGTACCGTGGAAATAATAGAGTATACTGTTTCGCCCATGATACCCCCCATGCGTTGCCATTCCTGAGGACTCAGGTGTTATTCCTCTGTACCCAGTAAATTCACGCCAAACAGTGTTCTGTTACTGTCTTTCAAATTGAAAAATTAACGCAAATACGCAAAAGACAAGGACAAAACACTACTAATAGCTAAAATAGGTTTATGAGAGGTTTGACGTATTTATAAATAAGGGGAGTTAGTCTACAATCCATGAATAGGACCAACACATGAGTTATGGGAACCTCTTGACCCCTTTATGTCGGCTTATTAGCTACATTTTTACAGACTCGTGACGCGGACAAAGTCACGGGAAAAAGTTAGTAATAATATAAGGATAAAAGATTGGGGGGAAAGGGATTGTTAGCGATGGAGTTGGACAACCCTATTGCTAGCAAAATACCCTATTAGGTCGACCTCCGCGTGGCTCCCCCTGGAAACCATTGTGAACAATTCTTGTTGAATTCATAACGACGGGCTAACTGACCTGCTATATATATATATATATATATATATATATATATATATATATATATATATATATATATATATATATATATATATATATATATATATATATATATAATTTATACATATCAATCAATCAATCAATCAAATCAATCAAGAAACACCAATAAAGTAAATAAATGTACGTCAAATTATTCCCTATCGCATAAAATCATCCATCCGCAGGTGTAGCCAGCAAACGCTCGAATAAGCATTTATGGATTGCATTTAAATGTGCTATTGATTCTCACTGGGGTTTCCAGTTTATTTTTTTTTTTATACCACTGAGGTGGCAAACAAGCATACGGCCCACCTGATGGTAAGCGGTTACCGTAGCCTATGAACGCCTGCAATACCAGAGGTATTACGCGCGCGTTGCCGACCCTGAAGAAACCTCTTTACCCCCCTTTTGAAGAACCCCATGCTGTAGTCTCTTGGGAATTCCAGTTTATATCTATAGTTGATTTCAATAGAACTTAATAAAAATCTAAACAAACGAATAGACAGTTCGACCATAGGACTGTCTGGTGATGTCCAACAGTAGTACAGATCGAACATCGATCAATCGATTGAACGTTTAGATTTGCCACTGATTACATTGAGAGTGCCACGTGGTCCCGGCATAGAATGAGCCATCCCTTCCTTTAGAATAGAATAGAATAGAAACATTTATTGCCATACAATTACAATATAAAATATAAATAACATATACAAAAAGTGTCCCATACTCGGCAAAAGGAACCGGCTCAGCTGATGCTGCGAGTGTCCCAGCGCAATGTGAACAGCTGCACAGCGCTGCTTCTCAGCCAGTCCCTCTCTTAACAAAACATAACTAAAGTGAATATTCCGTGGGTGTCGTAAGAGGCAACTAAGAGAACTTATTAGTCGAACGACGAACGGCAGCGCCCCTTTTAAAACATATCCAAAGCCTAAATGCGGTTAGCAATACGCCTGCCAACCGTGGCAACCACTGACAATAAAACCTATATTTGTTCTTGAACTTGTTTCAACTCGTTCTTTTGCGCTAAATTCCCAATTTGAAAGAAAGAGACAAAGCTGTGTAATAGTGAAAATAGATTCGTAGAAGGTTCTAGTTTTTATGAGTTAGGGTTATTTTATGGCATGCAGAAGAACATAGGCTACTTTTTGCCCCTATCAGTCCACATATTCCGGTTACGCAGACGAAGTCGCGTTTAAAAGATAGTTTATTTCAATATTTTTTTTTTAGTTTTTTTTTATCACCTTCATGCCTAAATCTGGTATATTAAAGAGCACCATGACGGAGAAAGTCAAGAAACGGCATTCAATTGTATCGGGAAGGAGCGATTTTTGTAAGTGCACCATGCAGTTATAAGTTTTTCAAGTTCTTTTACAGTAGAATCTCGATTATCCGTAACAAATAAAACCAGGAGTTTTCCGTATAATCGAAAATCCGGATAATTAAAAGTACCCGTAACCGACGAGCGTGTATGACAAGATTGATGAATGTGGAAGAAGTGAAAGAGGTTTGTTTGAATCGAAGCATTTGGCGTTCCATTGTTTCTGCCTACCCTAATGGGAGACAGGCGTGACAGATATGTATGTATGTATGTATGGATTTTAAAGTAACATCGAGCAATAATTAAATTGTTTATTCTTTTATTATGTAAAGGATTTTACGTAAGTCATTTAGACAATAAAAGGGAGATTTTGTACAAAAGTCGTTTGCTTGGCCACCTCTGTCCCATTCGTGTTTCAATCGTAAAGCAGTTGTGTTTGCATGGCTGTGTTTCGGTTTGATGGGTGTAATATGGCGTGAATTTACAGGGTACAGAGGAATAACACCTGAGTCCTAAGGAATTACAACGCATGGGGGGTATCATTGGCGAAACAGTATAGTCTGTTATGTCCATGGTACTGCTCATGTCTATAGGCGACGGTTACCACTTTCCATCAAGTGGGCCGTCAGCTTGTTTGCCATTATCAATTGTATAAAAAAAAACAATAAGGTTTAAAAAATTACGAGCTGTAAAGATAATGGATTACATAACATCCTTTTGCCGGGAAGAGGTCGCTTTTAGCGATAAGGTCGCCCATTGTTTTCTCACTGTGATTATTTCTTATAATAGTTTATATTTATAATAAGTTTACTATTGTAATCTTTAGGAGGAAACAATAAAGAGTAACTATCTATTTATATAATTTATATATAATATCATTTCTAAATCGGTAATTAGAGCCATGAACAATAAGTCCGGATAATCGAATATTCGGATAATTGCTGTTCGGATAATCGGGATTCTACTGTGTTTAGCTGATTTGCCATTTTCAGTTTTATATGAAAAAAATTTAATATTTAATTAATAATTCTTTCACATATTGAAAGCTACATTATCAGCAGGTAATCTAAAGAATCACATATAAAATTATAACATTTTTGTCTGTATGTTCGTGCACGCTAATCTCAGAAACGGCTAAACTCATTAAACGCGGTTTTTACGTTGCGGTTTGCTTCACTTAACATTTAATGTTTGTTTTATTTTAATCGGTTCATAAATAAAAAAAAAGTTATATCAATCTAAAGAATCACATGTAAAATGCTATAAAATAACCGATCATTTGTATTGGCTGAAACTTTATGAAGGTATTAGGTACGTAATTATCATTTAAGTATATAATACAATATAAGACCGGATTCGTGGAGAGTTCCAATTGGAATGATGGGATTATTATATAAAATCGTTAAGTGATCACCATAAATTGCAATTCCAGGGTCGTCGTCCGAAGAGGATGAAGGTGTACAACCCCATGAGAAGGCCATCGCGGCTGGCCAACCCAACCCCCCGTACTGTGTACGCAACGTTGAACAGCATGCGTTCGGCAGGAGAGAGATAGAGATTGCCGAGCAGGAGATGCCTGGTATTATGGCCTTGAGAGCCAGGGCCAAGGATGATAAACCCCTCAAAGATGCCAAGGTAAGGGACATGATATATTTTTATGGAGTCTTAATGAAATGGTAACCACGTCAGATTAGGGGAAAGAGATTGTTAGTAATACAGATTTTTTTTCAATGGATGAAAATGCATTGTCAGCCCGCCTGCGATATCGGTATACACTGGCGGGGCACCAGTGATAGATGACCTATGAGAATGAAAGCAGGTCAAGTAGCACATCGTGACAAATTCAACGATAATCACGATAGTTTCCAGGTGGAACCGCGTGGAGGTCGACCTGATAGGGTATATTGATAGCAATTGGGACTGACCTCCCTATTACAATTCCTTCTTCCTTGATAATGTAGTGGTAACCTCATCGGCATAGGAGGAAGGGTTTGTTAGTAATGCGGACTACCACTCCCATTGCTAGCAATATGACCCTGTTTGGGGGGAAAGGGATTATTAGTAATGGAGACTGAAAATCCCATTGCTAGCAATATATCCAACCAGGTCGACCTCCACGCGGTTCCCCCTGGAAACTATCATGGTTGATTCCTGATGAATTCCTCATGATGGGCTAACTGGCCTGTTTTCATTCTCATCGATCACCCTTCACTGGTGCTCCGCCAGCGAATCCCGTTAGCGCAAAAAAAAAAAATATATATATATATATATCCTGTCACGTCGACTTCCACGAGGTTCCCCTCGAAACCATCGTGCTGAATTCCAGGTAAGGTAAAGTAAAAATAAAAGCAGGTCAGTTGGCCCATACCATAAGGCCAACCCATACAATATCGCAAGGTTACTTTAGTCAGCAAAAAACGTGGTGGAGCGTCTCGCAATTTGTGAGTGTTACAATGCAGCTATAAAATGTTATGGGCCAATGAAAGAATGGTGACTAACCTATTGCCCGTTACTGCATACGTGTGGGTTTCTAACGTGGGATAATCAAAGATCGTATCCCATAAAAAAACTAACTTCAAATGTGCCAAAATTTGTTATTATTATTTAAAAACAAAACTACTGTACCGATCCTATGGGACCAATCTTTTAGTTTATTTATTTATTCATTAGTACATATATGTGTACATGGCGGACTTAATGCTAAAAGCATTCTCTCCCAGTCAACCATAGGCAAGTGTCAGAATACTCGAATGCGGTACTAGTAATTATTGATATACATACATACAAAAATTACATATATAAACGTATGAAAAAAATATATATAAATAACTATGAATAATATTTTTACTTACACATATAAGAAAGTATAATAAAAGAGTTAAATTCAGTAAATATCAAGTGTATTTAAATAATTATTAATATAAATAACGTTATATTTTTTTTTACAACACAGGGGGCAAACGAGCATGCGGCTCACTTGTTGGTAAGTGACTACCGCCGCCCATGGTCACCCACAACACCAGCGGCATTGCGGGCAATTTTGCTGCCGTTAATGTGGAAGTAAAAGGCCATTTTTATTAAAAAGGAATATAGCTCTTTTTTCTTGAAGGTTATGTTGTCGTATCGTTTAATGCACTGGAACGAAATACTGCCACTGTGGAAGTTGATTCCAAAGAGTGGTTGTGCGTGGGAGAAAGTGCCTTGAAAAACGCACGGTGGAGGACCGCCACTCGTCCAGATGGTTGGGATGAAATTTTAGTTTATGGCGGGTTTATACAGTATCTTGAAAGTTTCAAATAAACTTGTTTTAATGAATACGGGGGGGGGGGGGGCTCGTCGACCTCCAAAATTAGTTTTCGTTTATGTCGAACTCTTGCGAAACCGATTTCGAGCCTAAGGGATCCATATCGACGACTCTAGCTATCCCTCATTTAGAAGGTCTGTAGGTTTAGGTGCAGTCTCACGTGCAGTGCTACGTCTGATTCGGTTTATATAATTTTATTTTATTTTATAGATAGTAGGATGCACACATATAAACGCACAGACGGCCGTATTGATAGAGACGCTGGCGGCCCTCGGCGCTACGGTCCGCTGGGCGGCGTGCAACATCTACAGCACGCAGAACGAGGTGGCGGCCGCACTGGCACATGCAGGTCTGTAATATTTCATCATCATCATCAGTGTGATCAGCGCTCAGCAGGCGGATTGGCAACTGATGTTTTAAGAGGGACGCTGCTGCCCATTCCCTGACTTTTTTTTATACAACTTTAAATGGCAAACAAGCTGACGGCCCACCTTATGGAAAGTGGTAACCGTCGCCTATAGACATGAGCAGTACCGTGGAAATAACAGAGTATACTGTTTCGCCCGTGATACCCCCCATGCGTTGCCATTCCTGAGGACTCAGGTGTTATTCCTCTGTACCCAGTAAATTCACGCCATATCCCACCCTTCAAACCGAAACAGAGCCATGCAAACACAACTGCTTCACGGTAGAAACACGAATGGTCGCCTCTTACGACACCCACGGGAAATGAAGGCGTGGCCTATTCTATGCCGGAACCACACTGTAATAATTAGTGTTCCATAAAAAATAAATTGATTTAAAAACTAAACTATAGAATCAATTTTGATAAAATTTCTATGAGTCTATAAGTGTATTCTTTTAGATAAAGAGAGAATTTTTCAAAATTTTTTTATGGGTGAAAATGGTATGGTAACCCCGCCTGCGCTAACGGGATACGCTGGCGGAGCACCAGTGAAGGGTGATAGTGAGAATGAAAACAGGCCAGTTAGCACATCTTGATGAATTCATCAGGAATTAACCATGATAGTTTTCAGTAAGAACCGCGAGGAGGTCGACCTGGTTGGGTATATTGCTAGCAATGAGATTCTCAGTCTCCATTACTAACAATCCCTTTCCTCCCTTTTCCAAATAGGTTTTATGTGTACAACTGACACTGGAAAATAATGCTGCATAAAAATCAGTTTTTAAAATTCACGTCTGTCATTTTGTCCACGCACGTTTTGTGACGTACGTCTCACCTCTAAACGAGTTATCTTTAAATTATTAGGCAGTCGGAAATTGATGTCTGATACGGAAGGTCAATCTTCGAGTGTTGGCAGTCGCACACATACTAATGGTAGCGGAATTAAACAAAATAATTCTGGTATAAACAAATAACCAGTGATATCTCTCGATTATTTAAGACGTTCACAAGATAACTGGACTATTATATTTGTATATGTGTCTCTCATTAATAGTGCCAGCGATGAACGTCAACGATTCAGTGACAAAAACCAAGTTCGACAACCTGTACTCGTGTCGGTGAGTATGTACCCTAGGGTTCCCTACGAGAAAGGACCCTACACTCGTGTCGTTTGCACTATTTTACATTAGATTAGATTTGTTTATTTACCAGACTATTGATGGACGATTGTGTACAAATGTTCGCCTTATAGTCTAAGGCGCAAAATTATTATTGGGTACAAGATACATTACATTGAGTCCATCAATAACCCTATATTCCTAGTTGTACCCTTTTAGGGTTCTCAATGAGGCTTGTAATGTCATTTCCATGAGGAAGAAAAATTTTTAAATTACAGGACAGAATCTGGTTTAATGAGTTGTACTCTCTTAGGGTTTTTTTTTTGAGTGAAAATCTATCTGGCCGCAAAACACGACAGATATGAGATTTTCATACAACTGATTTGACTACCGGCCGCTGCCCGCATTGTCTCTAAGAAGATTGTCAAAATAATGCTCACATTTCCAAGCATGTTTGAAATGAAATGAAATGAAATTTATTTGAGAAAAAGTCTTTGGTATTTTTCAACAGCATACCATTTGTTATAAGAATTTTTTTCTTAAATGACCCGGACAGGCTTCGCGATCTTCGCGTGGCGCGGCGAGAGCGAGGAGGCGTTCTGGTGGTGCATAGACCAGTGCTGTACGCCGGCGGCGGGCTGGCAGCCCAACATGATCCTGGACGACGGCGGCGATGCCACACACCTCATGCTGAAGAAGCACGCCGCAGCCTTCAAACATATAAAAGGTATTTTTTCTTACACTTAGGCGACGTGCTGAAGGTGGGCCAAATTAAAAGTTTATTTTAGTTGTATTACGTAATTTTTTTATACAACTTAGAATGGCAAACAAGCTGACGGCCCACCTGATGGAAAGTGGTAACCGTCGCCTATACACATGAGCAGTACCATGGACATAACAGAGTATACTGTTTCGCCCATGATACCCCCCATGCGTTGCCATTCTAACTGAGGACTCGGGTGTTATTCCTCTGCCCCGGTGTGTAAATTCACTGCCATATCCCGAACCCTTCAAACCGAAACACAGCCATGCAAACACAACTGCTTCCACGGTAGAAACACGAATGGGACAGAGGATCGGATGCACCAGAGCAGTCTTCCAAAACTTTGGGACTATGCCCGAAAGCTCCGGTATAAGAACCGGAGACTCTTTTGGAGGTATCAGGCCCACTCGAATGGATTTCGAGGGAGAAAAGTGCTCTACGCACTGAGCTATGCGTGAATTTAATGTCAGGCATAAGACGTGATGGTCGGTGGTGGTTTTTATAAGATTTCAAAGATGGATGAATCGGCCTTTTCTTTAGCGATTTATCTCTCGATTATTTAAGATTGCGTTTCCAAAAAAAATCCCAATACAATGATTCTATTGATAATGATTTATCTGGACTATTATATTTGTATATGTGTCTCTCTCACACGCAGGTATAGTGGAGGAGAGTGTGACGGGTGTCCACAGACTGTACCAGTTGAGTAAAGCTGGCAAATTGTGCGTGCCAGCGATGAACGTCAACGATTCAGTGACAAAAACCAAGTTCGACAACCTGTACTCGTGTCGGTGAGTATGTACCCTAGGGTTCCCTACGAGAAAGGACCCTACACTCGTGTCGTTTGCACTATTTTAGATTAGATTAGATTTGTTTATTTGCCAGAACATTGTTTTTTACAGATATTGATCCATTGTGAAGTACAAATGGTTCGCCTTATAGTCTAAAGCATGCAAAATTATTATTGGGTATAAGATACATTACATCACACGCACAACGGCCCAAATGAGAGGCTAAGTGCGGAAAACAGAGTCTTTCTTACATTACATTCTTACAAGATACATTACATTAGAGTTCCCTACGGAAAAGAACCCTATATTCGTATCGATGAGTTCGTACCCTTTTAGGGTTCTCAATGAGAAAGCATTCTATACTCATATAGTTTGTACACTTTTAAGGTACTCCACGAGGAAGAAAAATGAACTCATATTGATGAGTTTGTACCCTTTTAGGGTTACATATGAGATAGGAATCTGGTTTAATGGCGATAAGTTTGTACTCTCTTAGGGTTTTTTTTTTGATGGGTGAAAATGGTATGGTAACCCCGCCTGCGCTAACGGGATACGCTGGCGGAGCACCAGTGAAGGGTGATAGATGAGAATGAAAACAGGCAGCAGTTAGCACATCATGATGAATTCATCAAGAATTAACCATGATAGTTTCCAGGGGGAACCGCGAGGAGGTCGACCTGGTTGGGTATATTGCTAGCAATGGGATTCTTAGTCTCCGTTACTAACAATCCCTTTCCCCCACTCTCTTAGGGTCGCAAGTTATTTTTACATAATAAAGGGATCGCGTCATGAAAAAGATTGAAAAACACTGCTATAAAGATTCCGTTTTTTCTTTTGAAAGTGTGGAATCCTAAAAATAATCTAATTAAATATTATAGTAAATAAATATAACATACGCATATATTTTTAATTAACAGGGAAAGCATAATAGACGCTTTAAAGCGCAGTACGGACTTGATGTTCGGCGGGAAACAGTCGGTCGTGTGCGGCTACGGTGAAGTCGGGAAGGGGTGCTGTCAAGCGCTTAAAGCGCTCGGTTGTGTGGTGAGTGTTTATAATATATTTTTTATAGATGTGAAAAAGGGGGCGCTGTCAAGCGCTTAAAGCGCTTGATTGTGTGATGAGTGCTTATAATCCGTGCAAATATTATAAAGAGGGAAGATTTGAATTTTCTGTTTTTTTTTCTATGCACCTTAGAATGGCAAACAAGCTGACGGCTCACCTGATGGAAAGTGGTAACCGTCGCCTATAGACATGAGCAGTACCATGGACATAGCAGAGTATACTGTTTCGCCCATGATACCCGCCATGCATTGCCATTCCTGAAGACTCAGGTGTTATTTCTATGTACCCTGTAAGTTCACGCCATATCCAACCTTTTAAACCGAAACACAGCCATGCAAACACAACTGCTTCACAGTAGAAACACGAATGGGACAGAGGTACCCAAGCAAATAACTTTTGTACGAAGTCTCCCTCTGGTATCTATTAGATTATACATGTGTATATATATATATACATAATTTTATTTGTTTAACAGTTTTAAATGTGTTTTTATTCGTTGCTTGTAGGTGTATGTAACAGAAATCGATCCCATATGCGCGCTACAGGCCGCCATGGATGGCTTTAGGGTTGTCAAATTGAATGAAGTAAGTATATATTTGTGTATGTTTCTTGTATAGCTCGCTCCATTCTAGAGTCATTTTTTTTGCTAATTGTTTACTTTGACTGTGTGTTTAATCCTCTGTCTGTATAATCTGTGGTAGGATATTATAAAGCAATATCTATATATCTATATTTTTGTTATAATATGTGTATATTGGTCCAGTAACGAATATCTCAAAAGTCTAATATCCAAAAAAAAAAAAAAACAATAATGAATAACAGACTTTTAACATATTCGAAAATAGATATCGGACCGATATGGGCGATATCGAAACGGGCGATGACCTTTTTACCACCATCAGTGTACAGAGGAACCCAATATATAGATATCGGACCGGTATCCGTATTACGAGGGATAGGCTGCTGCCTATCCTGCGTTAAACACATCTAAAAGCCTAATTGCAGTTGCCAACCCACTTGCCAAGTTAACTACTGGCAAAACTCCCCTTACGGGGCAGACTTATGTCCAGCAGTGGACAGTTAACGGCTGAATTATTTAAAAAAAAATCCATGCCTACTAGATATGCTATAGAAGATTTAGGACAAAAATTTCCTAAACTGTAAATTAAAAAGCCCCTTTTGTTTAGGTAATAAGGCAAGTGGACATAGTGATAACAGCGACGGGCAATAAGGGCGTGGTCACACGCGAGCACATGGAGCGCATGAAGAACGGCTGCGTGGTGTGCAACATGGGCCACAGCAACACCGAGGTGGACGTGCACGCGCTGCGGACGCCAGACCTGCTCTGGGAGAGGGTACGCAGCCAGGTCAGTCATCTAACGAGCTGTTGATGTTTCCCCGCCATTATACACACACACATACGCACACGCACACGCACACGCACATGCGCACACACACACGCACACGCACACGCACGCACACACACACGCACATGCGCACACGCACATGCGCACACGCACACGCGCACACGCACACGCACACGCACACGGACATGCGCACACGCACACGCACACGCACACGCACACGCACACGCACACGCACACGCACACGCACACGCGCACACGCATACGGATACGTACACGCACATGCACATGCACATGCGCACACGCACACGCACACGCACTTGCACTCTCGCACACGCATACGGGTATGTACACGCACACGCACATGCACATGCGCACACGCACACGCACACGCACTTGCACTCGCGCACACGCATACGGATATGTACACGCACACGCACACGCATCGCACATTCACACACGCACACGCGCGTTTAAAAAAAGATAAAAATTAAATGGTTCCTATGCAAAGGGCGGAAAATGGTAGAGTATCAATGGAGGACGAATAGCGAGGGATAATTTTTTTTAATGGGTGAAAATGGAATAGTAACCCCACTTACGCTAACGGTATACGCTGGCGAGGCACCAGTGAGGGATGATAGGTGAGACTGAAAACGTAGGTCAGTTAGCTCATCGTGACGAATTACACTAGAATTAACCATGATGGTTTCCAGGAGAAACCGCGTGGAGGTCGACCTGGCCCTATATTGCCAGCAATGCGGCTATTAAGACCTCATTACTAACAAACCTTTCTCCACACCTATTGCTAGTTGACACAACATCTGCGTTTACGATGGTTAAATATACACATACTAGAGGGAGACTTTGTACAAAAGTCGTTTACTTGGGTACCTCTGTCCCATTCGTGTTTCTATCGTAAAGCAGTCATGTGTGTGTCAAGTGTTTGCATGGCTGTGTTTCGGTTTGAAGGGTGCGATATGGCAGTGAATTTACACGGTACAGAGGAATAACACCCGAGTCCTCAGGAATGACAACGCATGGGGGGTATCATGGGCGAAAGAGTACACTCTGTTATGTCCACGGTACCGTTCAAGTCTATAGGCGACGGTTACCGCTCACCATCAGGTGGGCCGTCAGCTTGGTCGCCATTCTAAGTTGGGTAAAAAAAATACACTCTTATTTGCAATTCCAGGTGGATCACATAATTTGGCCTAATGGTAAACGTATAGTGTTGCTGGCGGAGGGACGGCTCGCCAACTTGTGCTGCTCCTCGCTGCCGTCGTTCGTGGTGTCCGTCACGGCCGCCACGCAAGCCCTGGCGCTCATAGAGCTGTACAACGCACCGCAACATCGGTACAAGGTGGGCGGACATTACCATAAACAATATTCACTGTGATGTTTTGTTTTTTTTTTCTTTATTTTTTTTTTTTATACATGTGGCTTTGTTGGTACATCACTAATACATAGGTGTGCTTAGAGGAATTATTCAATATTTATTTATTTATTTATTAGTACAAATATGTGTACATGGCGGACTTAATGCTAGAAGCATTCTCTCCCAGTCAACCGTAGGCAAGTGTCAGAATACTCGAATGCGGTACTAGTAATTATTGATATACATACATACTAAAATTACATATATATATACACGAATAAATATATATGAATAACAAATATACTTACACATATATGACATATACTATATTATACACGAATTTGGGAATAATATAAAGCACTTACTGCTCGGATAAAGATAAAAAGTGAGTGTGAACGCTTTTTTTTGAAAGACGGTTTAGTCGGTAGTCTCTTAATGGCATCAGGAAGCGCGTTCCAGAGTCGTGAAGAATGTAGGAGAAAAGAGTTTGAAGCGTAACTAGTACGGTGAGAGGGGAAAGATAATTGGAGAGTGTTATTGGAACGAAGGTTACGTTCGTGAGTTTCGAAAATATCTAATCTCTGAAACGGCTTAACCGATTTTAATAGTATGCTAGGAAAGGGGAGAAAACTGTGTAAACATAAATATATATATACTATATATATAAATATATATATACTATATATATATGTAAATAATATTTTTCATTATTATTCTTTCACCCGTTAACTGTCCACTGCTGGACATAAGCCTTCCCCATAAGGGGAGTTTTGCCAGTAGTCGCCACGCTTGACAGGCGAGTTGGCAACCGCAGTTAGTCTTTGGAGATGTTTTAAGAGAGACGCTGCTGTCCATCCCTCGCCCTCCCTTAGTCGCCTCTTACGACGTCCATGGGAAAGGAAGGGGTGTTTACATGGTTGTTTACTTGGCTGTGTTTGGGGTGAATATGGCAATAGAATTACAGGATACGTAGGCATAACCATAACCGATCATAGTTTACAAGCAAAGCAATGCATTATTCATTTAGTGTCACTGGCCACTGTACTGTTCCGATTAGTCTAAACAAATAAAAAAGTAACATATTTTTTTTTTCACAGGCCGACGTGTATTTATTGCCGAAAAAAATGGACGAGTACGTAGCCAGTTTGCATCTGCCCACTTTCGACGCGCATCTAACAGAGCTGACCGACGAGCAAGCCAAATATTTAGGTCTCAACAAGGTCGGCCCATTTAAACCTAATTATTACAGATACTAGCATAAAATAGTATATCCAAATAACAATACGTGTAAAACAAGACACAATAGAAGGTGAAACGCAGCGATAATGAAGTTGTAACGTCAGAAACGCAACGGGTACGCACCGATAACGCACGGAAACGCAGTGAGAGTTATATATTGGTACTGAGTTATATGTTGGTTGCGTTGCGTTAAGTTAAAACCAAACGGACTAAGTCACTTGTGTATTGTTAATTTTAGTATTGTGTAAGCTTTATATAAACCGCTTTCGATGGTGTTCTGACAAAATAGCAGGCTTTGATATTGTTCACGAATGTTAATATATTGTAAGTGTGTAAGTGATTAACTTTATAAGTTTTCGTAATGCACCAAGATTTAATTTTTGTATTAACAGATTTTACACAATTTTTTTTTTAGTACAATATATCACAAAATAGGCCTTAGGCGCTAGACTGTCGGACTTTGACGTTAATATTAGATAGTACGGTCAAGTGGTTTCAAATATGATACAAATACACATAAGAGCATGGAAATTTAAAATAATAGTTCCTCATTCTTCTACCAGTAGGAGAACGTAGGAGTAGGAGGAAACGCCCTTAATAACATTTTGTCCTTATTATTTTGCCTTCAATAAAAAGAGATAAATCAACTTATATCTGAAGGATTAAAAACCCTGCCACACATAAATCATAAAGGGACTTATTTTGTATAAACCACGGATGTAAATGTACCACCGCGTTAATATTACGCCTTCAATGCGAGAGGCATATTGAACTTGGCGAGATATGCAAGGTAAATCCTATTATTGATAAGTGTAAGATGGGCATTTTAACTCCACTGATGTGTGCCATAGATTCGTTAATGTCTTTTAAATTGGATTTTGAAACGACGACTAGAGAGATGTTTTCAAATCGACTATTATTATTTTTTATGTTACTCGATTACGTCGTCAATATAGAACCGATTTTTAATTTTTTTTGCGACTTTAATCCCGTGTAGATCTTTTGGAATCGATACAATCGAAATTCTTTTTGAGATCGTTAGGGTTTAACTCCCGTGTTGATTCCATTTTGATTCTGTGACGATTGAAGCCGAAATTTTTCTTTGCGGAGCGAATCCTGCTTGTTGAAGGAAATTTACTTGTTCATACACGAGACGCTGTTTACCTATACTAATATTATAAAGAGGAATAATTTGATTGTTTGTTTGTTTCTAATGGAATGAAATTTTTTAGAAACTACTATAATTAAAAAAAAAACCCAATATAGAAAGCTTCGTTACCAGTGAGTAACTTATATTAGTTAATTTTAAACTTTCACATTGTTTACATATATTTTAAATACACAATCGCGACTTAACGCGATGTAAAAGCCTTTACAGGTAAACAGTACCTACATGCCTGCTTCTTTATTTCCGACTTTTCCACATAGATTATATCACGTCGTGGTCACGACAGGACAGAAATGAGCGGTGTCTTCGTCTAGCAGCCCTTGTAGAGCTGCTAGACGAAGCTAGAGTCCCGATTGTGGATTTACAATAACTTATATTATTTTCGAAAATTCTGTCCGTGCAAAGCCGGGTTGGATCGCTAGTCGATTATTAGAATATGAAAATGTATTTTATTTATTAATTTATTACTTGTAAAATTAAACATGTTAATATAATATAACGGAGCATAAAAGTAATAAAACAAGATAATTCCAATGTTTATTATTTTACATTAAAATATATAATCAGTATCGTGATATTACAGATATCCTGATATTCTATTGATATTGTCTTATTTGTTTTTTTTTTTAATATAACGCAAATTTAATATAAATAGTTTTTTTTATATTAAACTTACCAGGTTGAAGAATTTAATCTTTCGACAGCTCGATCTGGTAGCTGGCGGAAGTTACTTTTTTTTTAATCCAGTATATTTTAAGATACTCAAATACAGAGTTACCATTTATTAATGTATTAATTTGTAAATTAAACTGTAGTAATTGTATCTTATGTTAAAAAAATTGCGTTATTTTCGTGCATTATATAATGCAAAAGCATAAATAGAAATATTTTTTGTTGAATCAACAAAGTTTTATGTTGAAAAATGTCTTTTATTATCTAATAAATGTATCTGATACCAAAATTGATTCTATTTAAGTTGTATATAATTTTAATTTAATACAAAATGTTATATCTCATTTATTAACTGAGTTTTATGTTGTAATAATTCTTTATCGACAAATATACATATTGTATTTAGTATTAATATGGTATTAAAGCAGTTTTTTAGTATTTAAAAATATCATACAATTAATTAGATATTTTTAATAGAAGAATTGGTTAATTGGAAAGAGTATACCAATGTGCGGTTTGTGTGCGATAATTTAACAAATACAATTAAATAAAATTTCCTTTAGGACAATTGTTTAGAATTATAAATTAACATTCTATTTGGTATACCCGTTTCGATTAATCAGATAATAACGCAAAAATTAGCAATACTGAGTTTACTGAGTTAAATGTTGGATGCACTGAGTTATGTTGCGTTATTCATTTAAGAATATTAAGCACATGTAATGCCGTTTTCGAGATAACTGATATGCTCACAAGCGTTTATTCAACACACACCCTTATTGTGTTGCAGTAAAGTTCAAAATAGGTGTGTTTAACTAGATATTATGTTTATGCTTCTCTTAGTGTTGGCCTAAAAGGAAGATTTGCGTGTAGGACATTTCAGTATTCACAAATTGTCGTTTTGTTCTTATATTTACGTGTAAAGAAGCTTGAGTCTTACAGACAAACGACTGCTCATATGAGAGTGGCGCCCTCTGGTGTTAAAGGTTTCTGTAACGAACTTGTAATAATATTTACTAGATGAGTTACAATCGAATGTATCGATATATACGACAGACACGTTTTCGTTACCGCATACATAAGATAAAACGAGACGGCAACGTTTGGCGTTTTATAACAACTAACGCTATCTCTTATTAAGTAGCGCATTCTAGAATTTTCTGCAGGCATTCTCTTGTTAAAACATGACTAATAAGGAGTATTGAGGGAGACTTTGTACAAATCGTGTTTGCTTGGACACCTCTGTCCCATTCGTGTTTCAACCGTGAAGCAGTTGTGTTTGCATGGCTGTGTTTCGGTTTGAAGGGTGGGATATGGCAGTGAGTTTACAGGGTACAGAGGAATAACACCTGAGTCCTCAGGAATGGCAACGCATGGGGAATCTAATATTAATATCAATCTAAACTATTGGCAATGATAAATTTGTACTGCACTCATAAAATAACAGTTAGGTTAGATTTGGGATCGGTTTACAATAGTTTGCATTGGCAAGATGCACTAATATGCATCTAAAAGAACAATATGGAATCATTATGTCGCTAGTGTTGCAATTCGAGAGTGCGAAACGTTTCAATTCGAATATAGATTTCTTTTTTTTTTCTGCGCTAACATGAATGAAAATAGGCCAGTCGGCCCATCATGATGAATTCATCAGGAATTAATCATGATAGTTTCCAGGGGGAACCATGTGGAGGTCGACCTGGTTGGATATATTGTTTTTTTTGATGGGTGAAAATGGTATGGTAGCCCCGCCCGCGCTAACGGGATACGCCAGCGGAGCACCAGTGAAGGGTGATAGATGAGAATGAAAACAGGCCAGTTAGCCCATCGTGATGAATTCATCAGGAATTAACCATGATAGTTTCCAGGGGGAACCGCTAGGTGGTCGACCTGGTTGGGTATATTGCTAGCAATGGGATTCTCAGTCTCCATTACTAACAATCCCTTTCCCCCCTATATCGATCTATTGGAATTTATTTCAAGAGTAACCTCACAGATGGCGCCACTCTAATACGAATGATAATTGTAATATGTTTATTACGTATGCGGCGTAGCCTATTCCTTTGCGGTCCATGATGAATACCGTGTCTTTAGGTATTTAACACCAATACCAGAACTCATTGGCGTGTTTAAGATGATTTTCCAAGGGGGGAGGGGGCTTTAAAAAATACATAATGTACTCTCAGACATGTCTTTGTAGTTGAAAGTTTATTTCTAATCCTGGAGTGGGCACTAGACCACTCCGGGGTGGGCACGGCCCGCCCGTCCCCGCCTTAAATACGCCTGTGGCCAAAGTTGTTGACGATTTTTGACAATTGTACATAAATAGTTGAAAGTTACCGAAGTTGTAGTTAGACGTTAAGTTTTATGTTAGGAACGCGTTGATAAAACGGTTATTTTTTTAATCGACTGCCGAAAAGAGGAGTGTCTCGTTTCGTTTGATGTTTTTTGTTACGCGATTACGTCATAAATAAAGATTTTGATTATTCTCTGTGCAATCGATAGGGTATGTAAGTATGGGTAGTATCTGTACCGCTGCGCTGTGCTGTATCTATATATTGGGTTACTCTGGACATTGATGGCGGGAAAATTAAAATCATATATATATGCACAATGGCCCAAATGAGTCTTTTTCACAATATATATATATATATATATATATATATATATATATATATATATATATATATATATATATATATATATATATATATATATATATATATATATATATATATATATATATATATATATATATATATATATATATATATATATATATATATATATATATATATATATATATATATATATATATATATATATATATATATATATATATATATATATATATATATATATATATATATATATATATATATATATATATATATTCCGCGAAGGTCGTTGAAAAAAATCCACATGTCCAAAATGCCTGTCATTTCTGTGAAAGTATACTTGCTTAAACTTGCTTCTGGAAGTTCCATACACACGGAATCCCATATCACTGATAAGTTCAAAATCTTACTTTATTTTGTACCAGAGGGAGACTTTGTACAAAAGTCGTTTGCTTGGCCACCTCTGTCCCATTCGTGTTTCTACCGTAAAGTAGTTGTGTTTGCATGGTTGTGTTTCGGTTTGACGGGTGGGATATGGCAGTGAATTTACAGGGTACAGAGGAATAACACCCGAGTCCTCAGGAATGGCAACGCATGGGGGGTATCACGGGCGAAACAGTATACTCTGTTATGTCCACGGTACTGCTCATGTCTATAGGCGACGGTAACTGCGTCACGGTAGAAACACGAATGGGACAGAGGTGGCCAAGCAAACGACTTTTGTACAAAGTCTCCCTCTGGTTATATGACAGATGACAGTGGATTGACAGTAAATATATTTTCAAATCATTATTGGATTATTAAAAAAATGCATTTAAGTCAAGCCGATTTCCATACAAAGCGCTTACCCAATTAGTAGTTGCCAGTCGATTATCGATAATCATTTTAATCGAATCATTCATTCCACTAGACGCTTCATCACGGTGGTCTTGTGATTTGTGAATGAAATTTGTTGGACTTTGTAGCATATCAATTTATGTAGATGCAACTATGGTTACCTATCTGTCACTGGCCAGTTACACTTACCATAGATGCCATTCTATATCTAAATAAAAAATTCTGTCTATTTTCTCCTTTGAACAATTCGTAATCTTATTTTTTTTTTTCTCCTAAATATCTTCAAAACAAATGACACGGACTCTATTTATCATAAAGAAATTAAATCGATTTTACAAAATTTTCGAACTTCTACTTTTGTATGGATTTATTTTAAAATAATTTTTTTGAATTCTATTTTAAACCAAATATGTTGTTCGCGTGTTGTACTAATTTTGTACCCGTACTTTTGGGAGTCGATTAAAAAATAAATGTAAATTTGTCCAGCGGCGGATTAATGCTCCGGGTCAGACCTCTGATTGGGTGATAGGGGGGGGGGGGGGGGGGGGGGGGGGGGGGGGCAAGTTCACTTGTAAAACATTTTAGCTAAATAAACATGTGAACTGAATTAAAAGCTTTCAATATTACATCAACCTCTTAAATTGGGGGCGGTGTTCAGCTCCATCTCCCCGGCCCTCTGTCGGCCCTAGTCCGCCTCTGTTCTTGTCACGAACGAATCGAAACATCGTTGCATCGATGCGACCACCACGTTAGTAAATAAAGTTGCTTGTCACGGCAAAAATATCAATTATAGTGGGAATTAAAAAAAAAAAAAAAAAACAATTTAGCAAATGTACATAATGTCTTAGTATGTGATAACAATTATGTAGTATGTACAATTTGAGTTGGAATGACATGTTTACGCAAGAATTTTGTTTTATTAAACAAAATAAACAAACCCTTAATTGTACCAGTGACTTTGTGCAAAAGTCGTCATTTTGTTTTTTACTACACAGCGGGCAAACGAGCACGCGGCTCACCTGGTGGTAAGTGACTACCGCCGCCCATGATCACCCACAACATTAGAGGCATAGCAGGTGTGTGTGCCGGCCTTTTAAAAAGGAATATGCTCTTTTCTTGAAGGTTATGTTGTCGTATCGGTTCGGAAATATTGCTGCTGGAAGTTGATTCCAAAGAGTGGTTGTGCGTGGGAGAAAGTGCCTTGAAAAATGCACGGTGGAGGACCGCCACTCGTCGAGATGGTTGGGTTGAAATTTTAGTTTATAGGTGGGGACCTCAGTCCCATTCGTGTTTCTGCTGTGAAGTATTTTTTTTTTAATGGAATAGAAACCCACTATGCGCTGTCGTAAGAGACGACTAAGGGAACTTAACAGTCGAGGGATGGGCAGCAGCGTCCCTATTAAAATATCAAAGCCTAACTGCGGTTGCTAACCCGCCTGCCAAGAGTGGCAACTACTGGCAAACCTTCCAAGGGGGAGGCTTATGTTCATCAGTGGACAGTTAAAGGCTGATATGGTGATGACGAAAACCATCTACAAACCTATTTTAACCCTTCTTTGTATGATTTTTTTTATTGGTCAAATAAATCAAGGTGATATAATTCATGTTCAAAATTAAAGGAAAAATGGTTAAAGAAATAAATTTGACAGCTATGTTTTTTTTTTCTGCAATGGACATTAAAAATGTGTCCAGACACGATCAACTTAAAGTGAACTTGTTCTTTTATATAATTTTTGTGCATTCAATGTTATGATGGAAATGTCCACCATTATGCAAAGAAGGGTTAACTATTCCACTGTTTTGCCACTTTAATTTTAAATGAGAATTTAACACAAAAGAAAGAGATAAAACAGTTTCATAGATTTTTTAGTGGATGATAATGGAATGGTAGCCCCGCCTGTGCTATCGGTATACGCTGGCGGGGCACCAGTAAGGGATGATAGGTGAGAATGAAAAGGCAGGTCAGTTAGCCCATCGTGATGGATACACCTGACATTCAGCACGATGGTTTCCAGGGGGGACCACGGGGAGGTCGACCTGACCTACCTATATACCCTATATTGCTAGCATATTACTACCATATTACTAACAATCCCTCCCCCCACAGTTTAATAGTTAAAATAGGTTTATGAGACGGTTTGACGTTTATGAATAAGAAGGCATATGTTAAGATTCAAGCGGACGAAGCCGCGGAATACAGGTAGTATACAATAATGTGTCTTTATGAACAAACATACGTACAATTCTTAATAAAAATATTGTTATTTATCTCCATTAAAACATTGTTTACGGCCTTATCATTTGATTGTAATGATAAAATTTGTTAATATCATTAAAATCGTAGAATATCCACCATTATAGTGAGACGCCTCTAGTGAGAGCTATCCAGTTGAGGAAAATTGAAAAAATAATGAGCTGGTAAGTGGAATTTTTAATTATTTATTATTATAATTATTGAAACTTAAAGTATATTTTATAAAATATGAAAAGAGCCATCTATCATCAAATGGTGAAACTATTATAAAAAAGTTGAGAGTAAAATGTTCGTTTAAAAGTTGGAATCCCTGCTATTGTGTTAATTAAAATAAACTAGTGGTTGTACAGTGGTCAAAATTCAACCATAACATAATATTGTAATAAATGTATTTACTATGGTTACGTTTGACATTCAGTAAGACTATAGACAAATAATATTAACAGATAAACAATATTGATCTATTCTCAATTCGACCGCAGACTTTAACAATAAACAAAAGTATATATAAGCGTGTGTGTATAATGTTATTTTTATTGATGTAATATATTTTTTTTTATACATATTGGCAAAACCAGTTGTTTTGATTTAAAAACTAAACTTTTTTTTATGCAACTTAGAATGGCAAACAAGCTGACGGCCCACCTGATGGAAAGTGGTAACCGTCGCTTATAGACATGAGACATGCGACGGTTATCACTTTCCATCAGGTGGGCCGTCAGCTTGTTTGCCATTCTAAGTTGTAGAAAAAAAAAATAAAAAAAAACATTAGAAACAGATTTATACACATTTTTACATATATATATATATATATATATATATATATATATATATATATATAACAGGAATGTCTAGTGTTTATAATTTTTTTTAAAGACACCATAACTCTGCAATTATTAAATATGGCATTCTCTACCAGGTGGCGTTCTCTATTAGGTGAAAACAGAAAGCGTATGAAGGGCAGATGTGGTGAAAAATATGTGACATATATATTACATAATATATATATATATATATATATATATATATATATATATATATATATATATATATATATATATATATATATATATATATATATATATGTATACACCTATACAGGTATTTTTTTATGGGTGATAATGGAATGGTAACCCCACCCACGCTACCGGTATACACCGGCGGGGCACCAGTGAAGGATGATAGATGAGGATGAAAGCAGGTCAATTAGCCCATCGTGACGAATTCAACGAGAATTGTTCACGATGGTTTCCAGAGGGAACCACGTGGAGGTTGACCTGATAGAGCATATTGCTAGCAATGGGGCTGTCAAACTCCATTGCTAACAATCCCTTTCCCCCCATACCTATACAGGTGGGCAGTTAACGCATTTGCCATTCTAAGTTGCAAAAAAATTTTACGTCAAAATGAGTTGCACTTAATTAAAATAATATATTATTTTATATATAAAAGCAAATTATTATATATACACGCCGTTTAATCTCGGCCTTATTCTAGGCCATCCGTTCCTTTGTTCTTCTTCCTTATAGTGGGGAAAAGGGTAGGAGCGTTCCTCTAAAAATAAAACCAGAAGTTAAACGTTTGTTCCGTTTGGAACAGGCTGTCATGCTGCCTAGTCTTCAAAAAGATAATTTGTCTGGAATCCAGAAGTTAAACTGCGGTTGTCAACCCGCCTCCCGAACGTGACAACTACTGTCAAAACTCCCTTTTTCCTTAGCCTGTTACGGAACAATACGTTTGTTCCGTTGTGGAACAGGCTAAGGTCGGAGATCATGCTGCCTAGTCTTTAATATGACACTGTCTAGAATTTCTAAACTTCCCTTATGAGGGAGGCTATATTTTTATTATTTAAAACAAGAATCACAGACAAAGATTTAAAAGTTGAATTTCGGATTCTTAACAGGTAACAACTTTCCGAACATTGCAGTAGATTTAAAAATAAAAAACGACAATTTAAAAGTACTTGTAAAAAAGTATGTTTCAATAAAGATGATTTGAATTTGAATTAATTGGAAATCTGTGATAACAAATTCAGATACAACCTGCTCGCATACTTTCTACATTATCTGTGTCCAATATATAATCTAGTAATGTAAAATTTGTTATTGACATATCAATATGAACAAAAATTGTACATACACATTTTCTATACACTAGCCTGTTATGAATTGAGAAAAATCGCAACTGATGGTGTATCTTTCGTCCTCTTTTCACTAATTATATTTTCATAAGAAGAAAGAAAGCAACCATATGATTTACAATTTTCATTTTATCATTCCTTCTATGTAATTCCTTGTTCTTAGTAGAAAAATAACGTCACAGGTATGAGTACTATTCTATTAGTTCACGTCTTATCATATTGTACTTAATTCATTTAAAGTCTGAACAGAACAATTTTATCAAGTTTATCCATTACGAGGACAGAAGGGGAAAAATGTAAGGACACTTGATACGACACGACGAACTTATGAACATTATAATAGAAGGTAAGATAGAAGGAAGGAGAGGAAGAGGGAGACTGGGGTATAGTTACATCAGGCAGATCAAGGAAGGAGTTGGTGTCGTGTCGTATCAAGAGGTGAGGAGACTCGCTGAAAATCGTAGTGAGTGGCAAGAGCTCCACCGACAAGAGAGCAGCTCTTAAATGGATAGATAGATCCATTACGAATGAAATATCAAATCTTTCCTCATTTTAATATTACCATAAGTTTAGATTAGACGATTTAGCTTATTGTACATGAAAATATCATTTTCAATTTGTGATTTTATCACAGTTAATGGCTAGAGGATTAATATCAAGGAATAGTCATTCCACAGATAAGATAATCGCTTGTGCTCATCAAATGTTAATGTTAAAATCGCTATCGTTAGAGGAAAACGTTGTTCGTATTAGTCATAAGTTCCCTCCGTAAATATATTTAACTACGATTACGTGTGTTTTGAGAACTTTTTATTTTAAAGGCGGAAAACTTCCTTGTATTACGCATAATAAGTCACAGACAGTCCTCTATGTCGACGCTGTTTCGACACCGAAGAAACGGCTGCTCACGTGATCCTGGAATGTGAAGCTATGGCCCATTAACGTTTAGAAATCATCGAAACGGTGAGGTCGCTCCGTGTGGCCTGTGAAAACCCAGGAAGATTCTGCGCTTCTGGGCGGAGCTGGGCTGGCTGTACTAGCCACGACTCATACGCACAACGGCCCAAATGAGAGGCTAAGCGCGGAAAAGAGAGTCCAATCTACACTACAGGGGGAAAGGGATTGTTAGCAATGGAGTTTGATAGCCCCATTGCTAGCAATATGCCCTGTCAGGTCGACCTTCACATAGTTCCCCCTGGAAACTATCGTGACTAATTCTAGTTTAATTCGTCAGGATGGGCTAACTGACCTACTTTCATCTTCATCTGTCATCCCTCACTGGTGCCCCGCCAGTGTATACCGATAGCGTAGGCTGGGTTACCATTTCATTCTCAGCCATTAAAAAAAAATCTACACTACATTTACGCATAATAATGCGTCGCTAGTACGTTTTCAGCGTCTAATATTATACCTACAGAGTAAGTATTGTTACCGCTCGCCATCGATAGAGAATTCATCCGCACACGTTTAAACCTAAATGGTCGCGTACAGTGCAGTTTCAAAGGAATTCTCTCCCGCGACGCTCAGATTGTGGAATGAGCTTCCTACTGAGGTTTTTCCTAGAGGCTACAGTATGTGGTTTTAAAAAAGTTTATTACGGTTTCTTCAGAGTCGGCAACGTGCATGTAACACCCCAGTTGTTGCAGACGTCCATAGACTACCTGTTTACCAAGAAGGCTGTATGCTTGTTTGCCATTTTTGTGGTACACAAAAAGTAATCTTAATTTAAGAACTAAGAACAAGGAATTATATAGAAGGAGTGATAAAAATTGTCAATTCATAGCAGGCTAGTGTATAGAAAATGTTATACGGCCGTATAACCCTACCAAATTCAGATACAACCTGCTTGCATACTTTCTACATAAACTGTGTCGAATATATAATCTAGTAATGTAAAATTTGTTATTGACAAATTTTTCATTACTAGAGTTACAGAGTACATTACAGTAGTTTGTCTACTTTTGAAATCAACGCATACGATGCGTTGATTTAAAAATAAAATATGTAGGATTAAATAATCGAGTCAGTTTATTGTCAAATTAGCTGACTCGTTTGTTGTATCAGTGTTCTATATACTTACGCACACAATGTATCTTGACGTGTCTATATTTTATAAATAAAAAGAGTGTTTACATATTAAAAAGATGCAGTATTTTTTAAGACAAAATAAATATAGAAGTTTTTTATTTATTTATTTATTTATGCTTTATTGACCACATTACAAAAAAAAATGTTAATAAATGTTAATAAATGAAGTTATAAAGGAATCACTCGTAACTATTTATCACGCAAAATTGTTTGAAAAAGTTGAGCCGCTTTTCTCGAACCATTTGTATGGAGACACTCTATCTATATAATTTAAGCAAATATGATACTAAGGTAAATCCTTATCATAATTGCAATTATAAAAATGGATTATATAGATAGTCAATGATTTTTCATTGTCATTTGTAAATGTCAATGGACTTTGGTGTCCTCTAAGTTACAGATGATATTTATCATGAGTTTCATTAAAAATATATGATTTTTTTTTATTTTTATGATTGTTTTTTTTTATACAACTTAGAATGGCATACAAGCTGACGGCCCACCTGATAGAAAGTGGTAACCGTCGCCTATAGACATGAGCAGTACCATGGACATAACAGAGTATACTGTTTCGCCCATTATACCCTCCATGCGTTGCCATTCCTGAGGACTCGGGTGTTATTCCTCTGTTCCCAGTAAATTGACGCCATATCCCACCCTTCAAACCGAAACACAGCCATGCAAACACAACTGCTTCACGGTAGAAACACGAATGGGACAGAGGTACTCAAGCAATCGACTTTTGTACAAAGTCTCCCTCTGGTGGATTGTTACCTCATAACTCCGTCAGTTGTAAACCGATTTGGAAAATCCTTTTTTTTTATCTTAAACTATAGCCAGCTTAGTATTTAAATTAAAATAACTGTTTTAACCATAACTTAAGTCGGTTTTTTTGTGGGACTTAATTTTTTCTTTACAATATTATTGTATGTATGTATGTATTTATACATAAGTTTCCGGGATGTGATAGCACTTTCAAAAACTATTATAAAATGTTATTTAAATCAGCGTTTTAATCACCTGTTATCTATAAATTATCGCATTGTAATTTTCCAGTTCATGGAATTTAAATGGTTTTACGGAATAGATGTCAATCGTTGATCATAATCTCTTTGTATACATACGTACATACATATGTTTTAAATCTATAAATAAGCGTAGTAAACCAATATCAAATGTTCAGGGGAAAGGGACTGTTAGTAATGGAGACTGAGAATCCCATTGCTAGTAATATACCCAACCAGGTCGATCTCGCGGTTCCCCCTGGAAACTATCATGGTTAATTCCTGATGAATTCCTGTTATGTCCATGCTACTGCTCATGTCTATAGGCGACGGTTATCACTTTCCATCAGGTGGGCCGTCAGCTTGTTTGCCATTCTAAGTTGTATAAAAAAAAAGACGTGTGGCAGTCGGGGATTGCCGCGGTAAAGCTATTATATAGCTTGTATAGCATTTTTTATCAACTTATGCTTAGAGTACTCACTTATTTTCTTTCACTATTTTTTCATTACTTTCTTCATTAATAAATGCACTTTGTTTATTCATATTTAATATTAAAACACTTTATACACAAATTTTACGCGTACAGCTATTCACTGTTGGACATAGATGATAGATACCTATACCACCTATATACATTCTCACAACAGCTGCTTACGTATTCGTCCAATTCCGGAGCAGCTCGCAAAAAGCACGCTGTCTCACCTAGCATTGTATCTAAAAGAGATAGAATCAGTTATGAGCAGTCAGCGGCTAGTCTACACGCATACGTCTACTCGCACGCACGCAAACACCGTGCCGAAGTCTGTCGAATTGAAACGACGTTAGACGATGCACGGCTTCCGTCCTCGCACCGCTCTGCCGCCGTAAGAGTGGGGGGTGTTAGGTCCCATTTCCGTTACGGAATTTTTACATTCGGTCTCCGCGCTCAAGGCCCGCGATAAAAGCTATACTTAAAAAAAAAAGAATTCATTATGATGGGCTAACTGGCCTGTTTTCATTCTCATCTATCACCCTTCACTGGTGCTCCGCCAGCGTATCCCGTTAGCGCATGCGGGGTTACACTCGGGTACAGGACACTGGACACTCAGACACGCAGATACAGGACACTGGACACTCAGACACGCAGACATTGGACACTCAGACACTCGGATACCCTACACTGGACACTCAGACACGCAGGCATTGGACACTCAGACACTCGGGTACACTGACACTGGATTTAATGTATTAAATTATTATTTATTATGTATACTTTTAAAAAATATTACCATTCCACACTCCTTCTCTATATAAATTATAAGTGTGTAATATTATAAGTGTGCCAAATTTCATACTCCTTCGTCCGCGCATTACATATATAGATCCGTCAGTATTCTACGACTACCACGATATGTATGCTCATTGTTCTCTCAGTGTAATATTTTCTTGTAATTGTTTGTATCTAGAATGTAGTTTACTATTTTTTTTTTGATGGGTGAAAATGGTATGGCAACCCTGCCTGCGCTAACGGGATACGCTGGCGGAGCACCAGTGAAGGGTGATAGGTGAGAATGAAAACAGGCCAGTTAGCCCATCATGATGAATTCATCAGGAATTAACTATGATAGTTTCCAGGGGAACTGCGAGGAGGTCGACTCGGTTGGGTATATTGCTAGCAATGGGATTCTCAGTCTCCATTACTAGCAATCCCTTTCCCCCAGTCAGGTCAGTTAGCCCATCGTGATGAATACACTAGGAATTCAGCACGATAGTTTCCAGGGGTTACCACGTGGAGTACCTTATGGGGTGTATTGCTAGCAATGGGACTGAAAGTTCGCATTAATAAAAATTTACGTGTGAATTTAATGGGTACAGAGGAATAACACCTGAGTCCTCAGGAATGGCAACGCATGGGGGGTATCATGGGCGAAACAGTATACTCTGTTATGTCAACGGTACTGCTCATGTCTATAGGCGACGGTTACCACTTTCCATCAGGTGGGCCGTCAGCTTGTTTGCCATTCTGAGTTGCATAAAAAAAATCCCTCCCCCCTTCACTTTAGTTAGCATATTGTTTTTTTTTGTTAGATAAATTACATGTTTTACTTTCTCTGTCTATCCCGCATTACATCCGGATTTGTGCGTAAAGATATAATATTTTTTTAATAGCAATATATAGGTGCAATAGAGCATTATAGGTGATGCATTGATTATTTACATTTTTTTAAAGATTAGATAACGTATTTATCACATATGTATCTTTATAGGTACTTTGAAGCACTTATAGATATATAATTAATATGAAATGATTGTACAGTGTCTTGTTATGAATCATCATCGTCACATCAGCCCTTAACTGTCCACTGCTGGACATATTGCCTCCTTATTTAGGCGGGGGGAGGTCTTTTTTTTTATACCACTGAGGTGGCAAACAAGCATACGGCCCACCTGATGGTAAGCGGTTACCGTAGCCTATGAACGCCTGCAATACCAGAGGTATTACGCGCGCGTTGCCGACCCTGAAGAAACCTCTTTACCCCCTTTTGAAGAACCCCATGCTGTAGTCTCTCGGGAAAACCTCGGCAGAGAGCTCATTCCATAACCTGAGTGTTCGTGGGAGAAAGCATCTCTGAAACCGCGTTGTACGCGACCATTTAGGCTGTAAGGTTGGTTAGTAATTGGCATGGCAGGCGGGGTTTTTTTTTATGAGCTATCGGTATACACCGGCGGGGCACCAGTGAAGGATGATAGGTGAGGATGAAGCAGGTCAGTTGGCCCATCGTGACGAATTCAACAAGAATGGTTCATGATGGTTTCCAGGGGGAACCACGTGGTGGTCGACCTAATAGGGCATATTGGTAGCAATGGGGCTGTCAAACTCCATTGCTAACAATCCCTTCCCCCCTAGTGGCAGGCGGGTTGACAATCGCAGTTTGGCTTTGGTGATGTTTTAAGAAGGACGCCGCTTCCCATCCCATGCCGGTTATAAGCATCCTTTAACGCCTCTTACGACACCAACGGGAAACGAAGGGGTAGCCTTTTCTACGCTGGGACCACACGGCGACGACTTCTTCTTTTTGGTATGAATACGCGATAATAAATAAGTTTTAAAAAAAGGTTTAAGTAAATAGTTTTTTTTTTATTTTAGTTTAAGGGCTTTTACCTTCTTCAGGTACATCAGTCCTATTGTACCTTAAACTGATTTCTCAAACAAAACTTTATCTACTTTCCCTAGACGCGGAAAGAGAAGAATTAATGGGCATCAATAATTTACAGAGATGTTCAAAAATGTTTGGTTTAAGTTCAGCTAACATAGATTGAATAAGGCCAGCGTTAAATTTATTCAAGTTAAAGCGGCGCATGAATTCTTCTCTTTGCTTCGTGTTAATACGACACTCTAATAGAATATGATGCACATCATCGATGGTATTACAAGTTTGACAATGGGCTGACAAGGACTTTCCCATCATATGTGCAAATTTTTTTGATGGATAATGACCAGATCTTAGACGAACAGCTAATTTAATACTGTACCTATTGATTTTAATTCCACAAAACCAAGGAATATGTGGAGGTTCAGCCTGAATAGTTTTATACCAAATACCTTTTTCTTTTGAAATTTCGTTAAAATATTATAGATATAAACAATTACAAGAAATAATCACAATGAGAAAACAATGGGCGGGCTTATCGCTAAGAGCGATCTCTTGCAGGCAACCTTTGGATGGAGAGGAGTTATTAATATGAGACTAGGGGGAAAGGGATTGTTAGTAATGGAGACTAAGAATCCCATTGCTAGCAATATACACAACCAGGTCGACCTCTTCGCGGTTCCCCCTGGAAACTATCATGGTTAATTCCTGATGAATTCATCATGATTGGCTAACTGGCCTGTTTCCATTCTCATCTATCACCCTTCACTGGTGCTCCGCCAGCGTATCCCGTTAGCGCATGCGGGGTTACCATACCATTTTCACCCATCAAAAATGAGACTAAACGTTTACTCTCGTCTTTTTTTATTTTTCAGATATTTTTAATGCGTAATACTAATTGTAGATATGTTTACAATGTCACAGTACATACACAAATGTGATTAGACAATTTAATTAATATCTAATCCAGTGATTCTCAACCTTTTTTTTTGTTGCGGCACATATTTAACGATTTCAAAATTTGGCGGCACACAAAGGAAAAGATAAAAATTATTTACTTACTACACACACACACACACACACACTGCATAAATAGTTTATGACAAAAATTTTAAATATTTGCAAAATTTGGCGGCACACTTTTAAAATTTGGCGGCACACAAAAGTGCCGCGGCACAGTGGTTGAGAATCACTGATCTAATCCCATCAGTTCCAATATTTGGCCGCCAAATTATTGGCAAATACATAGATTTTTATCAACTCTGATACTGTTAACATTATAAAATATGTTTACTATATTAGGTATTATTTGTGTAATCTTTGAAATGACATAAATTGTACGCTGTTTAGGTATTTTACGTCAACATATCATTTGATTTGAAAGCGATTTCGAAAGATGGATGGTTATAATACATTTCTTTGTCTCTTTCCGACTATTCAAGAAGTGAAATTAATGTCCTTATGTATGTCCATCAGAGGGAGACTTTGTACAAAAGTCGATTGCTTGGGTACCTCTGTCCCATTCGTGTTTCAACCGTGAAGCAGTTGTGTTTGCATGGCTGTGTTTCGGTTTGGAGGGTGGGATATGGCGTGAATTTACTGGGTATGGAGGAATAACACCTGAGTCCTCAGGCATGGCACATTTTTGTAAGTCCACAGATAAGAATTCTTTTTTTTTATACAACTTAGAATGGCAAACAAGCTGACGGTCCACCTGATGGAAAGTGGTAACCGTCGCCTATAGACATGAGCAGTACCATGGACATAACAGAGTATACTGTTTCGCCCATGATACCCCCCATGCGTTGCCATTCCTGAGGACTCAAGTGTTATTCCTCTGTACCCAGTAAATTCACGCCATATCCCACCCTTCAAACCGAAACACAGCCATGCAAACACAACTGCTTTACGGTTGAAACATGAATGGGACAGAGGTACCCACGCAATCGACTTTCGTACAAAGTCTCCCTCTGGTTCCTCTTCTTCATCTCCTTCCTTTACCGTGGGTGTCGTAAGAGGCGACTAAGGGAGAGCGAGTGATGGGCAGCAGCGTCCCTCTTAAAGAATCTAATTAGATCTGCGGTTGCCAATTCGCCTGCAAAGCGTTTTAACTACTGGCAAAACCCCCTCAAGGGGGAGGTTTATATTCAGCATGTTTTGTAAATTTTTTTTATACCACTGAGGTGGCAAACAAGCATACGGCCCACCTGATGGTAAGTGGTTACCGTAGCCTATGAACACCTGCAATACCAGAGGTATTACCCGCGCGTTGCCGACCCTGAAGAAACCTCTTTACCCCCCTTTTGAAGAGGACTTATTGATTGAAGGATGGACAGCAGCATTTCTCTTTAAACATCACCAAAGCTTAATTATGGTTGCCAGTCCGCCTGCCAAGCGTGGCAACTGCTGGCAAAACTCCCCTTTTGGGGAAGCCTTATGTCCAGCAGTGGACAGCTGATGGTTGATATAAATATTTGTATGGCTGATAAGTGATTACCTATAGGTCCGAGGGGGGAGGGGTTGTTAGTAATAGGGTATAACAATATACCTTATCAGGTCGGTCTCCATGCTGTTTCTCTTGGAAACCATCGTAGTTAATTCTTAAATTCGTCATGACAGGCTAACTGACCTGATTGGGGGGAAAGGGATTGTTAGTAATGGGTCAAACTGCCCCATTGCTATAACCTATCAGGTCAAATTCCACGCGGTTCCCCCTGGAAACCGTCGTGATTAATTCTAATGGGATTCGTCACGATGGGCTAACTGACCTGCCTTTTCATTCTCACCTATTATCCCTCACTGGTGCCCAAGAAAATATTACATTGAGAGAACAATGGGCATACATATCGTCACAGTCGTAGAATACTGACGGATCTATATAATGTAATCTTTGTCAGATCCGTCAGTATTCTACGACTGTGACGATATATGTAGTATGTGTTTGACAAATTACATAGTGATTGGTTAAGCCGTTAAGGCGCTACGAAGTAACAAACAAACACACTTACTTTCACTTAAGGTTATGTATTTTAGTATTTTCGATGAAAGCTCGAGAGCACGAAATAAAGTCAAATTAGATCGACTTGATTTCTTCCCACATCTTGAACAATTATCGTCAAATAATTTTCATAAAATTAACATGATAAATATATTAAACTATATGTATAAATATTACTCTTGAATCATTCTATCTGTTGATGTAAACCGCATTAAATTCGGTTGCTTAGTTTAAAAGATCTAAGCGTACAGACGGCGGGAAGCGACTTTAGTTTTATATCGTTTTACTATTTACAGAAATGCATAAATTATTGCTTCTCGTATTCCTCGCTACGACATCGGCTGAGTTCCTGCCGAATGGCTGCCCGACAGACTTCCACCAGCATGTGTTGTTGCCCCACGAGACGGATTGCACCAAATTTTACTACTGTAACTATGGCAACAAACTTCTCAGAGAATGCCCGGGCGGACTGCACTTTGATCCAGTTTTGCAGGTATTTAACAATGTTTCATTTTACTTGTAATATACAATAGGAGCCATATGGTCCCCGCATAGAATGGGCCATCCCATTCTTTCCCGTGAGTGTCGTGAAAACCGACTAAGGGAACTTAATTGTCGAGGGATGGGCAGCGGCGTCCCTTTCAAATCATCTGCAAAACCCTAATTGCGGTTTCCAACCCGTCTTTCAAGTGGCAACTATTAACAAAATTACCCTTATAGTGAAGGCTTAAGTTCAGCAGTGGACAGTTAAGAGCTGGTATGATAACGCATGGTGGGTATCATGGGCGGAAACAGTATACTCTGTTATGTCCACGGTACTGCTCATGTCTATAGGCGACGGTTACCACTGTCCATCAAGTGGGCCGGCAGCTTGTTTGCCATTTAAAGTTGTATAAAAAAAAAACAAATGAAAAAACAAACAAACGCGGACAGTGACATTGTTTTGCACTATTTAAAGATTCTCTTAATTAATTTTATTTAGAGATTCATTTAACTTCAAAATTTTGAGGAACTTATTAAAAAGACTTATTAAAAATTTATATTTAAAATCTAAGTTCTATAAATATTCATAACAAGATTTTAAAATGTTATTTAAAAATAAAAATAACAATATTATGTATGTATTTACAGGTATGCAACTGGCCGGATGTTGCACAGTGTCAATTAACGACTGGAGATCCTATTGAAACGACTAACCCACCAATAACTACAGAGGGCACCACTGCTGACAGTACTACCACACCAACGACTACAGAGGGCACCACTACTGTCAGTACTACCACACCAACGACTACAGAGGGCACCACTACTGACAGTACTACCACACCAACGACTACAGAGGGCACCACTACTGTCAGTACTACCACACCAACGACTACAGAGGGCACCACTACTGTCAGTACTACCACACCAACGACTACAGAGGGCACCACTACTGTCAGTACTACCACACCAACGACTACAGAGGGCACCACTACTGTCAGTACTACCACACCAACGACTACAGAGGGCACCACTACTGTCAGTATTACCACATCGACGACTACAGAAGGCACCACTACTGTCAGTACTACCACACCAACGACTACAGAGGGCACCACTACTGTTAGTACTACCACACCAACGACTACAGAGGGCACCACTACTGTCAGTACTACCACACCAACGACTACAGAGGGCACCACTACTGACAGTACTACAGAGGAGGTCACTACTGTCAGTACTACCACACCGACGACTACAGAGGGCACCACTACTGACAGTACTACCACATCGACGACTACAGAAGGCACCACTACTGTCAGTACTACCACACCAACGACTACAGAGGGCACCACTACTGTCAGTACTACCACACCAACGACTACAGAGGGCACCACTACTGACAGTACTACAGAGGAGGTCACTACTGTCAGTACTACCACACCGACGATTACAGAGGGCACCACTACTGACAGTACTACCACACCAACGACTACAGAGGGCACCACTACTGTCAGTACTACCACATCGACGACTACAGAAGGCACCACTACTGTCAGTACTACCACACCAACGACTACAGAGGGCACCACTACTGTCAGTACTACCACACCAACGACTACAGAGGGCACCACTACTGACAGTACTACAGAGGAGGTCACTACTGTCAGTACTACCACACCAACGACTACAGAGGGCACCACTACTGTCAGTACTACCACACCAACGACTACAGAGGGCACCACTACTGACAGTACTACCAAATCGACGACTACAGAAGGCACCACTACTGTCAGTACTACCACACCAACGACTACAGAGGGCACCACTACTGACAGTACTACCACATCGACGACTACAGAAGGCACCACTACTGTCAGTACTACCACACCAACGACTACAGAGGGCACCACTACTGTCAGTACTACCACACCAACGACTACAGAGGGCACCACTGCTGACAGTACTACCACACCAACGACTACAGAGGGCACCACTACTGACACTACTACAGAGGAGGTCACTACTGTCAGTACTACCACATCAACGACTACAGAGGGCACCACTACTGACAGTACTACAGAGGAGGTCACTACTGTCAGTACTACCACACCAACGACTACAGAGGGCACCACTACTGACAGTACTACAGAGGAGGTCACTACTGTCAGTACTATCACACCAACGACTACAGAGGGCACCACTACTGACAGTACTACAGAGGAGGTCACTACTGTCAGTACTACCACACCGACGACTACAGAGGGCATCACTACTGACAGTACTACCACACCAACGACTACAGAGGGCACCACTACTGACAGTACTACCACACCAACGACTACAGAGGGCACCACTACTGTCAGTACTACCACACCAACGACTACCACTCCGGCATTATGTCCACCGGGCACGTTCGGGAACGTTCCTCATCCGGAACTGTGCAATTCGTACTACCTGTGCACGGGAGGTATTGCGATACAACTGTACTGCCCGGACGGGCAAGAATTTGACCCTGAGATAAAGGTGAGTGTATATACTATGTACGTATATAGAATTATTAATTATTATTAATTGAAATATGATATAGACATTCTGGGACATTGTTTTTGTGTGAGAAACATAATATGCTTATTATTTTAATCTTGAATGAGGTTGATAGATGTAATTAAATGGTTTTGTTCCAAATAAAGAATCATTATTATTATTATTAATTGTCAACTGTCGTCGGGAGTTTAAAAGTTACTTTCAACAAGGTCAAACTTTATTCAGTACATTAAATATGGACGACAGTCCGTAGAAATTAAATAAAGCAATAAAATCTCAGTATTTAAATTAAATAAAACAATTAGGTTTTGAAAAGAACATGGTATGTTTAAATAGATTGTTTGTTAAAATTTTATATTAATAATATTTCAGAGATGCGTAGACATCACCCCTGGCGGTTGTACACTCGGTCAGGCAACAACTACTGATCAGTCGACGAGCGGCACTAGTACTGACTCCATTGACGGTCCCACTGTGGACACAGACTCCACCACTCAAAGCACCACATCTGCACAGACGGAAACGACTGTGAATGATATAACGACCTCACCGGGAGACATTTCTACAGACGAAACGACGACCGCTACTACTGACTCGGGCGATTTAACAGAAAGTACCACTTTCAGTAGCCCAACGTCCACGACCAGTGATATTGTTGTTACCGAAGAATCGACCACTAGTCCAGAGTCCACTGCTACTACCAGTGAAGCGAGTACCACGACGGATTCTATACAGACGACGACTCCGTCTTTGTGTCCGCCGGGCGCGTTCGGGAACGTTCCTCATCCGGAACTGTGCAACTCGTACTACCTGTGCACGGGAGGTATTGCGATACAACTCTACTGCCCGGACGAACAGGAATTTGATCCTGAGGCAGAGGTGAATGTTTAATTTATCTATATATGAAGCATTACTGCGTATCAAAGAAATAAATTGTTTAAAATAATCAGCATAAAAACTTTTGATTTAATAGTGTTTCTGCTGCCAGGAAGTTATTTTGAGCGATTATGTTCAGTTTAAACAGTGGGATATGATAGCGAAATTGTAGGGTGTGGAGGCATTACATCTAAGATCATAAACGATAATATATGAAGGGTACCATGGTATTAAATTACACTTTGTAATGTCTGTGGAACTGTTCATGTCTGTATGTTACTCTTAGGACGAATAGTCAGGATCATTTGCTGATAGTTATAGATAGATATAGATAGAACCAGACGATAGAGTCAACATGGTTACATTTCGCTGAACTCTATTGAATCCAAGAGATAAAACAATAGGTTTTATGAATGCAGTTATGGTAGATACGATTATTACTGGGATTAAAAAATAGGAGTCTTTGTACAAAAGTCGTTTGTTTGGGCACCTCTATCCCTTTCGTGTTTCTACCGTAAAGCAGTTGTGTCTGCATGGCTGTGTTTCGGTGTGAAGAGTGAGATATGGCAGTGAATTTACTGGGTACAGAGAAATAACACCTGAGTCCTCAGGAATGGCAACGCATGGGACGTATCACGGTCAAAACAGTTCACTCTGTTGTATTCATAGTACTGCTCATGTCTAAAGGCAACGGTTACCACTTTCCATCAGGCGGGCCATCAGCTTATTCGCCATTCTAAGTTACATAAAAAAATAAGATGACGTGTTTAATTTACTGTAAATGGTTTTATAAATATTATTTCAGAGATGCGTAGATATCGCTCCCGGTGGTTGTACACTCGGTCAGGCATCAACTACTGATCAGTCGACGAGCGGCTCTAGTACTGACTCTACTGACGGTCCCGCTGTGGACACAGACTCCACCACTCAAAGCACCACATCTGCACAGACGGAAACGACTGTGAATGATATAACGACCTCACCGGGAGACATTTCTACCGACGAAACGACGACCGCTACTATTGACTCGGGCGATTTAACGGAAAGTACCACTCTCAGTAGCCCAACGTACACGACCAGTGATATTGTTGTCACCGAAGAATCGACCACTAGTCCAGAGTTCACTGCTACTACCAGTGAGGCGAGTACTACGACGGATCCTATACAGACGACGACTCCGGCCTTATGTCCGCCGGGCACGTTCGGGAACGTTCCTCATCCGGAACTGTGCAACTCGTACTACCTGTGCACGGGCGGTATTGCGATACAGCTCTACTGCCCGGACGGACAGGAATTTGATCCTGAGGCAGAGGTGAGTGTCTAATTTATGCACGTATGAACCATTATCGCTTACCAAAGAAATAGTTTGTTTAAAATCGCCAGTATGTAAACTTTATTATTATTTTTGCTACCGAGCAGTTGTTTTGAGTTGTTGTGTTCAGTTTAAAGTGTGAGATGTGACAGTGAAATTGTAGGGTACGGTGGTTTAATATCTTAGCTGATAACATATGAAGGTAAAAGTATATTCTGTAATATCCATGGAGCTATTCTTGTCTGTTGGTTAATCTCAGAAAAAATTGCTAAACAGCTAGAACCATTTGCAATCAATTGCCGAGATAATATAACTAATACTGATCATATTTACATTTCGCTGAAAACATTTGAACTCAAGAAATAAATAAAACAATTTCATGAATGCATTGAAATACGAGGACTGTAAAAATTAAAAAAAAAAAAAGATGATGTATTTAATTTACTGTAAGTGGTTTTATAATTTCAGAGATGCGTAGACATCACCCCAGGCGGTTGTACACTCGGTCAAGCGACAACTACTGATCAGTCGACGAGCGGCGCTAGTACTGACTCCACTGACGGTCCCACTATAGACACAGACTCCACCACTCAAAGCACCACATCTGCACAGTCGGAAACGACTGTGAATGATATAACGACCTCACCGGGAGACATTTCTACAGACGAAACGACGACCGCTACTACTGACTCGGGCGATTTAACGGAAAGTACCACTCTCAGTAGCCCAACGTACACGACCAGTGACATTGTTGTCACCGAAGAATTGACCACTAGTCCAGAATCCATTACTGTCACCAGTGAAGCGAGTACCACGACGGATTCTATACAAACGACGACTCCGCCCTTGTGTCCGCTGGGTGCTTTCGGGGCTGTTCCTCATCCGGAACTGTGCAACTCGTACTACCTGTGCACGGGAGGTATTGCGATACAACTGTACTGCCCGGACGGACAGGAATTTGATTCCGAGATAGAGGTGAGTATTTATACTACGAACATATCAAGCACTACTGAATGTTAATAATCGAGTTACAATATATACATATTCATAAGCTTTATTTATGTGTGAGAAACTTAATATATTCGTTATTATGATCTCGATTGAGATCGATAGAGTTAATTGTCAAATATCGTCGAGAATTTAAAAATTACATTCAAAATGGTTACATTGTATTGAATACATTTAATTTGTAGAAATTAAATAAAACAATAAAATTTCAGTCATTAGATTATTTTTTTTTTAATTCGGATAGATATTATTGGTGTAAAAAAGGTAGGCAACGCACATGCAACTTCTCTCGTGTTGCAGGTGTTCGTGGGCGACGGTAGCCACTTTTAATTAGGTGCACCGTTAGTTCGTTCGTCTAATAATAAAAAAAATTACTAAATTTATTTGTTGTTAATTTTTTTAACAATATTTCAGAGATGCGTAGACATCACCCCTGGCGGATGTACAGTCGGTCAGGCAACAACTACTGATCAGTCGACAAGCGGCACTAGTACTGACTCCACTGACGGGCCCACTGTGGACACAGATTCCACCACTCAAAGCACCACATTTGCACAGACGGAAACGACTGTGAATGATATAACGACCTCACCGGGAGACATTTCTACCGACGAGACGACGACCGCTACTACTGACTCGGGCGATTTAACGGAAAGTACCACTCTCAGCAGCCCAACGTACACGACCAGTGATATTGTTGTCACCGAGGAATCGACCACTAGTCCAGAGTCCATTACTGTCACCAGTGAAGCGAGTACCACGACGGATTCTATACAGACGACGACTCCGCCCTTGTGTCCGCCGGGCACGTTCGGGAACGTTCCTCATCCGGAACTGTGCAACTCGTACTACCTGTGCACGGGAGGTATTGCGATACAGCTCTACTGCCCAGACGGGCAAGAATTTGATCCTGAGACAGAGGTAAGTGTCCAATTTATGCACATATAATAGCTAGAATCATTTGCAGACAATTGCAAAAATATTAGAAGTAACAATACTGGTTACACTTATATTTACATTTCGCTTAAAACAATTGAATTCAAGAAATAAATAAAACAATCTTATGAATGCGTTGAGAGACATACTTACGCAACAGTAGATTACTCAGAGGACTCAGAGGTCAAAAACATATGTCTAGCTTAAACCATGAGAAAGCCTTTGATTCGGTCGAGACATAGACGGTACTGCAGTGGTGCCAGTGGTACCAGATTGACTATAGTTATATCGAAGTGTTGAAGTGTATGTACAGTAAGGCTACGATGTTTATCCGAGAACAGAACTAGAGTACGAAACCCATTCCCATGCAGAAAGGTGTAAGACAGGGTGACGTTACATCCCCGAAACTCTTCTTAGCTGCATTGGAAGATATTTTCAAACTTTTGGACTGGAAAGGATATGTTATAAATATCAATGGCAAAGTACAGTACGCCGCTAACTTCAGTCCTGTCGTACAGGACTGAAGTGAGCGGCGTCTTCGTGTGACAGCTCGCGCAGTCTCTTCGACTAACCGCACACTGTTACCATTATGATCTAAAGCCATTTTATACATCGCACTCACGGTATCCACACTGCGTTTAAACAATTTATCGCGTGTTTTTAATGTACTAAACACTGGGCTCCATGCTGATGAAAATCCAAATCCATCTTCCCATTCATCTTGCAATCCACGTCGAAATGTCCCCCCCCTCCCCCCGTAAAGATGCAGGTATGTAGGTTCTATGCACCTGTAAAAGCTTTTTCATCGCATGAAGTCCCTATTGTGTATTTAAAAATATGTGTAAACAACGCTAAAGTTTAAAATTAACTAAATACCACCTAGTTCAGTAGGTAAAATAATTACAAAACGTTTTGTATTAATTTTTCATACGTGAAATTACAGACGTGTCTGCTAATCGCTTCTGGTGGTTGCACGTACAATGAAGTAACGTCAACTCCAATAGAGATAACCGAGGTCACCAATTCACGTTCGACGATTACAAATGAACCAGTAGCAACGACCGAAAGTGTAACGACGACTCCGGCATTATGTTCGCCGGGCACGTTCGGGAACGTTCCTCATCCGGAACTGTGCAACTCGTACTACCTGTGCACGGGAGGTATTGCGATACAGCTGTACTGCCCGGACGGGCAGGAATTCGATTCTGGTATCAAGGTAAACCTAAGTTTTAATTGATTAAAATCTTTATTTTATTTTGTATTTTTTTTTATATTTCTTTAAATGCTACAATTATTATGATTAGGTTTATGTGCGTGATTATATATATATATATATATATATATATATATATATATGTATATAATTTTATAGCTCAAGAACGTGCTCACCTATCCAATACAAATGTTTACGCTTTGTTCGGACTATTTAGTAGATGGTTTATGTGAAGTTTGCACAAAATCGCTCGAGCGGTTCTCACACATTTTTTTGTAACAAATGAATTCAATAAATGGCGGATCATTTAGTTAATGGGGATGTTTGTGTCAAATTTTTAAGATGGCGATTGTGCTGTCAAATTGAAACTTTTTTCAGTGTTGACAGTACAAGCGTGTTGTTATGTCATTCGTGCGGTCATTTCATTTTGGACGTGCTTCGATTAAAGCAAATTGTCAGCGATAATTATTGCTTTGTGTTTATATTTTTAAACATATTGTTTAAATTGGCTATTCCATTCAATAGATATTACGAATTTAATATGTCATAGAAATAGAAAAAATAACGCTGTCGCGTTGTACATGTTATTCGTACCTATTTTAGCGGTGCGGTAGAGGGGCAGGTGGAGGCGGGCACATTTATGAAATACTATGTAGGTACAGATAAAAATGTAAAATGTAAAAATATCCACCTGTGCGAAGCCGGGACGGATCGCTAGTATTATATGATTGGTTTATTTTAGCATATATTGTTTATTTAATTTGCACGCACTTACCTACTAATTTAGCAGTACAAGGAAAGAAAGAAAAGAAACCTTTTAAGGGATCTTTTTACTTTGAAGAAAGTTCAATGTTAATTAATTCAATATTGAATTTTTCTTTTTTCAACCGACTTCAAAAAGAAGAACGTTCTCAATTCGAATGTATTTTCTGTTTGTCACCTCATAACTCCGTCAGTTGTGAATAGATTTGGTAAATTTTTTTTTTTATTAGAAAGGATATCCTACTTACAGATCGGTCTCGTAGAAATTTTTTCAAACCCACTTCAGTAGTTCAGTTTTTAAATCAAAATATCTGGTTTTATCATGACTGAAGATTTTTTTGGAATACAGTCTTAATTAATTCTTATTTCTTTTCAGCAATGCGTGTTAATTACCAGCGATGGCTGTACAGCGTCAAATGCTGTGAAGAATTTATTTTTAGATATGTTTAATGTAAAATAAATATATTTGTGATGCATTAAATTATAATAAATTATAGAAAAAAAAATATATATTTAATACGTACATATAAATAAATATTGGTTATTTTATTTTTCTATTACATATTCCTTATGGAGAAAAAATAACGGTTGTCAGATGCGACAACCTCACTGGAAGTTTACCGACGAAACAAAATCATAGTATTCTTGATTTATCACCTTTTTTGGCGGAGCAAGTGAAGGGTGATAGATGAGAATAAAAATGGCAGAGTCATTGATGAATTCATCAGGCATTAACCATGATAGTTTCCAGGGGGAACCGCGAGGAGGTCGACCTGAAAGAAAGAAAGAAAGAAAGAAAACATTTATTGACAACAACAAAAAGTTACATACATTATGAATTAAAAAAAAAAAACTTTTTTATTATTGACATGGTCACCACTCAGCATGTGCTGCAGCAATTTAATTGCTACAGCGCTGATATTCTGTGGTGTCCATACGTGACATTACGAACGACGACAGCAAACATACGCATACATATATATACATACACATACACATACATATATATATATATATATATATATATATATATATATATATATATATATATATATATATATATATATATATATATATATATACACACATACATATATATATATACATATATACACACACACACACACACATACATACATACACACACACACACACACACACACACACATACATATACATACATACATACACTTAACTGACAAGATATACCCATATAGATATGTACAACAATAATACAATAACAATACAAAAATATATTATACAACGAAGCAGCAATGTTATGCAATCACAAGGAGCTACATGCTTTTTGTAGATTTAAATATATTTTTAGCATATTTTTTAAAAGTATAAGTTGTTTTTAAATTTCGTATGGGAGGAAAGGAGGTCATTCCAGATCTTGGAAGCTGCATATTTGAACCCTCTCTGAAAACTTGCAGTTCTATGTTAATTAAACGTATAGAATACTCTTAAATTATATATACTATTCTTGCGCCCACGATAATTTATCGTAAAGGTATTGAGGTTTACCTGTATTTATTATATTAAAAACTAAACATGCAAGATGCAACTTCCTACGAGAAAACATTTTCATGATACCGTCATTGTTTAAGAAAGGAGTAACGTGATTTTTTTATAGCAAAAGGACATGCATTTTGCACTCTTTGGATCAGTCGTTCAGTTCTAGACAACAAGCAAGGGCCATACACTACATCACCATAGTTTAATTTTTAAGACAAGATCACACAACTTTTCCCTAGTAGACACAGTTAGATATTTCCGAAATCGATATAGCAACTTAAGACGATAGAAACAGACTTTCACCGTTTGCATAATATATGACCTGGTTGGGTATATTGCTAGCAATGGGATTCTCAGTCTCCATTACTAACAATCCCTTTCCCCCAGAAATTATACTAGTCCAGTAGTCCTGGCTTAGAATGTATCACCCTTTCCCGTGGGTGCTGTAAGAGGCGACTAAGGTAACTTAATGGTCAAGGGATGGGCAAAAAAATATCTTAAAACATCACTAAATAACTACGGTTAACTCATTTTTGGCAACTACATGGCAAAACTTCCCCAATGGAGGGAGAGATATGTTTAGCAGTGGACAATTAACAGCCTATATAATTTAGATGATAAATTTTTTCTATTTTTTATACAACTTAGAATGGCAAACAAGCTGACGGCTCACCTGATGGAAAGTGGTAACCGTCGCCTATAGACATGAGCAGTACCATGGACATAACAGAGTATACTGTTTGGCCCGTGATACCCCCCATGCGTTGCCATTCCTGAGGACTCAGGTGTTATTGCTCTGTACCCAGTAAATTCACGCCATATATATAGTACATATAAATACTTACTATATATATATATATATATATACAATATAATACTAAACAGCTAGTAGTAATAACTGTATTTAAAAAAAAAATAAGTTACTTGAACCATCTTCTTTTTCAATAGTTAATTCAAAAATATTCTTAAGTTAATTATTTTATTTTATCACTAGCGGCCCATCCCGGCGTCGCACGGGTGGACATCTTTAACATCTCCCTTCACTGCTCTGCTCCTATTGATCGTAGCGTCATGAAAAGTACACTATAACCTGCCCAGGAGTATGAAAAATAATTGTACCAGGTTTCGTTAAAATCCGTCGAGTAGTTTTTGTTTCTATAACGAACATACAAACAGATAGACAAAAATTTTACTGATTACATTTTTGGCATCGGTATCGATCACTAATCACCGCCTGATAGTTATTTTGGAAATATATTTCATGTACAGAATTGACCTCTCTACAGATTTATTATAAGTTAAGATACAAATTTCAAAACCGTTAGAAAAAAAAATCAATTTAAAAAAAAAACGTATTCAATTTATTCATCATCATCATCATCACCATCCTCGTCATTGTCATCCTGTTCCCTCTTCTTCAATTTCGCTTCGAGGTCTTTCGCCGGGTTGAACACGCCGCCAGTCTGCGTGTTGCATATGAAGCATCTAGAAGACTTCTTATAGTTGTCTAGGGCGCATTTCTCACAGAAGTAGTGCTTGCATCTGGAAAGAAGAGTTTTATTTATTTATTTAGTTATTTAAGGACAACCAACAAAGCATAAATTTATATATATAATTTTTTTTTATACAACTTAGAATGGCAAACAAGCTGACGGCCCACCTGATGGAAAGTGGTAACCGTCGCCTATACACATGAGCAGTACCGTGGACACAACAGAGTATACTGTTTCGCCCATGATACCCCCCATGCGTTGCCACTCCTGAGGACTCAGGTGTTATATCGGCTTTTGTACAAAGTCTCCCTCTGGTATTTATATCTACTTAAAATACATTATAATAAGGTTACATTATAAAATGCTGCTTCAATTAAAGATCGCCACGACACGCGTATTCATTACTTTAGTTGTATAAAAAAAAATCTAGAATGGTAATGTAAAAGAGTAAAATACTATTTATTTATTTATTTACAGGATTACCAACATAAGATACAGCTACAATAAAGCTAAGTTTTAATACAATACACTGGCAGCTCAGGTCTCACCGTTCTTACATTTATAGGCAACCACAGCATGCCTTGTGTTTGACAAACATTAAAATATAATTAAATTATTAAATGTGTAAAGATATTAACAATATGAATAATAATATAATATAAATAATGGAAATTGTATTCAAATTATTATAAAATATAAATAAATATAATGTAATGGGGAGGTATATCAACACTTTAATTTAGTCATGAATACAGAGTGACTATGATACATACTTGTGATAAAACGAGATAGACAAGTAGGTCATTCACCTACGCAATATAAGCTCGAAGCTGATTTAGCGGGAATAAAAAAAATCATATTTTATTTTCCAAGAATCTATTTTTTTTTGATGGGTGAAAATGGTATGGTAACCCCGCCTGCGCTAACGGGATACGCTGGCGGAGCACCAGTGAAGGGTGATAGATGAGAATGAAAACAGGCCAGTTAGCCCATCATGATGAATCCATCAGGAATTAACCATGATAGTTTCCAGGGGGTACCGCGAGGAGATCGACCTGGTTGGGTGTATTCCTAGCAATGGGATTCTCAGTCTCTATTACTAACAATCCCTTCCCCCCCCCTCCCAAAAATCTATTATAGAACTATAGAATTATACAATTCCTTACTTGGTCACCACGGGGTCCGTGAAACTCCCCCTGCATATAAAGCAGCGGAAGGGCAGCTCCTCATCGCTGTGGACTTCGTAATCGGAGTCGTCCCCAGTGGCCGCCACTTGCACCTCTTCTCTCTCCAGCTGCCATCCGTGCTTATAATCAGAACGGTCGTGGAGAAATTTGCACGAGTCTAGAAAAAAAAACCTTTTTGAAAAAAACTTTTTTTATGTAATCCGCCATCTTGTGTTTGCGGCCATTTTAAAACAATGCTGTCAGTGGGGAATTGGTAATATATAGCTATATGGGGAAAGGGATTGTTAGTAATGGAGACTGAGAATCCCATTGCTAGCAATATACCCAACCAGCTCGACCTCCTCGCGGTTCCCCCTGGAAACTATCATGGTTAATTCCTGATGAATTCATCATGATGGGCTAACTGGCCTGTTTTCATTCTTATCTATCACCCTTCACTGGTGCCCCGCCAGCATATCCCGTTAGTCGTTATCGGTCGTGTCATGAAAAAGGTTAAAAAACTGTTCTAAATCTATCTCTCGACCTTGACTTTCGAATCTACTTAGTCATTTATAGAATAAATAGCATGCAAATGTCACATCTTGGTTGGAACCGATTAATTCATGTTTTTTTTTTATACAACTTAGAATGGCAAACAAGCTGACGGCCCACCTGATTGAAAGTGGTAACCGTCGCCTGTAGACATGAGCAGTACCGTGGACATAACAGAGTATACTGTTTCACCCATGATATACTCCCCATGCGTTGCCATTCCTGAGGACTCAGGTGTGATTCCTCTGTACCCAGTAAATTTACGCCATATCCCACCCTTCGAACCGAAACACAGCAATGCAAACACAACTGCTTCACGGTTGAAACACGAATGGGACAGAGGTGCCCAAGCAAACGACTTTTGTACAAAGTCTCCCTCTGGTATCATCTTTAAAATGCAAGCATATTGTACATACCTCCGAATCCACAAAATCCCGTTTCCTTATAATCTTTACATATGTCCGGCTGATAGTCCCATCTGTGGACAAGAATGATATAAGATATCAAAAAAATTACAAAAGAATTAAAGTAAGCGACATAGTCCGAAGGATGAGCAAGCTGGTGGCGATGGGCTGGTCATATAGCTCGAAGAATCGACAACCGATGGGGAAGAAACGTTATTTACTTCTCATTTCTACTTCTACTTCTTTCTACTTCTTTACCAGAGGGAGACTGTACAAAAGTCGATTGCTTGGGCATCTCTGTCCCACTCGTGTTTCAACCGTAAAGTAGTTGTGTTTGCATGGCTGTGTTTCGGTTTGAAGGGTGGGATATGGCGTGAATTTACTGGGTACAGAGGAATAACACCTGAGTCCTCGGGAATGGCAACGCATGGGGGGTATCATGGGCGAAACAGTATACTCTGTTATGTCTATGGTACTGTTCATGTCTATAGGCGACGATTACCACTTTCCATCAGGTGAGCCGTCAGTTATTTTGCCATTCTAAGTTATATAAAAAAAAGTTCTTGAATGGCGACCCCCTACGGGTAAACGCTGACGACCCCCACTAGATGAAGTGACGACTTCAAATGCATTGCAGGGCAAATTATGGCAGTCTATGGGGGAGGCTTATGTCCAACAGTGGACGGATAATGGCTGAAATGATGATTCTGATGATAATATATAGATAGGATAGTTTTTACCCAGACAGAAAAAAAAATTACCTACTAGGTGACGGTATGGGGCCAAAACAACGTTTTCAGGGTATGTTAGTATACATATAGTAAATAAAAACTACCTTTTTGGCTGTGTTTCGGTTCGAAGGGTGGGATATGGTGTGAATTTACAGGGTACAGAGGAATAACACCTGAGTCTTCAGGAATGGCAACGCATGGGGGGTATCATGAGCGAATCAGTATACTCTGTTATGTCCATGGTACTGCTCATGTCTATAGGCGACGATTACCACTTTCCATCAGGTGAGCCGTCAGTTATTTTGCCATTCTAAGTTATATAAAAAAAAAAATTACCTGACGGTCGCCCTGAGGTTTGCCGGCGCCCTGATGGGTCCTTTCCTGACCATTCCCGAACTTGCGTTCCCGGCGGCTGTATCCCGTTTCTTGTAGTACTGTGCGTAATTGTTTATACCGCGATATATCTGAAAATGGTAGGGAGAAAGGATTGTTAGAATGGGACAGAGGTACCCAAGCAATCGACTTTTGTACAAAGTCTCCCTCTGATAAATTCATACATTTATCCATAGATGGAATTACTTTAACTTACCTTATCATCTGCCTGGCCTTTTAACTCTTTGTTTATCATCTGGGCCTTCTCGAATATGGCCTGGGCGTCTCTGTCTCGCTCTGTGTCCAGCTCATATGTTGCTGTCGCATTCTCGCGCTGCTGTTGTACTGACAATGTTGTGTGAGCTTCTACAGTCTGAAAACGATGGCAGGATTTTCAGAGTTATCATTAAGTACATTTTTTTCTACAAAATTGCCATGGAAAAAAGTATTTTTTTTATGCAACTTACAATAGCAAACAAGCTGACGGTCCACCTGATGGAAAGTGGTAACCGTCGCCTATAGACATGAGCAGTACCGTGGACATAACAGAGTATACTGTTTCGCCCATGATATCCCCATTCCTGTGGACTAAGGTGTTATTCCTCTGTACCCTGTAAATTCATTGCTATATCGCACCCTTCAAACTGGGGAGGAAGGGATTGTTAGTAATACAAACTACCAGTTTCATTGCTAGTAATACACTCTGTCAGGTCGACCTCCATGTGGTTCCGCCTGAAAACCATCATGCTGAATTCCAGATGTATTCATGACGATGGGCTAACTGGCCTACTTTTTTATTCTCACCTATCATCCCTCACTGGTGCCCAGCCATTTCTTTATCATTCATTGAGAAACCCTTCAAATCGAAACAGCCATGCAAACACAACTGCTTCACGGTAGAAACACTAATGGGACTGAGGTGCCCAAGCAAACGACTTTTGTACAGTTTCCCTCTGGTAAATAAGTATGTTGCGGATAAGATTATCAGACAGAATTAAAACTAGCACAATTATAAAACACACAACACTAGTTACTTTAACATTTGAAATTTTTTTCTCATGCAACTTAGAAAAACAAGCATGCTGACGGTGGGCATTACATTCATATTACCTTATCTTCATCACTACTATCAGCATTTACTACGGGTTTCTGTCTTCTCGTACCAGCCGTTGTCTGTTTGTTGGGGTTTTCTTTCTGGGGACGTTTCATTGGCAACACAACTGACTGTTCATCTGAATCGGAGCTGTTTTTGTCTGGAACATTTTAAAATATTTAATTATTGGAAGAATTCATATATTTGAGAGGGAAAATACACATTAACAAACAGGGAGGCCTTGATAAAGATGTTTTTTTAAATGTAACCTTAAAATTAGCAAGCAACTTTGACTCCTTTAAAAAGTAAACTTTGATTGAGGACAAATATCTGGCAAGACAAAGGCCTCTAAAGTTATTCACTAACAAGGTCTTTGTCCAACACTTAATAAAATTGGCTGTTAACAAATTGTAAATAAAAAACTTAATTTATACAAATTTAAGTATGTTCAGTCAGCAATCCCTATTAAAACAACTCTAAAAGCCTAACTGCGGTTGCCAGTCCGCTTGTCAAGTGTAGCAACTACTGTCGAAACTCTTCTTATGGGGAAGGCTTATGTTCAACAGTGGACGTAAACATTATGTTAACGGCAGTTTTTTTTTATACCACTGAGGTGGCAAACAAGCATATGGCCACACCTGATGGTAAGCAGTTACCGTAGCCTATGAACACCTGCAATACCAGGGGCATTAAGTGCGCATTGCCAACCCTGAAGAAACCTCTTTACCCCCCTTTTGAAGAACCCCATGCTGTAGTCTCTTGCGAAAACATATTAAATATAAAGAGAGGGGTTATTTCCCTCTTCTATGAACCGGAAAATTTCTGTCATTTAACATGTAGGGGTTACAATATTTCCCACACACCCCAGCTGCCCTCCCTCCGGCAGATGGGACGGTCTGTCCGAAGATTTTCTACATGGAAAAAAAAGGGGGTTACAATATTAAACATAACATAATTTAACTCTTTGTACACTATTTTGGTCTATAATTACAGTTAGTATAAGTTGAAAATTATTAATTTTCTTCAGTCAAATCTTTGGTGTATAAATGTTAATAATTTATTTATTTTTATTTAATTCTTTATTGTACACACCAGTTATAAGAATATGACATAGGCAATCAGATGTATAAAGGCGAGCTTAACTCTAATATAGTTCTCTTCCAGTAACACCCAAAGTGGAAAGGAGCATCAATGTCAGCGAGTAGAGCGCTGTACAATATTGTGACAATTTTTAAACAGACTAGACAACATTAATTATATTATATTTAATTTTATAAATACACACATACATATACATAAATATATACCTATATGCATACCTACATAATTTGTTACTATTATTCACATAAACTGCTCACAAAATAAGCTTTTTAGTTATAATTTAGGTAGCCATATGAGAGGTTTTTTTTTTTTGATGAGTGAAAATGGTATGGTAGCCCCGCCTGCTCTAACGGGATACGCTGGCGGAGCACCAGTGAAGGGTGATAGATGAGAATGAAAACAGGCCAGTTAGTCCATCATGATGAATTAATCAGGAATTAACCATGATAGTTTCCAGGGGGAACCGCGAGGAGGTCGACCTGGTTGGGTATATTGCTAGCAATGGGATCCATATGAGAGGTTAGGTTTAGTTCTGTTGACTTCATTAAAAAGCATTGAAATTACTTATAGAAGAGTAATAAATAATTTTTATAAACAGTTCACCATCAGAACTCGACGCTTTGCGTTTTCTACCGCCTCTATTCTTGAGGTTTCGCTTTTTAAAGGTCGTAGGAACTTCCACTTCCACATCAGACATTTTTGTAAAATAAAGCCGAATACGTCTTGCTATATTAACACTATATCTTCTCAATTAAAATATTATTCTACTGTTAATGTTTACAGTAAAAAATTACGATATTTTATTTATATAATCATTAGAAAAACAATAAAATGATAAATGTTTACAATTTATTAGTATTTGATGACAAATCGAATTGACATGTCGACAGTTGACAGTTGACAGTTGACAATACTAATAGTATTAATTTATTCATAATCTGTAAGGCAAAGGAACTAAGTAATACAATCTAATTTTCGTGTTCATTTATCGACTTTAATTAAGTAATATATTTTTATTGTTAAAAGTTTCGTAAGCACACACATTATATTTTATATCGGTGGTGTTGTAATAATATCAGTTATGCGGATGACATGGTCTTGCTGAGTCCGGCAGCTAATGGTCTTAGAAAACTAATTGAAATATGTGAACAATATGCAAAAATACATCATTTAACATATAATGTCAATAAAACAGACATTATTATTTTTAAATATAGAAAGGGACCTGAAATTTTCCAAAAATTAATTTATGTGGGAATTCTTTAAAAATAGTTAATAAATTTAAATATCTTGGACATATGTTGACAGAACATCTGAAAGATGATAGCGACATGGAGAGACAAAGGCGTAATACATGTAGAAGCAATATGGACGATTTAACCACTGTTCGAAGCTAGTCAAATTGACATTGTTTAAGTCTTATTGTGCCAATTATGGTATAGTTATACCTCACACTGCGTGTGCCATTCCTGAGCTCAACTTGCCATGGCGGTTAGTGCGTCTGGCATGTTTGCAGAGAACAGGGTTAATGATTTTTTTGCTATTTTACGTAATTATAAGGCAAAATTTCTTTACAGATTAATGACAACAAGTAATCATATTGTAAAGACTGTATTCCTCACTGCATACCTGACGACAAGAGATTTTATAATGAAATAATTTTAATTCGTATTTTATAATTAATGTATATTTTAAAAATAATAATAATAGTTTGTTTAATTAATAATGTAAAAATGTAAACTATGGGTACCTGAAAATAAAGAGATTTATTTATTATTATTATTATATTTTAATGTAACAATTACCGGCTTAACTTACGTATAATTAGATTGAAAAAATCTCGTCTGGTTTCGGAATCAATTCGTGATCTTTAACCATGAGCGACTGTGATGCGAGTCCAAGCTTAACGATCACGAGAATAAATTAAACCAGTAGTTATTATTATTAGTTTTATTAATTACATTAAAATAAAATTTTATTTTTAGTTTACATACTAAAATTTGTTATTATCTATTCCATTGTCATTCATTAAAAAAAAAAACAATACTCAATAGATTACTGCGTAAATCTTATTATATTTAGGTAACATGATGTTTGTACAAAATTCGATTGCTTGGGTACCTCTGTCCTATTCGTGTTTCTACTGTGAAGCAGTTGTGTTTGCATGGCTGTGTTTCAAACGAAACGTGTTTCATTGTTTTGTAATAGAAATCACAGTAGAAAAGAGACAATAGCATAGGGTTCTTCAAAAGGTTTCTTTTAAAGAGGTTTCTTCAGGGTTGGCAAAGTGCGTGTTATGCCCCTGCTATTTTAGGCTTTTATAGCATACGGTAAACACTTAGAATTAGGTGAGCCGTATGCTTGTTTGCTTCCTTATTGGCATAAAAAAATACAATTAAGTAGCACAGGTTGATAACTTGTTAATAGCTACAAATCATAATGTTATTTTCTACAATTTCTTGTAATATTTATTTCAAAATGTTTTGCTCTTAAATTTATATCAGGCGTTGATTAAAAAAAAAAAGACAGTTTAAATAATATTTAGAGTATTATATATTAAATACTAGCTGACTCGGCAAACGTTGTTTTACCATATACATTAATTTCGAGAACTATACATGAAAATTTATCGTACTACAATTATTATATTCGATTGCCATCTTGCAACCATATTGCAGCATATAAAAATCGCGATTAAAAAACAGGGGTTGATTGTAAAACGATGAAAATTTAATGTTGTATGTATATTTCAATGCTAAATTATATTTAAATAAAAATAAAAAAATTTTTTAAAAAAATAAAAAAAAATTTTTTAGAGGTGGGTCACCTTTATCATTGAGGGGTATGAAAAATAGATGATGGCCGATTCTCAGACCTACCCAATATGCACACAAAATTTCTTAAAAATCGGTAAAGCCGTTTCGGAGGAGTTTGGTAACAAACACCGCGACACGAGAATTTTATATATTAGATATAGATATATTAAATATTAATAAGTTGCTAGTGAATAAAATTATAAAAATAAAATCTAACAGCCGCATTGCTAGCAATGTACCCTAACAGGTCGCAGTCCACGCGGTTCCCCCTGGAAACCATCGTGACTAATTTATCGTTGAATTCATCACGGTGGGCTAACTGACCCGCTTTCACCCTCACCTATCATCTCTCCCTGGTGCCCCGCCAGCGTATACCGACAGCGTATGCGGTATCACCATTCTATTTTCACCTGTAAAAAAAAAAGATCGCTGCGAACGGCAGGGAGTGTCCATAACGTTAGGTACCTACTTTAATTCTATCGCTCATACTACTATACTGTTTGGTTTACCAAGAAGTCATATAAATACGAACACTCAGGTTATGGAATGAGCTCCCTGCCGAGGTTTTCCCAAGGGACTACAGCATGGGGTTCTTCAAGAGGGGGGTAAAGAGGTATCTTCGGGGTCGGCAACGCGCGCGTAATGCCCCTGGTATTGCAGGCGTTCATAGGCTACTGTAACCGCTTACCATCAGGTGGGCCGTATGCTTATTTGCCACCTCAGTGGTATAAAAAAAAATCTACACAATGCAAATAAATAACATTACATTAATTTAATATTATTAAATCAAACATGAAAATAAAATTCTGAGAATATTAACTCCACTACATTATGAGGGAATTCCCCTTTAGATCGGGTTTTTCGCCGTGGCTTGTTAAATTTAACTAATCGATCTTATATAACCTACCTAACTAAAATATGTTGTGGTGAGAACGGATTGTTAGTAATGGGGATTAGTAGCCCTATAGCTAGCAATATACTGTCAGGTCGACCTCCACGCGGTTCCCCCTGGAAACCGTCGTGATTGATTTACTGTTGAATTCGTCACGATGGGCTAACTGACCTGCTTCATCCTCACCTGTCACCTGTCATCTCTCACTCATCATAAAAAAAACTAAAATATGTTTGTGGAAAGGATATTTTATAGTAATGTCGTTAAGATCCTGACAGATCGGCCTACACGAGGTCACCCCTGAAAAATATTGTGGTTAAATTCGAATGGTCTGACTGACCCCTCCCCCCCAAGCACAAAGGTATGAAATGCACAGGCAGGCAGGTTTTTTTAATACACGTTAATGGAATGGTAACCCCGCCCGCGCTATCGGTATACGCTGACGGGGCACCAGTGAGGGATGATAGCTGAGAATGAAAAGACAGGTCAGTTAGCCCATCGTGATGTATACACCTGGAATTTAGCATGATGGTTTCCAGGGGGGACCACGTGGAGGTCGACCTGATGTAGGATATATTGCCAGCAATGAGACTGGTAGTCCATGTTATTAACAATCCCTTCCTCACCAGACAGGCACGGTCATTTTTCATTTTTTCATTTTTACCATATAGCTAGTTATTTCCCTTTACTTCGTCACTGTAGAATTTTTTTATACCACTGAGGTGGCAAATAAGCATTCGGCCCACCTGATGGTAAGTGGTTACCATAGCCTATGAACACCTGCAATACCAGAGATATTACGCGTACATTGCTGACCCTGAAGAAGCCTCTTTACCCCCCTTTTGAAGAACCCCATGCTTGGGAAAACCTCGGCAGGGAGCTCATTCCACAACCTGAGTGTTCGTGGGAGAAAATATCTCTGAAACCGCGCAGTACGCGACCATTGAGGCTGTAGGGTATGAGGATGAACTCCCTGTCGATGGAGAGCCGTACGATGGTAAAAAGTGGCTGTGGGCATCATATTGAGCAATTCCTCTGAGCACAATCCGTTGTACAAGCGGTAGAACACGCCGAGTGAGGCAAAATCTCTCCTAAGACTTAAGGGTTCGATACCGCTTGCAAGCATGGGATCATCGACAATTCTCATAGCTCGTCGTTGCAACGAGTCGAAAGGTTCAAGCTGGTATTTAGGTGCTTTAGTTTCTACGGGACTAAGCTGTGAAAATCGCATCCAATTCGGTGCAGTAGTGTTTGCTTGTTTACTATACGTTACATGATTATTATGTTTTTTTTTATACAACTTAGAATGGCAAACAAGCCGACGGCCCACCTGATGGAAAGTGGTAACCGTCGCCTATAGACATGAGCAGTACCGTGGACATAACAGAGTATACTGTTCCGCCCATGATACCCCCCATGCGTTGCCATTCCTGTGGACTCGGGTGTTATTTTAAGTTTTTAAATACTGGTTTGTCATAAAATTTGATTAAAAGTAGACTTAATACAAAAATTGCATGAACGTTGCATGGCGAAGGTTACCACTTTCGATAACAAACAGACTTTTCCCTAACGGAAATGTAAAATTAAAGAATTGGTACACTTCCTTGTGATTATGTTGAAGGAAAGTCCATAAGATCCGTTACGCTTTCAATATACACAAAAACAGTGTTATGTCAACCGCAAATTGTACGTTGGCATTATAGTAACACGTCATCCATACGACATTATAGAATTAAGGTGGTCGAAAGTGGTATACCATTTTTAAAACGAGTCCAAAACAATTGTCAATTAACTAAAGACGTATCCTTATTTTTAAATAACGATACATAAGACGTTTCGTGTTTAAAACGGATTTTTGTAAAAGTAGTATACTATTTATTAGGTTCGCTTGCGTAAAAGTCGTAAGTTTAAATATTTGCAGTGTACTTTAGTACTTTTCGTTAGTTAAGTATATAATTTATATGGTATTTATCATTCAGTAAACGTTTTAATGTATGGATGAGGTTAGCGCGTTTTCGCGTGGCGTGAATGTTAAATGTTCTTTTAAATACCATCATAAGGAGAGCACTTTGGATCAAAAAATGATTTAGACAAATGTGTATAATTCAAAACACCTGCATTGGAAATAGTCAATATTTCCCCTAAAGAAAATAACGAAAAAAACAAAAAGGAAGAAAAACTCATTGGAATCAAAGCAGCAGTATTTCCGAAATAACCTTCAAAGAATATTCCTTTTACTATACAAAGTTTTTGCTTCACGTATTGATTTCTTGTTTTCAGCATAGAATGGCAAACAAGCTGGTAGCCCAATTGGAGGAAAGCGGTAACCGTCGCCTATAGACATAAACAGTACCGTAAATATAACAGGATTGGGGGGAGAAGGGATTGTTAGTAAAGGAAATTAGCAAAGCTATTGCTAGCAATATGCCCTACCAAGTCAACCTCCTCGCGGTTCATGCTGCAAATCATCGTGATTGATTTATCGTTGAATTCGTCACTATGGGCTAACTGACCTGCTTCATCCTCACCTATCACCCCTCACTGGTCCCCGCCGGTGTATACCGATAGCGCGGGCGGGGTTATCATTCCATTATTGTTCATTAAAAACAAATATTACAAAATACACTGTGACATTCATGGTATCCCATATGCATTGCCATTAATGCATTCATTAGTTTTATTCCTCACTCATAAATAAAATTACTGTCTACCATTAATACTGTCTTTTTTTTACAACGCAGGGGACAAACGAGCATGCGGCTCACCTGATGGTAAGTGACTACCGCCGCCCATGATCACCGACAACACCAGCGGCATTGCAGGTGTGCTGCCGGCCTTTTAAAAACGAATATGCTCTTTTCTTAAAGGTCATGTTGTCATATCGGTTTGGAAATACTGCTGCTGGAATTTGATTCTAAAGAGTGGTTGTGCGTGGAAGAAAGTGCCTTGAAAAACGCACGGTGGAGGAGCGCCACTCGTCCAGATGATTGGGATGAAACTTAAATTAAATTTAATAGATTAAATTTAAAAAAATTAAATAAAATTACCAGGGTTTTATAGAAAGCATTTGACAATATATGTTATGTTGGAATTTCGACCAATGGTCGACTGCCAGTATGTATTATAATGCGCTAAGAAGCCTGTAAACACTACAAGACTGATGTTATCATAGACTCGCAATATCTTTACACTGAACTGTAGGTTTTGTGTTGCAACATCAAATAAATAACAATGGGTATTTTTTTTTACTTTAAAGTACCTATTGTTAAATTATACATTTGGTAGTCACTTACCATCCGGTGAGCCGCATGCTCGTTTGCCCCCTGTGTTGTAAAAAAAAGGTGCCGACTAAATATTGTACGATGATTACTATGGTTACCATAAATATGTACATACTTTGGGGGGAATGGGATTGTTAGTAATGGAGACTGAGAATCTCATTGCTAGCAATATACCCAACCAGGTCGACCTCCTTGCGGTTCCCCCTGGAAACTATCATGGTTAATTCCTGATGAATTCATCATGATGGGCTAACTGGTCTGTTTTCATTCTCATCTATCACCCTTCACTGGTGCTCCGCCAGCGTATCCCGTTAGCGCAGGCGGGGTTACCGTTACCATACCATTTTCACCCATAAAAAAAAATTTTGATACCAGCTGATGCCCGTGACTTTGTCCACGTGGTATTTGTTATTCCTGTTTAGTATGTATCGAGGTATGTACCTACCTATTTATTATGTCCGGGAATACTGGACCAAAATTAACAAATGAAATGTCGTTTTCACTCTTTGCCTTAGGTCGAAATGACTTTACTTAAGTAGGTCGTGTACGCCACCACTAACTACACCAGAGGGAGACTTTGTACAAAAGTCGATTGCTTGGGCACCTCTGTCCCATTCGTGTTTCAACCGTGAAGCAGTTGTGTTTGCATGACTGTGTTTCGGTTAGAAGGGTGGGATATGGCGTGAATTTACTGGGTACAGAGGAACTTAGAATACAACTTAGAATGGCAAACAAGCTGACGGCCCACCTGATGGAAAGTGGTAACAGTCGCCTATAGACATGAGCAGTACCGTGGACATAACAGTATACTGTTTCGCCCATAATACCCCCCATGCGTTGCCATTCCTGAGGACTCAGGTTTTATTCCTCTGTACCCAGTAAATTCACGCCATATCCCACCCTTCAAACCGAAACACAGCCATGCAAACACAGCTGCTTCACGGTTGAAACACGAATGGGACAGAGGTACCCAAGCAATCGACTTTTGTACAAAGTCTCCCTCTGGTACACATTTTCTTCTTATGTGGTTATATAGAATTGAGAAAGTGAAGACTGTAAACTCAGACGCAGTTTGAAAATAACCAGAGGGCCTACCATGAAATGTTTTCCGAAATTTCGGATCCGAACGAAACAAAAATTTGATGCTAAAATTACATGATACGTACCGTTTAAAAATATTAAAAATGCTAAAATATCGTTCCTTTGAACTTTTATGGTAGGATTTATGATGAACGAAATGTTAAGCTCCATTTACAGGGTCGATTTAGGTAGGAACAAAAACACAAAATTGAGCGCGAAAATTCGGAATTTCATATCATGGTAGACCCTCTGATGCATACCTAAATACACACTGGGGGGAAAGGAAATTGGAAACCGATTTGGGAACTTCCTTTTTTATTTGAAAGAATATACTTACAGATTGATCCCATAGAAATTTTATTAAAATGTTTTTTTTAAATATATAAAAAAATAACTGGTTTCGTAACAATTGAGGTCCGTTTTTTTTTTAAAAAAACAGATTTTTAATTATTACGCCTAAATGATCAATTTTGATGAATTTTGGTGTAGAGACAGATTGGATGTTGGAGAAAGATGTGGGCTACTTTTTTATCCGGTCAATAAACATATTCCGGTTATGTAGACGAAGTTGCGGGTTAAAGCTAGTGTCCGACAAATTCGATGGTAACTTTATGGGAACACAAAACCTCACCAGCGATATTTGGATATAGTGTTTACAAGTTCTCCTCACGAGTGAGTATAATTGGATATAGTGGTTAAACGTCACCCAGTGAGTAAACTCAAAGATATGCCATGTCTAGAGTTTTAAAAGAAACAAAGGGGTCGATTCAGGGGCGTTTTTTTTTCAACACTGACCTATGCAATGCTGCATCATGCATATTCTATTTATATATTCTTTATTGCACTTGTAAGTTACATACAAAATAATGTATTTATAAATGCTGTGAGCAAGGGTGGACTTATCTCTGACAGAGATCTCTTCCAGTCGACCCAATACAGTGAGAAAGCATGTCGTTAGCGGCAGCTGAAGTGCTACAACTATTAATATTTAGAGTACATAAATTGTGTTGTAAAATAATTACATTTTTAGAAACTAATCTATAAAGGATTTCACAAAATAGGAGGCCTTAATTCGGTCGTATTTTTTTGATGTTTGTTACCTTAGAACTTTATTTAAACCAATTTAGAAATATATATATTTTTTAACCGATATAGTCGTATAGTCCCATGAAAATTTTATTATAATCGCTTCAGTAATTTGTTTTTTACAATAAACGAAAATAACATTTATTGGTTTTATATTTGGCTTACGCAAACGAGCATGCGGCTGACCTGATGGTAAGTGACTATCGCTGCCCATGATCACGCACAACACCAACGGCAGTGCAGGTGTGCTGCCGACCTTTTAAAAAGGAACATGCTCTTTTTTTGAAGATTACGATTCCGTATCAGTTCGGTAATACTGCTGCTGGAAGCCGATCTCAAAGGTTGTGCGTGGAAGAAAATGCCTTGAAAAACGCACGGCGGAAGACCGCTTCTCATCCATATGATTGGGATAGAACTTTAGTTTGTGACGGGTTGTACGGTGGGGAAAATCAGCAGCAGGTATCAATCCGAACAATTTCTCATGCTTGTCATTACTGTCTTTCCTTCGAACATTAAGTTTCTTTAGTGGTCTGTTATAACATCCACGCTAATCCTAAATATAATAGTATAGATTCCCTCCTAAATGGTGTTCACCAGGTTATGTACTTACTTACTTAATATTACTACTGTAAATGTAAATTGGACTCTCTTTTCTCCGTGCTAAGCCACTTATTTGGGTCGTTTTACGTATGTGTCGTAGCTATAGCCAGCCCAATTCCGCCTAGAAGCACAAAAGCTTCCTAGGATCTTCACAGGCCTCACGGAGTGACCTCACTGTTACGTGGATTACTAAACGTTGAGGGGCTACAGCTTCACGTTTCTGGATTACGTGAACAGCCGTTCTTTCGGCGTCAAAACAGCCTCTGGATAGAAGACTGTTTGTGGCTCCTATTGTGTATAAATGTTTGTTTAATGGACAATGGCCCGTTATTGTCCCTATCATTGTTTTAAGGTTTTTCCTATCTAGATGTAATAAACGTTTTGATAGTCTTCGATTCAACGTTGGCTTGGCAAGTTTTGATTGTTAAGGGGACCAAGTACTTTTTGTTCAAAAAGAGTATACTTTGCAAGTATTTCATAGGTGAAAAAAAAAAAGAAGAAAAAACGATAAAAACTTTATTTTCTTTTAAAAACCTATTTCTCTTCGGAGTGGATATTTTTTGCTAAATGAGGATGTTCGTCTAATAATGTAGCCACACCCGAACAACTTTGATTTTGCATATTAAATTTGACTGTTAAGACGACGGTTGTTTTTACAGATAGTTGCGACTTCTCACTGTTCCAATAATCATTCCTTAGTGGAAATACCCTTTCAACAGCAGCATTAGTACCTGGTGGACAACATAAGAGAATTTCTATTAAAACTTTTAAATTTTCACGTGGGATATGTTCTAATGAAATTCAATTCATCAATTTTATAATAATTTTAAATATTTAATTAAAAAAATATGGAATAAAATAATCTAAAAAAAATGTTTTAGAAATACAAATGAGTATAAAATTATACAAATGAGTACATTCAGAAGTACAGGATTTGAAAAGAGTACGGTTTGCGAAAAATGAGTTGGTACAAAACTCAGTAAATGAGTACAGTTGGTCACCTTATGATTGTCTACAATCAGTAACCTATGTTCGTCTTTCCTTACGTACGTCAGTGGCTCCTGGTGTCTGCCGACCATATATTACACCGATGAAGTAAAATAAACAAAATTCCTTCAAATATTTTTGTTTATTTCTCAAGGAATAATTCTCTTGCAAGTCAGAAATGTTTGCTGTATTCATAAATAAACTTCAGTTAGAAAAAATTATGTATATAAATAATGATTCACAATTGTTATCCATAATTGCAAGGCGTTTGGTTAATGTTACTGTTATGGACTGTTACTCAGTTAAATATGGTTATGTGAGCACCAGAGGGAGACTTTGTACAAAAGTCGATTGCTTGGGTACCTCTGTCTCATTCGTGTTTCTACCGTGAAGCAGTTGTGTTTTCATGGCTGTGTTTCGGTATGAAGGGTGGGAATATGGCGTAAATTTACAGGGTACAGAGGAATAACATCCGAGTCCTCAGGAATGGCAACGCATGGGTGGTATCATGGGCGAAACAGTACACTCTGTTATGTCCATGGTACTGCTCATGTTTATAGGCGACGGTTACCCATTTCCATCAGGTGGACCGTCAGCTTGTTTGCCATTCTAAGTTGTATAAAAAAAAAAACCTATAACCAATTACAGGGTTTTTTTGACAGAAAAATCCCTACTTATGTTATTCAAAATAGTTTCGTTCTATTGAATTAAAACTTTGAAATATTCCTATTAAGCTGTCAATGGAGATTTGAATATATGTTGTAGAAAAATGTACTCAAAAAATTGTTAGTAATGAGGTCCAATAGCGCATATAAAGCAGCGGAAGGGCAGCTCCTCATCGCTGTGGACTTCGTAATCGGAGTCGTCCCCAGTGGCCGCCACTTGCACCTCTTCTCTCTCCAGCTGCCATCCGTGCTTATAATCAGAACGGTCGTGGAGAAATTTGCACGAGTCTAGAAAAAAAAACCTTTTTAAAAAATAACTTTTTTTATGTAATCCGCCATCTTGTGTTTGCGGCCATTTTAAAAAGATGCTGTCAGTAGGGGATGGGTAATATATACTATATTAAAAAAACTATTATAGGAGCCATAAAATGTTTTGTCTTTTTTTTTTTTTACCAACATAGTTTGGACGTCGACATGGTTGGGTTTATTGCTAGCAATAGGATTCTCAGTCTCCATCACTAACAATCCCTTTCCCCCCTCCATTAAGTATTATACGGGGAGATTTCATTTATTCATGGAATGAATTGGTCCATAGACTATAGCAAGTGTTTACCATTAGACCGGCTGTATGTTTGTTTACCACTTTCGTTATATATATATATATATATATATATAAAACGCGATGTTGTGTTTCTGAGAACTGTTTTGGAAGTACATATACACCTAATGATATAAATATTTTGTATTGTTGTAACAACGCTGATTCATTTTATAGTATCAACGTTTAAAGTAGGTTTTTCCATTCACATTGCAGTTTGGGGGGAGTCCAGGTTTGATTAGACTGGACAGAAATGTATCTCGAACCTCTCTGTCTAGATGGTGAAGGATTGTTAGTGATGGGGACTACCAACCCCATTGTTTTTTTTTGATGGGTGAAAATGGTATGGTAACCCCGCCTGCGCTAACGGGATACGCTGGCGGAGCACCAGTGAAGGGTGATAGATGAGAATGAAAACAGGCCAGTTAGCTCATATATATATATATATATATATATATATATATATATATATATATATATATATATATATATAGCAATGGGATTCCCAATATATTAAAAACAATCCCTTTCCCCCCAAAATTATTATTATTATAACTCCGTCAGTTGTGAGCCGATTTGGAAAACTGTTTTCTTATCTGAAAGCTTATATACTTACAGATTGGTCCTATAGAGATTTAAATAAAATCAATTCAGTATTTTAGTTTTTAAATCAAAATAAAAATGGCTTTGCTACATCTGAAGTCTTTTTTTTGTGGTACACAATGGTGTACAATTTTCCATTTGTGAAACAAATGCAAATTGCTTTTCAGTTATTTTTGCACATGTTTTTAAGTTAATCTCAAATATAACGGTATTGATGGTAACTGCAGGCGATTTATTTTATTGATTTGTTTTTTTTTATACAACTTAGAATGGCAAACAAGCTGACGGCCCACCTGATGGAAAGTGGTAACCGTCGCCTGTAGACATGAGCAGTACCATGGACATAACAAAGTATACTGTTTCGCCCATGATACACCCCATGCGTTGCCACTCCTGAGGACTCAGGTGTTGTTGTGTTTGCATGGCTGTTTTTCGGTTTGAAGGGTGGGATATGGTGTGAATTTACTGGGTACGGAGGTTCTTGAGTGGCGACCGCGTACGGGCAAACGCAGTGTAGGATGACGCCCCGCTAAATGGAGTGACGACCTCAAATGCATTCCAGCGAGTCAGTAGACGCAGTTGGCTCAGAATCGTTCTTTATGGCAATCTATGGGGGAAGCTTATGTTCAGCAGTGGACGGATAATGGCTGGAATGATAATGTTGATGATATATATATATATATATATATATATATATATATATATAATATTCGATTGCCATCTTGCAACCGTATTGTAGAATATAAAAATCGCGATAAAAACAGGAGTTGATTGTAAAAGCGTGAAAATTTGAAGTTGTATGTATTTTTCGATGCTAAATCATAGTAAAATAAAATTAAAAAAAATTGTGGAAAAATTAAAAAACCATTTTTAGGGGTGGGTCACCCTTATCATTGATGGGTATATCCAAGTTATTTATACATGGGTTTATCCAAGTTTATTTCAAGATCCCTCTATTTCAGGGGAACTCTATATATATGGATATATATATATATATATATATATATATATATATATATATATATATATATATATATAGATATATATATATATCAGAGAATTGATTACATTATATACAGTAATCTACTTTGATATCAACAGTTGGTTTAACAATATATAATTATAAACGACACTTTTACTATTTATATATATATATATATATATATATATATATATATATATATATATATATATATATATATATCCAATATATAAAATTCTCCTGTCACGGTGTTTGTTACCAAACTCCTCCGAAACGGCTTTACAGATTTTCATGAAATTTTGTGTGCGTATTGGGTAGGTCTGAGAATCGGCCAACATCTATTTTTCATACCCCTCAATGATAAGGGTGACCCATCCCCAAAAATTTTTTTTTTATTTTTTAACAAATTTTACCATTTTTATTTTATTATGATTAAGCATTGGAAAATACATACAACCTGTTTTTAATCGCGATTTTTATATGCTGTAATAGGGTTGCAAGATGGCAATCGAATATAATAATTGTAGTAGGATAAATTTTCATGTATAGTTCTAGAAATAATGTATATGGTAAATCAACGTTTGCCGAGTCAGCTAGTTAATTTAGTTATGTACTTTATGTAATATTTATTAATGTGATCGCTGTGCCCTTCCAGGGTACATGTTGATTCTTTATCTTTAATAACTTAAGACCTATATTGTTACAACATGAAATAGCAATAAATGATTGAATTGAATTAAAATGTAAAATTATTTAGCACACAATAGAATAGAATAGAATAGAATAGAATAGAAATCATTTATTCAAATAAACTTACATTGAAGCACTTTTGAAAAGTCATTACATTTTTTTTTTTTTTAATCTACCGCTCGTTCGGAAATTTTGTCTCATCACAAGAAGAACGAGCAAGAAACTGTTTTTTGCGATTTTTGTTGCTCTTTTAAATAATTTTATTATTACTTTACATTTTCAAGTTTAATTGTGTGAATACAAACGCCACCAGTATATATATATATATATATATATATATATATATATATATATATATATATATATATATATATATATATATACATAACCAACTGGTTAAACAATTAATAAGAGGAAATCAGTCATAGTGATTAGAGCAGACCAGTCCCTACAAGCAGCACCCGTTCACGAGTATGATATGTAAAGAGTAAGTGTTGAGTTTCTAGCGGTATCTTCTCAGCAGATTCTGAATCCAGCAGTACAATCATATATATTCTTTATTGCACTTGTAAGTTACATATAAAATAATGTATTTATAAATGTTGTGACCAAGTGTGGACTTATCTCTGACAGAGATCTCTTCCAGTCAACCCGATACAGTTGGGAAGCATGTCGTTAGCGAGCAGCTGAAGTGCTACAACTATTAATACATAAACAAATATACAGTATAAATAAAATATTGAAATATATAATAAAATATTACATAAATACATACACTGTAAATACATATAATACCTACCTACTTATATAATAAATGTTAAAATAAATAAATATACTACTTACATTAGAAATTTCGTTTAATGATTTTAGGATTTGACGGTTCAATCATAAACAATTGATGATTTAAAAGAGCTTGTAAACAAGTCTATTTTAATAAAGATTATTTCTGTTCTGTTCTATTCTAAAAAAATCAACAAGAATAAACCACGATGGTTTCCAGGGGGAACTGTGTGGAGGTCGATCTGACAGGGTATATTGCTGGCAATGGGGTTGCTAGTTTTCATTACCAACAATCCCTTACCTCCTTGTATGTACAATTTTATTAAAATGGTTGATAATAGAATGGTAACCCCGCCTGCGCTATCGGTATACACCGGCGGGGCACCAGTGAAGGATGATAGGTGAGGATGAAAAGGCAGATCCGTTAGCCCATCGTGACAAATTCCATTAGAATTAACCACGATGGTTTCCAGGGGGAACCGTGTGGAGGTCGATCTAATAGGGTATATTGTTAGCAATGGGATTGTTAGTTCCTATTACCAACAACTTCTTCGTATGTGCAATTTACATCCAAGCAAAATAGAGGCAGAGAGTTTTCAATAAATATAATTTAGGATTTCCCCATTAGTCACTAGATGTAGAGCAAGATCGGGGAGACCCGAAACTCTTCCAAGGATAACATTTGGAAAAACCAGTACGGGAATAGATACTATGCATGCATCACTTTGAATTCGTACTACCAACATTAAGAAGAAAATAGGTTTTAGTATATTATTTATGCAACTTAGTATGCCAAACAAGATGACGGCCCACCTGATGGAAAGTGGAATGAGCAGTACCATGGACATAACAGAATATAGTGATTTGTCCATGATACCTCCCATGCGATGCCATTCCTGAGGTCTCAGGTACCCCTTTCCTCAGGTTTCTCTGTATCCTGAAAATTCACTGCCATATCCCATCCTTAAAGCCCAAGTAATATAAGTACATAAGTATAATTCTAATATATTCTTTATTGCACTTAAAAAAACAGATACAGTAATGTATGTTAGAAGGAAGCTCTACTCAACTGTGGAAGTTGAGTAGAGCGAAATGAGAAGGATTTTCCATAAAAATGGGCCTTAAAAGTTCTAGTACTTTGTACTGGACCAGGCAGGCACGTCTCGGATGTGAGGGAGGGGGCAGGATTAAAACTGGGAGTGGAGGATAGGTGAGAATATGTACATCAGGTTGATGTCGGATGGTAGACCAATTTAATTGAGCGCGAAAAGTGAAAAATCTTCAATATAATATATATTTTTTCATCATTTAGACTTTATTAATTGTAAAATATATCTTATATATAAAATTCTCGTGTCGCGATGTTTGTTACCAAACTCCTCCGAAACGGCTTTACCGATATTTATGAAATTTTGTGTGCATATTAGGTAGGTCTGAGAATCGGCCAACATCTATTTTTCATACCCCTCAATGATAAGGGTGACCCTCACCAAATTTTTTTTTTATTTTTTTAACAAATTTTTCCATTTTTATTTTATTATGATTTAGCATTAAAAATACACACAACTTTAAATTTTCATCGTTTTACGATCAACCCCTGTCTTTTAATCGCGATTTTTATATTTCTCAATTAGTGGTAAAACAACGTTTACGGGGTCAGCTAGTAAATGTATATATATATATATTTTTATGTAACTTAGAATGGCAAAAAAGCTGACGGCCCACCTGATAGAAAGTAATAACCGTCGCCTATAAACATGACAGAATACTCTGAGCACAGAATTCATGGTATCCCTCATGCGTTAACATTCCTGAGGAGTGATTTTTTATTTATTTATTTGAATCACCTGTGGGCTCATATGATGTCTCTATACCTTGTAACTTCACTGTCTAAACTTTTAATCTTTCAAACTAAGACATAGCCAGGTCAATTGTTTGTATTCTTTATGTTTGTCACCTCATAACTCCATCGGATGTAAACCGATTTGGTAAGTTATTTTCTTATCTGAAAGAATATACTTACAAATTGGTTACATAGAAATTTTATCAAAACCGATTCAGTAGTTTACTTTTTAAATCAAAATAACTGGTATTATCACAATTGAAGACGGTGTTTTGTGGGACGTATTTTAAATTATTATACTGGTCATACAAATTCTTTGCAGAACAGAATGTAGAGTGAGAGTCTATCTAAGTACCTACTGGACAATCTTTATATTACCACCTGAAACTCTGATTTGAGAGTACTGTGATCCAGTGCAAGTCATTAGTTCGAATTTGGCCGATACTAAGAATTTTTGCATCAATTAAAATTTCTGATTAACTTTCCAGCGATGTAAAGTACCAGTAACAATTTAATCTAAGGTAGTAATAGGTTCTTCCGCGGTCACGTTGGATTGTAATGTGTTCTGCGAAATGTGGGCAAGTCTAGTGGTACGTTCATTAGAACGGCAAGAAACGATAGATGCCTTAGACTATCCCATTAGTGATTATGGCTGTAAACATATTTTTTTATCAGCTCTTCAAGTTACTACATTCCGAGTTATCTAAAACAATGAGCATCTGAGATAAGACAATTTAAAGACGTTTGTTTTTAAAATTGTCCTGACTTAGAATTCTAACTTCATTTTTTCAACAGATGTTGTTGGGGTTAATTAAATTTAATTTCATAAGGTTGGTAATACAAAATCATTGTCTATTCCTCGAACGAACCAACCAGCGCTCTCGCTCGGGACAAAAATAAACTAACTGTCAATATATAGCGAATGCGCGGGAAATCTCTAACACTTGAACTTCATCTACGCACCGAGGCACAACTTGTTTTAAAGTTAAAAAAAAAAAGTAAAGTCGCGAATACTCTGTGCAGTGTAAAAGTTGTTTGTTCTGTGTATTTGGTGTGATATATCGAGAGTTTTCTATTAGAACCGCACTTATCTGGTGAGTTGTGTGTGTGTGTGTTTTTTTTTTAATTTGTCGTTGCTACTAAGAGAGTTTTCTATAAGTTTATGATTTATATATATATTCTTTATTGCACTAAAACATACAGTAACAACAATTAAGTTAATAACAATGTTAGCAAAGGTGAACTTATCTCTAAAAGAGATCTCTTCCAGTCAACCTAACACAGTGGCATAGGAAATAGTGAGTGGGCAGTAGTAGTGCTAAACAGAAATTAAAATAAATATTTACATAAATAATAAATCATTATATATATAAAATACTTGAAAGATACAATATTAAAGCATACATATGAATATAAACCTACATAAATAAGAATATATATACTATATATATACATATATATACTATAATTTATAGATTTAAAATCAATTAATTAGTATGCCTTATTAATATAATAAATGCGAAAGTTTGTAAAGATGGCTTGATGGTTGTTGCTCTTTCAAGCAAAAACTACTGTATGGATTTGATTGACATTTGGCACACGGGTGGGTCGTATCCTAACTTAGCTTCATAATATACTTTATGTACTAATTGAAATTTGTTTTGAAGATTGAAAGAATGAAATTGTTTTCAGTCTTTCTCCCCAAGTAAATGACTTTAGCCTACTCTGTTTTTGGGCGAATAAATAAAAAAAAAAAAAGTATACAGATAGGATTTTTAAAAAAGTGTAGAGTAATGAAACATTTTTTTTTTTATTTATAAAAAACAGAATGTCATAAATTCTTTATAAGTATAATGTAATTTGTAAATGTTATTAAAATAGAAATTTGAACTTCGGATATTTGCGTTTATTTAGGCAGTCATTACCATCAAATCAGCTAACTGTCCACTGCTGAACATAGGCGTCCCCTTATTAGTAGATTTTGCCAACAGTTGCCACGCTTAGCAGGCGGTTTGGCAACCGCAGTTAGGCTTTGGTGATGTTTTAAAACGGACGCTGCTGCCCATCCCTCGCCCTCTCTTAGTCGCCTTTTACGACATTAATGGGAAAGGAATGGGGGTTGGCTAATTATGTGTTATAGGTAAATGATCGTTTCCGTCGCATTAGTTTTTATTAAAAAAAATTTTTTTTTATTTATTTGTGGTATTTTTTTAATGGATGATAATGGAATGGTAACCCCGTCTGTGCTATCGGTATACACTGGCGGGACACCAGTGAGGAATAATAGCTGAGGATGAAGCAGGTAAGTTGGCCTATCGTGAGGAATTCAACAATGAACCAATCACGATGGTTTTCAGGGGGAACCGCGAGGAGGTCGACCTGATAGGGTGTATTGCTAGTAATAGGATTATTCATTCCCATTATTAACAATCCATTTCCCCTCTTATTTGTAATGTACAATATACATATAGAAGCATAGATTCTACTGTAAAGCAGTTGTGTTTGCATGGCTGTGTGTTTCGGTTTGAAGGGTGCGATATGGCAGTGAATTTACAGGGTACAGAGGAATAACACCTGAGTCCTCAGGAATGGCAATGCGTGGAGGGTATCATGGGCGAAACAGTATACTCTGTTATGTCCATGGTACTGCTCATGTCTATAGGCGACGGTTACCACTTTCCATCAGGTGGTCCGTCAGCTTGTTTGCCATTCTAAGTTGTATAAAAAAAAATCATGGCAAAAACATGAATGGGATAAAAGTATTTACGTAGACTTTGTACAGTTTCTCTCTGGTAAATAAATGCGAGTAGAGTATCACTTTTCTGATACAGACTCCGAAGGCAACGCGTCGGCATTCCAAGATGTGATAACCCCTAGGTCAAAGATTTAGGGACATACGTTAACTAACAGTCTATTTTGACGGAACTTAACAATATTTCGTAACTTTAGCTCACTGTAGTGTGGCAATATTGCAATTATTTGTCAATATAAACAAAAAAAAAAAACAAAACAATCTGGTACTAAGTACAAGGTAGGGATGGACGACCGGTCGATTGTGACTATCAGTCCAGTGGATGGTGGCAACGCGAACAATATAATATATTGCTAATGCAGCGGAAGATGCTCGGACGCAACGCTCGCACTAATATAAACAAGTAGTTGCTGAGAATCAGTTCCAGTTTTATGTTTTCCCTCTTAATAAAATAACAAATACTATAATATTACATAGTTGTGTACTTATGTTTTTTCGTTTGTGATTTCAAAAGTATGTAATTGGTAGATCGCACAGGGTCTCCTCAGTAAACAGTAGATCTTGGGTCTAGTTAAGTCGGCCACCCCAAGTAATTTTTCACCATATATTTTATGGTTTATATACATACTCTATAGACACTTTCTTATTTTGGTTTTTCAAGGTTGACTCCAAGAATTGATGAATGAATACACTTTATTTGCATTATACAATATAGGAAATAAGCAAGACAATTAATAAATGTAACGATACAATTGTATAAGTACAGTGAGGCGGTCTTATTGCTGATAGCAATCTTTACAAGACAAACTTAGGGCAATGGACTAATTGTTGTACAAGTAGGTATGATAGTACTGTATAATTAGGCAAGTTAATAGCGTAAAACATCAAGGAAAATAATTATAAGTGTTAAATAAAAAAAATAAAAAAAAAAATTAATATTATTTTAAGGGCTTTTACCTTCTTCAGGTATATCAGTCCTATCGTACCCTGAACTGATTTCTCAAACAAAACTTTATCTACTTTCCCTAGACGCGGAAAGAGAAGAATTAATGGGCATCAATAATTTACAGAGATGTTAAAAAATGTCTGGTTTAAGTTCAGCTAACATAGATTGAATAAGGCTAGCGTTAAATTTATTCAAGTTAAAGTGGCGCATGAGTTCTTCTCTTTCCTTCGTGTTAATACGACACTCTAATAGAAAGACATTATTAATTTTTGAAGTCGTTTGAAAATTACACTAGAACACGTAAAATATGGTTTAAAACTTTCTCTTCTTCTATTAATGGTGATATATTGCGCAAAACCTAGGTGTAATCATAGTCTAGATTCCAATATGCAGGTCAGTTAAGTAAGTTATATGTACTCGTAATTATTGGAAATAACTACCTATGTAATTAAAATGAGTAGCTTAACTATAAACGTGCTTATAAATCGGCTATCAGAGGGAGACTTTGTAGAAAAGTCGATTGCTTGGGTACCTCTGTCCCATTCGTGTTTCTACCGTGAAGCAGTTGTTTGCATTGCTGTGTTTCGGTTTGAAGGGTGGGATATGGCGTGAATTTACTGAGTCCTCAGGAATGGCAACACATGGGGGGTATCGTGGGTGAAACATTATACTCTGTTATGTGCATGGTACTGCTCATGTCTATAGGCGACGGTTACCACTTTCCATCAGGTAGGCTATCAGTACGTTTGCTATTTTAAGTCGCATAAAAAAACCTTCCATATCGGCTTCCAATCACCGATTACCATTTCGTTCACGCACGTTTTGCTCACCATATAAATTGTTCTTAAATATCTCTAATGTATATACACCGTCTAAATTCAATTTTATTATATTACAAATAAGATAAGAAATTCAATAAAGGTCATTTTATCTTAAACGCTTATGTCTGATGAACTCTAGGTGTGTGACCGATTAACATCGGTCAATTTTGAGAGTCCATTTTGGACCTTCTTGCAAAGAAAATAAAGGTGTATTTCCTATTATTTCCATTACAATATGTCATCATTTCACCCGTTAACTGTCCCACTGCTGGACATAAGCCTTCCCCATAAAGGGGAGTTTTGCCAATAGTTTAAAACATTATAAATAATACCAGTGCCTAGTATGTATATATATATATGAATTATATATGTATATTTCTAAAAACGCACCCATATTTATTTAAAAAATAAACTGTAACGTAATTGATAACTATCGTAGGAGGGGGGAAAGGGATTGTTAGTAATGGAGACTGAGAATCCCATTGCTATATTTTACCAGAGGGAGACTTTGTACAAAAGTCGATTGCTTGGGTACCTCTGTCCCATTCGTGTTTCAACCGTGAAGCAGTTGTGTTTGCATAACTGTGTTTCGGTTTGAAGGGTGAGATATGGCCTGAATTTACTGGGTACAGAGGAATAACACCTGAGTCCTCAGGAATGGCAACGCATGGAGGGTATCATGGGCGAAACAGTATACTCTATTATGTCCATGGTACTGCTCATGTCTATAGGCGACGGTTACCACTTTCCATCAGGTGGGCCGTCAGCTTGTTTGCCATTCTAAGTTGTATAAAAAAAAAAAAAAAAAAAAAAAAAAAAAAAAAAAAAAAAAAAAAAAAAAAAAAAAAAACCACCATCCGTTGCCGTTTCGGAGAACTCAGGTGTTATTCCTCTGTACCATGTAAATTCACTGCCATATCCCATCGTTCAAACCGAAACACAGCCATGCAAACATAACTGCTTCACAGTAGAAACATGAATGGGACAGAGGTGCCTAAACAAACGACTTTTGTACAAAGTCACCCTCTGGTAAAATGTCTGTTATGTCCATGGTACTGCTCGTATCTATAGGCGACGCTTACCACTTTCCATCAGGTAAACCATCAGCTTGTTTGCCATTCTAAGTTGCATATAAAAATGTTACCGACCTAGGTATCTATATTTTATTACGTTATATTACACACACATTGTTACGTGTGTGTGTGTGTGTGTGTGTGTGTGTGTGTGTGTGTGTGTGTGTGTGTGTGTGTGTGTGAATGTGTGTGTGTGTGTGCGTGCGAACATGTGTGTGTATGTGTGTATGTGTGTGTGTGTGTGTGTACATAAATATATTATTTATTTACAGTGGAAGCTTTTATTGTACATCCAGAGGTCAATATCGTACGATAAACTCGCGTAGTGTAATCAAAACAGTGTTTTAATATACGTATAATGTATATATATGATTAATTTCGCGGTCCATTTATTATAATTATTTCTACTAATAACTACTATTTTCTACTGAACCCAACCCGGCTTATATATAAGAATTTTCGACAATTGTATACAGCCTATATTTGAATCATTTAAAGGGGTGAAAATAATTCTTTCATACAGAGGGGGAAAGGGATTGTTTGTAATGGAGACTGAGAATCCCATTGCTAGCAATATACCCAACCAGGCCGACCTCCTCGCGGTTCCCCCTAGAAACTATCATGGTTAATTCCTGATGAATTCATCATGATGGGCTAACTGGCCTGTTTTCATTCTCATCTATCACCCTTCACTGGTGCTCCGCCAGCTTATCCCGTTAGCGCAGGCGGGGTTACCATACCATTTTCACTCATAAAAAAATAGCAAAGGGGAGGGGGGAAAAGAGATTGTTAGTAATGGGGGCAAATAAACACCATTACTAGCAATATACCCTGTCAGGTCGACCTCCACGTGGTTCCCCTTGGACACCATCGTGGCAAATTTTAGTTGAATTCGTCAGGATGGACTAACTGACCTGCTTTCATCCCTTCAGTCATTTATCACTGGTGCCCTGCCAGTGTATCCCGATAGCGCGGGCGGGGTTACCATTCCATTATCGTCCATAAAAAAAATAACAATGGGGACTAACATCTCCCCATTACTAACAATCTCTTCCCGCCATATTTTAAAAGTACATGCTTAGACCTTAAGGTCCCTTACGATACCTACGGGTCAAGAATAGGTGGTCCGTTCTATGCCCGGACCACATTTTTACTATTTAGATATATCTATGTAAATTTTGTTACAGAAAATGGACAACTTGGACATTGAAAAGGTGAATTGCAAATTGAACCTCTCAAAATGCGCAGACGCAGATAAATTTTGTATCCAGCGGCCACTCGATATCAAAGAGTAAGTGCAGTGCCATTTTTTTTTATACAACTTAGAATGGCAAACATGCTGACGGCCCACCTGCTGGATAGTGGTAACCGTCGCCTATAGACATGAGCAGTACCGTGGACATAACAGAGTATACTGTTTCGCCGATGATACCCCCCATGCGTTGCCATTCCTGAGGACTCAGGTGTTATTGCAGTACTTACTTTAGAAGAATGGGGGGAGGGGGAGAGTTTTATTTATTTATTTATTTATTATAATGCATTCACATACATAATATAGAGTCATTACAATGTTCTAATACAGAGTAAGTATATGAAACCCTGTTTTTTATTAATGGGTGATAATGGAATGGTAACCCCACCCGCGCTATCGGTATACACCGGCGGGGCACCAGTGAAAGATGATAGGTGAGGATGAAGCAGGTCAGTTAGCCCATCGTGATGAATTCAACGAGAATTGTTCACGATGTTTTCCAGGGGGAACCACGTGGAGATCGACCTAATGGGGTACAATGTTAACAATGGGGCTGTCAACTCTCATTGCTAACAATCCCTTTCCCCCCCCATGAAACCCTGTTTGGGTGTAGCGAAATTATGTTGATAGCTAGCTAATATACATGCGTCAATTCAGATGTTAGTATTATATTTATTTATTTCACATTATAATTGTTAGTTTTTAAATAAATTAGTCATACAATAATTTCGATTTATATTAAATAAAGAAATAACATATTAAAATCTTATATATAAAATTCTCGTGTCGCGGTGTTTGTTACCAAACTCCTCCGAAACGGCTTTACTGATTTTCATAAAATTTTGTGTGCATATTGGGTAGGTCTGAGAATCGGCCAACATCTATTTTTCATACCCCTCAATGATAAAGGTGACCCACAACCAAAAATTTTTTTTATTTTTGGTGACAATTTTTTTTATTTTTATTTTATTATGATTTAGCATTAAAAAATACATACAAATTCAAATTTTTACGCTTTTACAATCAACCCCTGTTTTTTAATCACGATTTTTATATGCCGCAATAGGCTTGCAAGATGGCGATCGAATATAATAATTGTAGTACGAAATATTTTCATGTATAGTTCTCGAAATAATGTATATGGTAAAACAACGTTTGCCGAATAAGCTAGTATGTATATAAAAATAAATTTAAATGATTTTTAAGAGGAAAATGGAATGGTATTTATAAAAAAAAAAATGTATTTAAATATGTGTATCAGTTATGGGCCACGTTATGCGACATGACGATTTTTAAAGAGCATACTAGAAGGAAGAATAGAAGGTAAAAGAGGAAGAGGGAAACCCAGGAATAACTGAATGAGATAGACGAAGGAAAGACTAGGTGTCACCAGGTGTTATAAAGCGTTCTTTTTGTAATTCAAACAATTTGTCAATTTTTCGTTATTTTCTGTTAAAACTGGTTATACGTTTTAACGTTAGCAATCGCTATTTTTTTTATACAACTTAGAATGGCAAACAAACTGACGGCCCACCTGATGGAAAGTGGTAACCGTCGCCTATAGACATGAGCAGTACCGTGGACATAACAGAGTATACTGTTTCGCCGATGATACCCCCCATGCGTTGCCATTTCTGAGGACTCAGGTGTTATTCCTCTGTACCCAGTAAATTCACGCTATATCCCACCTTTCAAACCGAAACACAGCCATGCAAACACAACTGCTTCACGGTTAAAACACGAATGGGACAGAGGTACCAACTACTAAAGAGGTACTAATCAAAGAAGGAAGTCCTTTTTGTAAGTCCTCTAGTAACAAAACTTTGAGAACCGCAAGTTCTAACTAAAGAAGGGAATCCTTATTGGAAGTCCTTTGAAAAGAGTAATATGACTTTGAGAACCATAGGCCCTAACCAAAGAAGGGGATTATTATTGGAAGTTCTTTAAAAAGGGAACGTAACTTTAAGAACCACAGGTCCTAACCAAAGAAGGGAATCCTTATTGGAAGTCCTTTGAAAAGAGTAATATAACTTTGAGAACCATTGACTGTAACCAAAGGGGGAATGCTGATGTGTGTGTGTGTGTGTGTGTGTGTGTGTGTGTGTGTGTGTGTGTGTGTGTGTGTGTGTGTGTGTGTGTGTGTGTGTGTGTGTGTGTGTTGTTGTTCTGTTTGTAATATTTTTCGCCATTGTGTGTTTGATAACACTAGCGATCTAGCCCGGTTTCGCACGAAGATATAGAACTTTTGAAAATAATACATATATCTATGTTACTCTCTGATAACATAGCTTTATGTAGATGATAAAAAATACTAGGGGGAGAAGGGATTGTTAGTAATGGGGATTGTTCACCGTCAGGTCGACCTCCTCATGGTTCCTCCTGGAAACCATCGTGATTGACTTATTGTTATATACACAATGGGCTAACTAATCTTTTTTTTTTATACAACTTAGAATGGCAAACAAGCTGACGGCCCACCTGATGGAAAATGGTAACCGTCGCCTATAGACATGAGCAGTACCGTGGACATAACAGAGTATACTGTTTCGCCCATGATACCCCCCATGCGTTGTCATATCTGAGGATTCAGGATGACCTGCTTCATCCTCACCTATCATCCATTAAGAAAAACAATATTAACTCACTACTTCCTAAGCCACTATGTTAGGTTGACTGGAAGAGATCTCTTTCAATGATAAGTTCGCCTTTGCTTACTTTGTTACTAATTTGTTATTATTATAGGAAATATGTATATGATATTACAATATCTGATATCTATATATATTGAATTCTTCCATACATTGATGACTACCCACAGCAATATCGCCCATACCAGTCTATATTTACATATCTATATTTATTACGAGCAGCTTCTTCTTTTTGATATTATATATTGGATAAAAGATTGTTACGATATTAATTAACTAATTATTATAGGAATTATATATATATATATATATATATATATATATATATATATATATATATATATATATATGTGCCGAGTCGTATATACGTGTCGTATATACGTGCGTAAGGATGATCATTCAGGTGCTATTCTCATAAAAAACGAAGATAATTTGGTACGACTGTAGTATGTGCCTACTGCTCGACAAATAAGTCCAAATAAGTCTGAATTAGTTTCATTATAATATTTTTTTTAACATATTTTATTACTATTATTTTAAATTAAATATTCAAAGGTAAAACATTAGGGAATTTTTTTATCTGATATCTATATATTGAATTCTTCCATACATTGATAACCACCCACTGCGATATCGCCCATATTAGTCTGATATCTATATTCATTACGAGCGGGTACTTCTTTTTGATATTACATATTGGATAACAGATTGTTCATATATCTAATTATTATAGGAAATATGTAGAGATGTGTAATATCTGATATCTATATATTGGATTCTTCCGTACATTGATGACCACCCACTGCGATATCGCCCATATTAGTCTGATATCTATATTCATTACGAGCGGGTTCTTCTTTTTGATATTACATATTGGATAACAGATTGTTCATATATCTAATTATTATAGGAAATATGTAGAGATGTATAATATCTGATATCTATATATTGGATATATGACCACCCACTGCGATATCGCCCATATTAGTCTGATATCTATATTCATTACGAGCGGGTTCTTCTTTTTGATATTACATATTGGATAACAGATTGTTCATATATAATTATTATAGGAAATATGTAGAGATGTGTAATATCTGATATCTATATATTGGATTCTTCCGTACATTGATGACCACCCACTGCGATATCGCCCATATTAGTCTGATATCTATATTCATTACGAGCGGGTTCTTCTTTTTGATATTACATATTGGATAACAGATTGTTCATATATCTAATTATTATAGGAAATATGTAGAGATGTGTAATATCTGATATCTATATATTGGATTCTTCCGTACATTGATGACCACCCACTGCGATATCGCCCATATTAGTCTGATATCTATATTCATTACGAGCGGGTACTTCTTTTTGATATTACATATTGGATAACAGATTGTTCATATATCTAATTATTATAGGAAATATGTAGAGATGTGTAATATCTGATATCTATATATTGGATTCTTCCGTACATTGATGACCACCCACTGCGATATCGCCCATATTAGTCTGATATCTATATTCATTACGAGCGGGTTCTTCTTTTTGATATTACATATTGGATAACAGATTGTTCATATATCTAATTATTATAGGAAATATGTAGAGATGTGTAATATCTGATATCTATATATTGGATTCTTCCGTACATTGATGACCACCCACTGCGATATCGCCCATATTAGTCTGATATCTATATTCATTACGAGCGGGTTCTTCTTTTTGATATTACATATTGGATAACAGATTGTTCATATATCTAATTATTATAGGAAATATGTAGAGATGTGTAATATCTGATATCTATATATTGGATTCTTCCGTACATTGATGACCACCCACTGCGATATCGCCCATATTAGTCTGATATCTATATTCATTACGAGCGGGTTCTTCTTTTTGATATTACATATTGGATAACAGATTGTTCATATATCTAATTATTATAGGAAATATGTAGAGATGTGTAATATCTGATATCTATATATTGGATTCTTCCGTACATTGATGACCACCCACTGCGATATCGCCCATATTAGTCTGATATCTATATTCATTACGAGCGGGTTCTTCTTTTTGATATTACATATTGGATAACAGATTGTTCATATATCTAATTATTATAGGAAATATGTAGAGATGTGTAATATCTGATATCTATATATTGGATTCTTCCGTACATTGATGACCACCCACTGCGATATCGCCCATATTAGTCTGATATCTATATTCATTACGAGCGGGTTCTTCGTTTTGATATTACATATTGGATAACAGATTGTTCATATATCTAATTATTATAGGAAATATGTAGAGATGTGTAATATCTGATATCTATATATTGGATTCTTCCGTACATTGATGACCACCCACTGCGATATCGCCCATATTAGTCTGATATCTATATTCATTACGAGCGGGTACTTCTTTTTGATATTACATATTGGATAACAGATTGTTCATATATCTAATTATTATAGGAAATATGTAGAGATGTGTAATATCTGATATCTATATATTGGATTCTTCCGTACATTGATGACCACCCACTGCGATATCGCCCATATTAGTCTGATATCTATATTCATTACGAGCGGGTTCTTCTTTTTGATATTACATATTGGATAACAGATTGTTCATATATCTAATTATTATAGGAAATATGTAGAGATGTGTAATATCTGATATCTATATATTGGATTCTTCCGTACATTGATGACCACCCACTGCGATATCGCCCATATTAGTCTGATATCTATATTCATTACGAGCGGGTTCTTCTTTTTGATATTACATATTGGATAACAGATTGTTCATATATCTAATTATTATAGGAAATATGTAGAGATGTGTAATATCTGATATCTATATATTGGATTCTTCCGTACATTGATGACCACCCACTGCGATATCGCCCATATTAGTCTGATATCTATATTCATTACGAGCGGGTTCTTCTTTTTGATATTACATGTTGGATAACAGATTGTTCATATATCTAATTATTATAGGAAATATGTAGAGATGTGTAATATCTGATATCTATATATTGGATTCTTCCGTACATTGATGACCACCCACTGCGATATCGCCCATATTAGTCTGATATCTATATTCATTACGAGCGGGTTCTTCTTTTTGATATTACATGTTGGATAACAGATTGTTCATATATCTAATTATTATAGGAAATATGTAGAGATGTGTAATATCTGATATCTATATATTGGATTCTTCCGTACATTGATGACCACCCACTGCGATATCGCCCATATTAGTCTGATATCTATATTCATTACGAGCGGGTTCTTCTTTTTGATATTACATATTGGATAACAGATTGTTCATATATCTAATTATTATAGGAAATATGTAGAGATGTGTAATATCTGATATCTATATATTGGATTCTTCCGTACATTGATGACCACCCACTGCGATATCGCCCATATTAGTCTGATATCTATATTCATTACGAGCGGGTTCTTCTTTTTGATATTACATATTGGATAACAGATTGTTCATATATCTAATTATTATAGGAAATATGTAGAGATGTGTAATATCTGATATCTATATATTGGATTCTTCCGTACATTGATGACCACCCATTGCGATATCGCCCATATTAGTCTGATATCTATATTCATTACGAGCGGGTTCTTCTTTTCAATATTACATATTGAATAACAGATTGTTACGATATCTTATTATTATAGGAAATATGTATAGATGTGTAATATCTGATATCTATATATTGGATTCTTCTGTATATTGATGACTATCCATTGCGATATCGCCTATACCAGTCGGATATCTATATTCATTACGAGCGGGTTCTTCTTTTCGATATTACATATTGGATAACAGATTGTTCATATATCTAATTATTATAGGAAATATGTAGAGATGTGTAATATCTGATATCTATATATTGGATTCTTCTGTATATTGATGACTATCCACTGCGATATCGCCTATACCAGTCTGATATCTATATTCATTACGAGCGGGTTCTTCTTTTCAATATTACATATTGAATAACAGATTATTACGATATCGAATTATTATAGGAAATATGTATACCTGTGTAATATCTGATATTTATATATTGGATTTTTCCATATATTGATGACCACCTATTGCGATATCGCCCATACCAGTCGGATACATATATTTATTACAAACAGATTCTTTTTTTCGATATTATATATTAAATATCGAAAAAATAACTGTTATTGGCCCAATATATGTTTAGATATTGTAACTACAATATATAGATACTGGTTATTACCCATCTTTACAATACGGCCAGCCTTGTATTGTTAAATAAGTATACGAGACATACAATTCTAAGCAATTTTTAATTGATTTCAAAAGAAGATTGATTGTGTTTTTTATATTTATTACTGCACTAGCGGCCCGTCCCGGCTTCGCACGGGTGGACATTTTTACAACATTTTAAAAAGTGATTATTGTGACATAACGATAATAGTTGGACATATAGTATCGCCAAGTTTTTTGTAGTTATTCATATTTTCTTCAATATTGTAGAACATACTTTTGTTCTATCACCAATAGTTTCCGCAGCGCACGCGACCAAAGATATTTTATAGCATTTTTTTTACACCTTGAGTTACGTTACTAAAGTTTTAGTAAGGATCCCTAATCTTTCCTAGCAATAAATATAGCCTATGTTACTCAGGGTGAATGTAGATTTCTAATGGTGAAAGAATTGTTGAAATCGGCAAAGTAGTTTTTGAGTTTATTCATTACAAACATACATGCACACAAAAATACAAATCTTTCCCTTTTATAATATTAGTGTAGATGTAGATAACTCCGTCAGTTCTAAACTATTTTGGGACTTTTCATTTCTTTTAGAATGGTCTCTAATAGAAATTTGATCAAGATCGATTAATAGTTTACTTTTTATATCAGAAAAAATAATTTTGTTGATATATATGCAGTTATATTTTAATGGATGATAATGGAATGATGACCCCGCCTGTGCTATCGGTATACACTAGCGGGGCACCAGTGAGAGATGATTGGTGAAGATGAATAGGCAGGTCAGTTAGCCCATCGTGACGAATTCATCGATAAATTAGTTACGATGGTTTCCAGGGGGAACCGCGTGGAGGTCGACCTGGTATATATATATATATATATATATATATATATATATATATATATATATATATATATATATATATATATATATATATATATATATATATATATATATATATATATATATATATATATAAAACACACACATACAAAAAATATATATATATATATATATATATATATATTTGTGTGTGTATTTTTTGTATTTAAACATATATTTGCACACATATACACACGCACATATATATATAAACACTTTGAGAAACTTAGCGGAAATTAAACAAGTGGGTAACTTCTGAGTTGTTTACCTTTATAAAGTAAAAGGATGTGAATTGAACGCAGATTTGCTCTAATGATCGACCTTAATCGTTGGTTTGAAGTCTGTATGCAGTACTGTTATTAAATTATTTTTATATGCAACTTATAATGGCAAACAAGCTGACGGCCCACCTGATTGAAAGTGGTAACCGTCGCCTATACACATGAGCAGTACCATGGACATAACAGAGTATACTGTTTCGCCCACAATACCCCTCATGCGTTGCCATTCCTGAGTACTCAGGTGTTATTCCTCTGTACCCAGTAAATTCACTGCCATATTCCACCCTTCAAACCGAAACACAGCCATGCAAACACAACTGCTTTACGGTTGAAACACGAATGGGACAGAGGTACCCAAGCTATCGACTGATGACAAAAAGCTTTAAACAGTTTTTACTTGTTTTGTACACCTAGCAATAAAAATACGAGATTGTTTTGCGCGGCAAAAACATTGTTACCGACCTGATACTAGTTCAAGTGCATTAGTCTACAATCACAGTATCGAGAACTGTTTACAATATATATGTATCATCAGACACTATACATAGTATAAAACAGTGACTGTCGCTGTCTGTCCGTCCCTATGTATCCTTAAATCTTTAAAACTACGCAACGGATTTTGAAGCGGTTTATTTTAATAGATAAAGTGATTCAAGAGGAAGGTTTATATGTATAATACAATTTTTTTTTATACAACTTAGAATGGCAAACAAGCTGACGGCCCACCTGATGGAAAGTGGTAACCGTCGCCTATAGACATGAACAGTACCATGGACATAACAGAGTATACAGTTTTGTCCATGATACCCCCCATGCGCTGCCATTCTTGAGGACTCAGGTGTTATTCCTCTGTACCCAGTAAATTCACGCCATATCCTACCCTTCAAACCGAAACACAGCCATACAAACAACTGCTTCACGGTTGAAACACGAATGGGACAGAGGTACCCAAGCAATCGACTTTTGTACAAAGTCTCCCTCTGGTAATACATGCGTAATATTGTAGGGAAACACTGATAAATTTAGAGGTTTCTAATTTGAGTCCTTAAATAAACACATTTTTTGCGCTTACATTGCAAACGCTGGCTGAACCCCACGAGATAAATCAAAATAATATACTACAGTATTGTACACCTTAAAAAGTTCAACAAAAAAGTCCGCGATGGTATATGTCTGTCTCTTAATATCCTTAAGAGATATACATGTACCATCCACAATAACCATTTTTTATCTTTTACATTTTACGGGAAAAAATGGCTTATTTACGAAGTGATTTTAAGCAATACAGCATTAATTTTAATCCAATTAAGTACCTTACATACATTGTCCGTTTAATATAGATCAATATGTCCCTTTACAGCATGTAATTTAAATGAATATTTCCGAAGATATTACAGATTTAAAATGCAGGGATATAGCGGTGCGGCGATACCGGCCTGGCCGGCGGCGCGTGCCTATAAATAGCACGTTGAAGCACGCTTCGCCCTGTAGCACTTTATCATGTTTGTATTGTCTAATGACAAAAAAGCTGTAAACGTTGTTCATAAGGACATTCTGTAGTAGGTAGGTATATTTAGTATCAGCATTGCACCCGTGCGAAGCCGGGGCGGGTTGCTAGTATATATATATGTTTACAATAACACACCAACCGATTATTATCTCGCGATGACGACAAAATGAGCTGATATGTAAATGAATGGACGACAACGTGTTTGTGTGACAGCGTTTTTCTACACTACCGTGGTGGCAAATAAACATACGGCCCGTCTGATGGTGAGTGGAGTATTCTATCATCGTTTGTTATAGCAGGGATGTCACGTGTTGCCGATTGGTTCTTGCTAGATTATTTTTTATCGCATACATACATACATATATACATACATATCAGTCATGTCCGTCTGTCATTTTTTTTAATGGGTGAAAATGGCATGGTAACCCCGCCCGCGCTATCGGTATACGCTGGCGAGGCACCAGTGAGAGGTGATAGGTGAAGATGAAAAGATAGGTCAGTTAGCTCATCGTGACGAATTCAATGATGAATTAGTCACGATAGTTTTCTGGAGAACCGCGTGGAGGTCGACCTGATAAGGTGTATTAATAACGATGGGGACTAACCTCCCCATTACTAACAATCCCTCACCCCTGTCTGCCATTTGTTTTTAATGGATGATAATGGAATGGTAACCCCGCCTGCGGTATCGATATACACCGACGGGACGCCAGTGAGGGATGATAAGTGAAAATGAAAGAGCAGGTCAGTTTTTTTTTAATTAATGATATTGGAGTGGTAACCCCACCTGCCCTATCGGTATACACTGGCGGGGCACCAATAAGGATGATAGATGAAAATGAAAGCAGATCAGTTAGCCAATCGTGGCGAATGCAATAAGTATTAATCACAATGGTTTCCAGGGGGAACCATGTGGAGGTCGACCTGACAAGGCTTGCTAGCAATGGGGCCATTACTCCACATTACTAACAATTCCTTTCCCCCCAGAGCAGGTCAGTTAGCCCATCGTGATAAGTAATATTCAGCACGGTGGTTTCTTCATGAAACAAGCGTCTCGACGCTTCTACGCCGTAGCCGAGACCTATTCGTATCCGCTCATAGTGAAGGCGACTAAAAAGCAGTCGACCTGATGGGGTATATTGCTAGCAATGGGTCTGGTAGTCCGCGTTACTAATAATCCTTACTAATATTATAAATATGAAAGTGAGTTTGTTTGTTACATCAAAGTGTCTTAACTGCTTAACCAATTAAGTTATATTTATGGGCTATATTCTTGATTGCAGGTACACCAGGAACCTTGTGGACGCTGGCAACGGTGCCTTCAACATCATGATCCTCTGCTGGGGTCCAGGACACGCCTCCCCCATCCACGACCACGCTGACTCGCACTGCTTCATGAAACTGCTGAGTGGAAGCCTTGAGGAAGTCAGGTATACCATAATTCAAAATGGAATCTTATTTGATATTTTCAAAAGACAGAGAAGAAAGTAGGAAATTCTCAGTTTGTTTTTTTTTATGTCTGTCACCTCGTATTTTTTTTTATACAACTTAAAATGGCAAGTTGACAACCCACCTGATGGAAAGTGGTATCCGTCGCCTATAGACATGAGCAGTACCATGGGCATAACAGAGTATACTGTTTCGCCCATGATACCCCCCCATGCGTTGCCATTCCTGAGGACTCAGACTCACCCTTCAAATCGAAACACAGCCATGCAAACACAACTGCTTTACAGTTGAAACACGAATGGAACATATTTACCTAAGCAAACTTTTGTACAGTCTCCCTCTGGTATGTGTATATATACATATATATATGTATAATATAATATGAGTATTATATTATGTTTTTTTTTTATAATTATTTTTAATTTAACATCGTTCATCACGTTGCACCGTCATTTATATTTTCCGTTATTCCTGTCTACGGTCGACTGGTAGGTAACGTCATACATTGTTAAGTCCGCCATTTACACTCTCTAAGTGTATTACAGTTTAATAAATAAAATAAATATTTTTTTTAATAAATAAAATAAATATTTTTTTTAATAAATTTCCCATGCGTTACTGAGGACTCATTCTTTTTGAAGCCAAAAGTTAGTTTTTTGAAAAGTTTTTAGTTTAGTTTTTTGAAGTTAGCTGAAAATACTATTATGTTAGAAACAGTATGTTAATTCATATTATAATGTAGTTTCGTCTCGATCAATCTCGAACTGTTTGGAGTGAGAGGGAACGAAGAGGGGACCTAGAGCGGTCTACAGTCGCCCTGGCAACGGATAAACGTGTAGAGTTTAAATTTGTTTACTTATGGAAACTGCCAACGGCAAATCTCGTTGCGTCTGCACCTAGCATCTTACATGAAACTGGTTCTAACCAGTTCTCACCGATATCTCTACACAGTTTCATGTCTTATCTACGAAAAAAATAACAATACGTGAAAACACCTTACAATAATATTTACAAGTGATAAACGTCATTGTAAATGTTTAATATAATCTCTTATTTGCATCATTTTGTATCAATTATTTCAATTTCGATCACGTGAACATTTTTATTGTTATTTTTTTTTTATTTTAAGAGATTTTCAATAGAAAGCTGTTTTCAAAAGGCACGTAAGTATTTAGTAAGCACGTTTGTGCTTACATCTTTTATGATCTCTAAATGGCAAACATGCTGACAGTCCACCTGATGGAAAGTGGTAACTGTCGCCTGTAAACATGAACTAAATTCGTTGTGATACCCCTCATGTATCGCTTATTCTGAAAACTATGGTATTATGCCTCAGTACCGAGTAATACCATTGCCACATCCCATCCTTCAAACCAAAACGCAATCATTCTATCATAGCTAATTCCTTAGATTATATAGATACCCAAGAGGTCGACCTCCGCTTCATAGAAATGTTAATTCTTGATGAAAATGATAGGCTAACTGACCTTTTTCATTCTCATCTAATTTTGCATGAATCCCGTTAGCGCAGGCGGAGTTACATTCCATTTTATATAAAAAAAAAAAAAAAAAAAAATATATTATTTTGTCTTACATTATATAGATAGCATCTTTTAAAAATGCTTCGAGAAAAACACACTTTTTTACAATGATTATTAAACAATTATAAAGGAATCACTTTTACTTTTATATTTATTTTGTCTCATAATTTATGTATCTTTTTAATGCGTAAACGCACATTTTAATTATTAAATAACACGTCAAGAAACATTTTACGCATAAATATATAGAACACTGATAAAAAAAAAAAACAACGAAAAGTTGACCAGGTTTTGAGGCCTGATGCTCTATTTATATAATCTAAGGCTACTTTATAGTGGTAACACAGGTAGGACATTAGTACTTGCGCAAACTGTTCTTGTCCAAATTCTATCTGGTAATAATTTAATCAATTTATTGTTTATATTTTAACATTTACAGATACGAGTGGCCACAAGACGTCGATTCGAAAATCAAGAAAGCTTTAAAAAATAAACAGTCTGGGTGTCAGCGGGAAACGTGTCAAACTGACAGCTGTCAAAGTCAAAGCGTAACAGTGGCGGATATTTGTGACCGCACCGAGAAAATTGGCGCGCAATGCGAACAAGATGGCGACCAAGAATACAGTATTAACAACATGGTGGAAATAGGCAAGACAACGTTGAAATTGGATGATGTTTGTTACATAAATGGTGCGTATAATCTATGTGTATTTTATTTGGTGAAATAAAATAAATGAAAGTGCAATTTATTATATTGTTTAAAGAATTTAAAAAAAATTAGAGCTGAACGTACCTTGTCAGTTCTTCAGCTAACCAGAGACTCAAAATTTTTTACAGTATTCTCACTCAATAAACAAATATTCTTTTTTTTTTTTAGTGAAAATGTTCAGTAATGCTGGTAGAACCCTCCCTTCAAAGGATGCAAACGATTTAGACATCAACCTGTATATTGAGGACTACTATTATCGTATAATTCCGGCGTAGAATTGGCCACCATTTTTTCCCGTGGGTGTCATAAACGACTAAGGGAACTTAATGCTCGAGGGATGGGTAACGGCGTCTCTCTTTAAAGCATTCCAAAGCCTAACTGCGGCTGTCAATCCGCCTGCCAAACGTGGTAACTTCTAGCAAAATCTCCCTTATGGGAGAGGCCTATGTTCATGTTTATGATACTTCGGGTTGCATTATTGTAATTTTCGTAGTACGTATAGCAAATTTTTAAAATTGGGTTTATTACAAATAAACATAAAAAGCATCAAATCTTTTCTCTTTATAATGTATGTAGTATAGGTTCAAATACTCATATTTTTCTTTTCAGATGCTCTGGGCCTTCACAGAATGCAAAATGGTCATATCGACGAAGCGGTATCACTGCATTTATATTGCCCGCCATTTAACAGCTGTCAAATCTTTGATTCATTGTCTGGAAAGCCGACTGAAGTACCAGTCACCTTCTGGTCTAAATACGGCACGAAAGTTGACAAAGTATGTTCTGCTAGCCATAAATTAAATTATTTATTTATTTATTTTATACTTTATTGTAATACATAAAACATATGAAAGATAATTAAATGTACAAAGCAGAGCTTAACTTTAAAAGAGTTCTCTTCCAGCAAACCCAAAGTCGAAAGGAATCAAGAATAGTTCTGAGCCACCTGCATTCACTGACCCACTGCAATGTATTTGAGGTTGTCACTCCATCTATTGGGGGGTCGTTACATATCGCGTTTGCCTGTACGGGCCACACATATTACATAATTAATACAAGATTCTTACATCTATATTTAAAATAATGGTCTAAACAAAGCACAATGATTCATCCTCACTGAAAACTATGCCCTACTCGTCTGCCATGAAGCAACAGATGCCCATTCATGGCTGTTTTGGTTTCGGACGCATATTTTATTTCTGAAGACAAGCAACGTATGAAGTAACTATTAACTTCCGAATGATGGTTTGTGATATCTGTGATGCTGTAAATATCTATGGGTGACAGTTACCATATTTCATCAGTTGGACTGTAAACTTATTTGCCATTCTAAATTGCATACAAATTTCTCATTTCAGAAAGTACGTGCCCAAGCCCCGATTACTGATAGCCAGTAAGATGACATCTAGTCGACAATCACATGCAATTTCCATAGAGAGTAACGTCCGAATAGAAATGAATCCAGAATGATGTTTTATGGAGATATGTATTTCGAGTGTCACTGCTGACTTCTACTATCTTACTTTGAAAATTCAATAATAAGAATAAGGAATCAAAAAGAAGCGTATGAAACGAATAATGGTAAGCGGTTTAATTTATGGACAGTTACAATACCCAATAATTGAAAAAAACCTCTATACATTTGGAGAATAACATGATGTAGCCTCTGGGAGAGATCTTGGCAGGGAGCTCGTTTCATATCCTGATAAGCGTCAATTAAAACCGCGTTGTATGTAACCATCTAGATCTTTGAATCTAGGACTTACATAGAAGGTATTAGGGTGAATTCAAAATTTTAGGGAAATTGTTAATGTAGTTTTTGTCTTCCAAAATATGCACCGTGCTTTAAGTCCGCGCTGTACACTATTTTTATAGTATAAAAAAGATTGAATGAGTCCTCTGAGAGTACATAGAGAAATTTTGTCTTCTTCGAACATAAGTCAACAAAACCCCTAAAGAAGTAGAAGAATATTTGTTACTCGTTTATACACTTATATTTTCATTGTTACTTTAAGACATAATAATGTCAAAGACTGACGTTTGGGATATCGTGATAAGTGTCTTATGATGTAATACAAATTTTTGTTACTAACTATTGTAAATTATGATTTTTAAGAGACGAGTGATACCGGCCGTGCTCACAAGTAGACTGCTGTAGTTTCTGTCTTTGCTTCAGAGACAGAAGTGTATTCTCTTATTTACTCATTTTACATCATATATCATACAAATTGTGTTCCTATATTGAGAATGTATAGGACCGTGTTAATATTCGTCTCTTAAAAATTACTAATTGCAAAGTTAAAGTCTTAAAGTTACTATTGTAAATTACTTACCTCACATCTGTGATTCTGGATATTTTGTATATTCTGGATTATGTTCTTAGACGTTTTACTTGATTTTTCAAAGTACAACTTGAACTTTGGGTTAAACCTATTTAGAAAACCAAGCATCGTGATTGCCCGGTACTTTACTTTTATTACGTATTTTACTAACACCATTTATAATCACGAACCAGTCATTTTAACTAGAGATCTTGTAGGTTATCTGAGAAGGTGTTTTTTAATAGTAAAATATTTTTAGGGATGCTCTACTATGTGTAACTATAGAAATGTATACTAAATAAAGAGTTTGTAAATTTATTTATATAAAAAACCCACATCTGCCGGTTCTGGTTTGAATCCCAGAGATGGAACAGATTCTAATTTGAAGTGTGAGATATAGAAGTGAAATTGCTGGAAACTCAAGATTCACATATATCAAGGGTCGATAACGCGTAAGTGATGTCTATATTGTTACATACTTCTTATTTTTATTGTCGTCCTTATATGAAAAGTTATATCTAGCACCTTCTCAATATTTTCCACCTGTTTTCTGTCTAGTTCTAAAAATAGCAAGCCGAGAAATGCTAAGCGTCTAATCTGAGCTATTAAAACTATTAATAATAATATTATATCATGTATTTGAATCTATAAGTAAATAAAATATTAAATACTTTTACCTTGCTATTTTTGTCATTTTATTTTGTGAAAGCTAATATATCTAAGTACAAATCCAGACATACAGTTGTATGAGTACATTGGATCTCTTAATCGCTTATCACCAGATACTTGTAATAAAAAAAATACTCTTAAATTCTACGTAAGCATCACTCGGCTTTTTATTATTGAATTAATATTGTATTTATGGATTTATATTTATGTTTTATTTTGGTAGTGACTATTTTTACTGTTAGAAACAGTAGATTATGTGTTGTATTATTAGCGCCATCTATTGTATAGCTTTAGCAATAATTCCTATAAAGATTTTTTCATACTGAGAGAGAGAACTGTAACTAAGCGAATTACATAGTACGGTTTTAAATAAAAAGGGGTTAGTTGTAAGAGGTATACAGTGCTAGTGTTTATGGAACTTAACAATTCAAGTCTCAAGGGGCATAGTCGAAATCTCTTATTTTATTTATCTCGAAATTGTCTGTTTGTTTCTAAAATATTGCTTCAGATTTACAGGAATAACATAAAACAAATTCAGCTTTTGTATTATGACGTTTTTGTATTGCTTCTTCATTGCGTCTTTGAAGTATCTAGAAAAGGTAGCTCGTAGAAAGCGACTCGCAGTAAATACTCATATGTGTAAGTTTCGTAAACATATTTTATATTTTAATGTATAATAACTATCGATTTAACTTACGTGTAATTAGATCGAGAAAGCACGACTATTTTTGGGATCAATTCGTGGTCCTTTATAATGAGCGGCTGTGACGCTAGCGCCTGACTGTGCGTCTCAGTTCACTGAACGCGAGCTGTAGACGCTTGCGGCATAATCTATATCTATACTTATAATAAATCTGTACAGAGGTCAATTCTGTACATGAGATATATTTCCAAAATAACTATCAGGCGGTGATCAGTGATCGATACTGGTGACAAAAATGCAAACAGTAAAATTTTTGTCTGTCTGTCTGTCTGTTTGTAATTTCGTTATAGAAAACAAAAATTACTCGACGGATTTTAACGAAACTTGCTACAATTATTCTTCATACTCCTGGACAGGTTATAATATACTTTTCATCACGCTACGATCAATAGGAGCGGAGCAGTGAAGGGAAATGTTGGGAATACGGGAGAAGTTACTCCATTTTTAAGATTCCGTCGCGTGTGCAGCCTTAACGGTCACTTTTTAAAATGTAAAAATGTCTACCCTTGCGACTCCGGGACTGGGCGCTAGTCACAGATAAGGAAAGCGTTCGGAATTCTTAGGGTATGAATGTCTGGTCTCCATTGTCTTCCTTTTCGTCTGTTACTCATATGTGTTTACAATGAGACAGTGTTGAATATAAGTAAACATGTTTAGATACCTTGGGATTTTTATTAGTATGAGAAGTTTAACAATTATTTTCAGATTTCGACTACCTTTCTTGTGACAAGTTGTACAATTTTATGGATATTTATATTAGGTTTCGTTTGGCTACATAGTAACACGGGCTTAATTAGTTTCCTTTCCAATTGACTTCAAAAAATATGAAGTTCGCTATACGGATGTATTTGTTTTTTACGTTTGTCACCTCATAACTCCGTCAGTTGTGAACCCATTTAGATTTCTTTTATCTGAAAGGATATACTTACATTCACGTTCTATAGATTTTTCAAAATCGATCCAACAGTTTAGGTTTTAAATCAAAATAACTCGTTTTGCCACAATTGAAATGGGGTTTTTATGGGACACAATCTTGACTATATACTACGATATGTTACACAGCGCCCAACATCTGGTGGAAACTAAGCAGAGCTTGCACTATGTCTACTATACAATTGATTATCAAAGGTTAAAGCCATGTGTTAATTCACTAGACCATGTAAGGCATTAATTATAACTAACCCTGTATAATTCTAAGCTGTTTAATGATTTACTTATTTATAAAACACATCTAAATTCACCGAAACTGCATAGAGATACACCAGAGGGAGACTTTGTACAAAAGTCGATTGCTTGGGTACCTCTGTCCCATTCGTGTTTTAACCGTGAAGCAGTTGTGTTTGCATGGCCGTGTTTCGGTTTGAAGGGTGGGATATGGCGTGAATTTACTGGGTACAGAGGAATAACACCTGAGTCCTCAGGAATGGCAACGCATGGGGGGTATCATGGGCGAAACAGTATACTCTGTTATGTCCATGGTACTGCTCATGTCTATAGGCGACAGTTACCACTTTCCATCAGGTGGGCCGTCAGCTTGTTTGCTATTCTAAGTTGTATATAAAAAAAAAGAGATGTTGCATCTCTGTGCAAATTCTACCAAATTTATTATAGGGAGTGCTCTGAGCAGTTGTTCGGATTGATACCTGCTCCTAATTTTCATCACCGTACAACCCGTCACAAACTAAAGTTCCATCCTAACCATCTGGATGAGTAGCGGTCCTCCACTGTGCGTTTTCAAAACACTTTCTCCCACGCCCAACCACTTTTTGGAATCATTCCAGCAGCACTATTTCCGAACCGATACGACATCGTACCGTTTAAGAAAAGAGCATATTCCTTTTTAAAAGGCCGGCAGCACACCTGCAATGCCGTTGGTGTTGTGGGTGATCATGGGCGGCGGTAGTGACTTACCATCGTTTACTCCTCGTGTTATAAAAAAACATCCCGTAGACCCATTTTAGCTATTGAACTGTTTTGTCTCTTTCTTTGGTGCTAAATTCCTAATTTGAATATGACAAAACAGTGTAATAGAAAAAATAGGATACGTCTAAAGAATTATTATCAAAAAATTATTAAAATGTTAAAATAATTTGTGACTAAGGTATATATTATTTTAGATTTAAGTTCGTCTAACAACCAAATGTGTATTTCGCTTAAAATCTTTGCTTTGGACATAATATTTTTATACTTTTGTACTTGATATTATATAGTTTAGGAGAAGGCTCTGTGTTATTTAATATATAATTATTTGAATTATACATTAATAATTATTAGTTATATTTATACTTAATTCACTGATCGCAATGTATAAATTATATATTATATTTCTTAAATTAATATAATAACAAATATAATTTGTAAAAGAAATTAAATGATTTATATTAAAAATTACAATTGTTAATTATATTATTACCACTATTTAGTGTAAATAGAATTACAATTGGGCATTAAAACACTATTTACATTTTTATATTATATTTATATTATGCCATCGCTTTACATAATTCCTTTTAAAAAAATACTTAATTCAGATCGATGACTTATTATATAAGAATTTCTTAAATTAATAATTATATAATAACATTGTAAATTCATGAATTTATTAAATTGTAAATTAAATTATACAATTTATACATTAGAAAAATAAATTGTTAATATATTATTATCAATTTTTGTGAAATAAAAGAAAACAATTTTGAATTGCCAAATAATTTACTTATAATATATTACAAATATTTTATATATTTGCGTTACATATGCAATAAATTTATATAATAATTAATTCTTTTTATTTATTAGCTCTGAAATGAGTGTATCCGTTTTGTCCCACGGTACATACAACCTTATACCGCCAGATTCTACGGTCGATTGAATTTCGATCCTCTCGCATCCGGCGTTGCAAATAAAGTCGCAAGTCAGAGTGTTTGGATTGAAATGTAGACCCTCAGAGCATGTCACTAAGACAGGATTTTGTCCTTCGCATATCCAGTACTTGTCACAATCATCGTCGGCCCATGGAAGAGGGTTGCATTCTTCTATGCATTTTTGGTTACCAGGTGGTAATCCGATTGTAGTGGTTGTACGAGTTGTCGTTGGCTCGGGAGTGGTAGTGGTAGTTGTAGGTTCGGGAGTGGTAGTGGTAGTTGTAGGCTCGGGAGTGGTAGTGGTAGTTGTTGGCTCGGGAGTGGTAGTGGTAGTTGTAGGTTCGGGAGTGGTAGTGGTAGTTGTAGGCTCGGGAGTGGTAGTGGTAGTTGTTGGCTCGGGAGTGGTAGTGGTAGTTGTTGGTTCGGGAGTGGTAGTGGTAGTTGTTGGCTCGGGAGTGGTAGTGGTAGTTGTTGGCTCGGGAGTGGTAGTGGTAGTCGTTGGTTCGGGTAGTGGTAGTGGTAGTTGTTGGCTCGGGAGTGGTAGTGGTAGTCGTTGATTCGGGAGTGGTAGTGGTAGTTGTTGGCTCGGGAGTGGTAGTGGTAGTCGTTGGTTCGGGAGTGGTAGTGGTAGTTGTAGGCTCGGGAGTGGTAGTGGTAGTCGTTGGTTCGGGAGTGGTAGTGGTAGTGGTAGTCGTTGGTTCGGGAGTGGTAGTGGTAGTTGTTGGCTCAGGAGTGGTAGTGGTAGTGGTAGTTGTTGGCTCGGGAGTGGTAGTGGTAGTCGTTGGCTCGGGAGTGGTAGTGGTAGTTGTTGGCTCAGGAGTGGTAGTGGTAGTCGTTGGCTCGGGAGTGGTAGTAGTAGTGGTGGTACTGTTGCTTCCACAGCCTCCACCTCCAGGTGTGCAGGGTGGTCTGACGGGGAGCGATTCACATCCGGCGTTTTGTGGTTGGTCACAAACCTTTAGAAGAAACACACATTTATTAGTATATAAATTTATTTATATATATATATATATATATTTAAGACAAATTTTGAGATTAGCAAAAATTTGTCTTCTACACTAATATTATAAAGAGGAAAGATTTGTTTTCTTTTTGTACGTTTGTTTGTAATGTAATAAACTCAAAAACTACTTAATCTATTTTAAAAATTGTTCCACGTAAGCGAGTAAAATGGTCTATATATTATTTTCAAAATTTCTTTCTTTCTACTCGTGCGAAGCCGCGGATGGTCGGTAATAATCGTATAAATCGATGCAGTGTGGTCCCAGTATAGAATGGGCCACCACTTCCTTTCCCGTGGGTGTCGTAAGAGGCGACTAAAAGAACTTAATAGTCGAGGGATTAGTAGCAGCGTCCCTCTTAAAACATCATCAAAAGCCTAACTGCGGTTGTCAACTCGCCTGCCAAGCGTGGCAACTACTGGCAAAACCCACTAATAGGGGGAGGTCTATATTTGGTGTCGTTACAAATTCTCAAAAGTACACGTTACTATCTCTCTCTCAAGAACTCCTCTCCCCCCCTCGCATCCCAAAGAGGGGGAAGGGACTGTAAGTAATGCAAACTACCAGTTCTATTGCTAGGAATATACCCTTTTAGGTCAATTTTCATGTTGCTCCCTGGAAACCATCGTGCTGAATTCCATGTGTGTTCATCACGATGGACTAATTGATATGCCTTTTCATTCTCACCTATCATCTCTCGCTGGTGTCATGTTAGCGTATACCGTCAACGCAGACGGAATTATTTCATTATCATCAATTAAAAAGACGCACCAAAAAAACATCAATGGGGCCGCAATAGTATATAACGTTGCATTAAAAAATCTGACCTGCAAGACAGGGTTGAAGTGAAGTCCTCCTGGACAGTCAGTTATCTCTTTCTCTCCGAACACGCAGTAGTAGAATTGACTGCAGTTGGCAGCAGGCAGGAGTAAGGAAATGTCGGGACACACTGGACATCCGTTTGGTAGCCTTGCATCCTCATCACAAGGTGGTTCGGTATCACAGTCGTCCGTGGTTGACGAGCTTTCAACTGTGGTTGTTTCGGCAGGGGGAGCTTCAGTAGTGGTAGTAGAAGTACTACTAGGGGCACTGGTAGTAGTTGTTGTACGTGTGGTAGTGGTAGTCGTTGGTTCGGGAGTGGTAGTGGTAGTCGTTGGTTCGGGAGTGGTAGTGGTAGTTGTTGGCTCGGGAGTGGTAGTGGTAGTCGTTGGTTCGGGAGTGGTAGTGGTAGTTATTGGTTCGAGAGTGGTAGTGGTAGTCGTTGGTTCCGGAGTGGTAGTGTTGCTCCCGCAGCCACCACCTCCAGGAGTGCAGGGAGGTCTGATTGGTTCGCATCCAGCATTTGCAGGATAGTCACAAACCTGCAAAAAGGTATGACCGTTAATAAACATAGAATAGAATAGAATAGAAAAGAATTTTATTGCTAACTGTGTACATACATATAGCTATACACATAACTAAATTCAAAAATACAATGTTGGTGTGCTGACGGCTAGCATCCTTTTCTCGTGCCCTATTTTGTACTTCTAAATGTATATTTATGTTTTTCATTAATATTATAAACAATTTTTTTTTTCCAAGTGCAGAAATATTATTGTTATGAGTTTTTTTTTATTTTTTTACTATTGAAAGAGTACCGCGATTGATCACAATACATTACTACCTTACATTTATCTTTACACACACACACGCACTCATATACACACAACTTACATCTCACAGTTAAGGCTAAATCAGTTAGGGCTTGCCAACATGAGACATTGAAGTGTGAGTGTGCAGCATATTATAAGGTTGTGGTTGTGTGTGTTTGGTTGAATGTGGATCGATTTGTGACGATTCTTCTCTGGTATACGGGATTTAAAGGAATGGAGGGTATAATTTAGTTTCTCGGCTAGCTGAAAGTAGCTGAGCTTTTCGAAATTGTCTCGAGTCTGGGTGTTTTTAGTCTTGTCGACGTATGATCGTCGACCGTTTCCTCATATCTCAGGGTATATCTTAGCTTGAGGAGCAGGCCACTGGTGTGATTGTATGGCACTTATTATATTATTAACTTTTCGCTCACTTCTTCGTACAGATGGATTTCAAAAATTGTAAAATCAATGAAGAACTTCTAGAAGACGTACCGAGATAAAATATATATCAGATAGAATAATTTGAGACTTAGTGCGGATAAAGAGTCCAATCTACATTTTAAATACATCAGATTGGAAGTTAGACTACAGAAACATGCAGGACCAGTTAAACCCAAGTTGAAGGTACGGCAAAAGAACTTTTTGGTAGAGCAGAAGCCATACTTAAGTGACTTCAAAAAAGCGTATCTGTCTAATTTTCTTAAGACCATTCAAGCCCAATGCCCTATCTTTTAAGGTAGGGCATTGCCCCTCAATGTTCCCCTAGCTACGGCCAAGGAAACGCAACTGTGAAAATAGTATCTAGTTTGAGGCAGCAGTTTTTGCGTCATACCGGAACAAACATAGAGATAGATTGATAACATTTTTCAAAATTATTGTGTTTTTGACTTCTGTTGGTCTTATTATGACCCTGTATGTAAATTTTTTAAAACATATTCTATGTACAGTCATCGATTAGTTACAATTTTATTACATTAAAAATAGTTTGGAAACATTGTCGTGTTCATAAAGGAAAGTATTTTAAAATATATTTTGATTTAGCGAATTACCTGTAAAACAGGATTGAAGTGGAGACCTCTTGGGCAATCTCTCTCCACTAGTTCACCAAAGACGCACTGGTAGAATTGACTACAATTAGGCGAAGGGAGAAGCAAGTGGACGTCGGGACAGAGTGGGCAGCCGTTCGGTAATCTTTCATCTTCGTCACACGGCTCCTGTGTGGTCGACAGGTCGGGAGACGGTGAAGTAGTCGTGGTGATGTTTTCGCATCCAGCTATTGCGGGCCACACGCAAACCTGTAAAAGTAACCGCCTTCATAAAAGGGCTGTAGCGGAAAACATTCCGCTCCGCCTATGAATATTGCGACAACACCTTAAATGAAGTTATGAACATGAAGATAGCGGCAGACTGCGGCCGCAGCGCTTTGGCAGCGCGGCTAGCTTCGTTGTGACATCTCATCAAATACATGCGGTAATCAAATACAATTTTTTGGGGGGAAAGGGATTGCTAGTAATGGAGACTGAGAATCCTATTGCTAGCAATATACCCAACCAGGTTGATCTCCTCGCGGTTCCCCCTGGAAACTATCATGGTTAATTCCTGATGAATTCATCATGATGGGCTAACTGGCCTGTTTTCATTCTCATCGATCACCCTTCACTGGTGCTCCAGCGTATCCCGTTACCGCAAGCGGGGTTACCATACCATTTTCACCCATCAAAAAAAAATACCATAATAGTTTCCAGAGGGAACCGCGTGGAGATCGACCTGAAAGGGGTATATTGCTAGAAAAGGGGGTATTAGATCTCATTACTAACAATCCCTTTCCATCCACCTAGTTAATACTCGACTCGGACTCGACACGCCAATACAAAGGTAAACAATTTGACGTCAATGAGTTTAAAGATTACCAGCAACCGTGGCTTATCATAATACGAAGATTATTAGATAAATAAAATCAATTATAACAAATAAAACGTAATTTGTCATCGTAACAAATGTACAAACAAAATAAGTAATTGATTTACCATAAAAAAAAAAATATGTTTACAGTCACGACTTCTTATAGAGACGTCAGTTGGAGCTACAATCGTAGACTCCAGTCCAACACGTGTGTCTGTCGTGATGAAGCTGTACTTGCATGACATTTTTTTTAATGGGTGATAATGGAATGGTAACCCCACCCGCGCTATTGGTATACTCGTACACTGCCGGGGCACCAGTGAGAGATGATAGGTGAGGATGAAGCAGGTCAGTTAGCTCATCGTGACGAATTCAACAAAGACTAATCACGTTGGTTTCCAGGGGGAACCACGTGGAGGTCGATCTGATAAGGTGTATTGCTAGCAATAGATTCATCAGACCCTTTTACTAACAATCCCTTTCCCCCCACTTGCATGGCAATCGGTTTTAAGGGTAGGAGATGGCAGTGAAAGTGTTAAGGCATTATCTATTAGTTTGGGGTGAAGAGATTGTTAGTAATGGGGTTTTAATTGCCCCATTGTTAGCAATATACCCTATCAGGTTGACTTTCACGTGAACCTCCTGGAAACTATACTAGTCAATTCTTGTGACATTCATCCCGACGGGCTAACTGACTTGCTCATCGTCACCTAACATCCCTTACTGAAGGTTAAATTAGTATTTACTAAGGAAAAGACCGTCGTGATCCCGGCACAAAATGGGCCACCGAATCCTTTCACGTGGGTATCGTAAGAGGCGACTAAGAGAACTTAATCGTCAGAGAATAGGTAGCAGTGTCCCTTTTAAAACATGATCAAATCCTACCCACAGTTATCGACCCCCTTGCCTAGTGACGTAACATGATCAAATCCTACCCACAGTTATCGACCCCCTTGCCTAGTGACGTAACATGATCAAACCTACCCACAGTTATCGACCCCCTTGGCTAGTGACGTAACATGATCAAACCTACCCACAGTTATCGACCCCCTTGGCTAGTGACGTAACATGATCAAATCCTACCCACAGTTATCGACCCCCTTGCCTAGTGACGTAACTACTAGCAAAATACCCCTTCTGGAGGCTATGTTCAGCAGTGGACAGTTAAGGGCTAAAATAAAAGGAAAAAAAAATGAAATGACTGCATACAATTATTGTGATTGCTATCAAATAATCATTTATGAAATAAAATTTATTTGCTAGAAACATTCTTTCTTTATTCTTTATTGTACACAAAAGGTTATTAAAATGTAAAAACAAACATAATAGTGCACAAAGGCGAGCTTATCTCCAATAGAGATTTCTTCCAGCAAACCCAATATGAGAAAACTGACAGTTCATTAGTAGTTACAGTCACACGTGTGTACCAATCGACTTAAATGTTACAGGTAGTTAAAAATAAATAAATAAAATGTCTTTACAATTGAAAAGACCGATAGGTATAAATAAATAAATAAATATATAAGTAAATACATATAAATATTGTAGAACAGGTGTTGCATTTGTGAAGTTTATAAGATGTCCATTGTGTTTCGCCACATCAAATGGCGTGCAAATATTAATTGTTGAATTTATCTACAGATAGGCCGTTTTATAAAGGTACATTATATATTTAATTTTCAATTATTTACTACATTATACTATGAATCACTATTAGTACCAAGTGCACACTTTGGTCATGCATTATAAGCAGTCGATAAAGCTATTACAAATAATAAACATGATAGAAATGTCAAATAAAATTTGAAAATACAATATAAATTTCAAACTAAGTCAATGTCACAACATCTTATATATAAAATTCTCGTGTCGCGGTGTTTGTTACCAAACTCCTCCGAAACGGCTTTACCGATTTTTATGAAATTTTGTGTGCATATTGGGTAGGTCTGAGAATCGGTCAACATCTATTTTTCATACCCCTCAATGATAAGGGTGACCCACTTCTAAATATTTTTTTTTATTTTTTTGACAAAATTTTTATATTTTTTATTTTATTATGATTTAGCATTGAAAAATACATACAACTTTAAATTTTCACCCTTTTTCTATCAACCCCTGTTTTTTAATCGCGATTTTTATATGCTGCAATATGGTTGCAAGATGGCAATCGAATATAATAATTGTAGTACGATAAATTTTCATATATAGTTCTCGAAATAATGTATATGGTAAAACAGCGTTTGCCGAGTCAGCTAGTATATATATATATATACATTTATAGCTTACAAAAATTCATTAATATTGTAAAATATTTATTGTTTTTGAAATAATTTAAGAGAGATAAAAGTTATCTTTTCCTTTTATAATAAAATATCTATGTGTAATTATTTTATAATACATTTGTAACTAATCTATCAATACTTGCATCGGATTATATTGTTTCCTGATGATAATATTTGAAAACAGTTTCTTGGAACGGAATATAAGGAAATATAATTTCAATTGGTGTATTGCTGACGTGCTGACTTTTATAACCATATATTTTTAGATGTTTTTTATACTTTTGTGTTAAAATTGCGCTGGTTTGGTCATTTGGAGAGGATGGATGAAAGAAGAATTACGAAAGAGATTTATCGTGTAAGAATGAATGGAGATATCAGTAGGGGCCACCCTAGACGGACGTATGTCGACCAAATAGGCGACGTGCTGAAGAAAGGCCAAATTAAAAGTACCCGTAACCAGCGAGCGTGTATGAAAAGATTGATGAATGTGAAAGAAGTGAAAGAGGTTTATTTGAATCGAAGCATTTGGCGTTCCATTGTTTCTGCCTACCCTAATGGGAGACAGGCGTGACAGATATGTGTGTATGTATGTATGTAATTACTTATATATAAATATATAATTACTTCCTTCTATCCAACGGTTGTCGATCGTTTTTAGCGATAATGTCGCCCATTGTTTTCTCAGTGTGGACATATTTTGTAATTGTTTTTATCTATTTATTATAGTAACATTTAATTTTAATTTATTATAATATAATTGTAATTTTTTGGAGGAAACAATAACAAGATATATATATATATATATATATATATATATATATATATATATATATATATATATATATATATATATATTTATGTATGTATATGTATATATATATAAAATAAGTTTATTTTCTCTGCTTAGATGTCCAAAAAATATATATCCTAAATTCCAAAATGGCCGTACTAGTCCAAGTGGGATATTTGTTATATGGACTAAGTTTATTTAAACATTGAAAACTGTTTCTTATTTACGGTTATAGTTTACGGCTTATATTACTTATATATTATATTGGCAATTTAAATAAATATAATCTTTATATTATATTATATACGTTTAAAAATTAATACATTTTTATATTATAAATATAAAAATGTATTAATTTGTAAATTTTTATCATTTTATTAAATGGATTATGCCCTTCATACGCTTTCTGTTCTCACCCAATGGTTAGCTGGTAGAGAATGCCATATGGCATTAAGCTCGCCGTTTATACAAAATTTTATTGTGCAATAAAGAATAAATAAATAAATTATTATTTATTTTAATTGCATTAATCATGTTCTTGCTGATTGCATTGTTAATAGATTGTAATCATCGCCAAAAGCGATTCATCATTTTCAAATATCAGCCTTTTGTATCTAAACATAAGCCTTTAGCTTTGGCAGGTGGATTACCGCAGTTTTTAGAGATGTTTTAACAGGGGCGCTGCTGCCCATCTCTCGCTTTCCCTTAGTCGCTTCTTACGACAGCCACGAGCCACCTATTGTCCGCATAACGCGTCTGTATAACAATATGTATTGTTAAAAACAAGCCTGAACTTGATATTCACAACGATTGTCACTCTGTTTATGGCTAAATTAAAATGTTGATGTACCTCCCCATTACATTATATATATATATATATATATATATATATAATTTATAATAATTTAATTATAATTTCCATTACTTATATTATATTATTATTCATATTGTTAATATCTTTACTCATATAATGACATTTAATAATTTAATTCTATTTCAATGTTTATCAAACACAAGGCACGCTGTGGTCGCCTATAAATGTAAGAACAGTTAGATCTAATCTGCCAGTGTATTGTATTGAAATGTTTAGCTGTATCTTATGTTGGTGATCCTATAAATAAATAAATTAGATATTGATATCTTGGAAAGTCCAGTTGTAATGGAAACTGTTTTCAAATTATTTCCCCCAAATTTGAAATCTCCATAATATTGCAAAGAAATGTCATAAGCTATTTATCATCTTTCATCTTCATCATCAATAGGTATATATTCATCACTATTTTATTTTATATTATTTCAGGAATCTCCTTTATTTTGATTAAAACAATTTTGGTTCTCTTCAGTTTCTAATCATCTATTACGTCCATTAATATAATTATTAAATTTATAAATTTCATCAAATTTAATAATTACTAATATAACTAATTCACACACCTGCAGTGATGCACTGAAATGTGTCCCTGGAGCGCAGTCTCTTACGACCTTCTCACCGAACACACAATAGTAGAATTTGTCGCAGTCCGTCTCGTGAGGCAGTAGAAGGTGCACATCGAAGTCGTCAGGACATTCATTAGGTAGATCCTCACCAGAATCTATGTCAGGATCACCGCTACCTTCAACCTCTTCAGAGCTTGTGTTCTCACAACCTGCAGATCCGGGCCAATCGCAAACCTATATGTTATTGACAGAAAAGGTTTTGTCAAACAGTTGTCTTTCAAGTGTTTCTTAGAGCTCTTCATTGATATAGGCAAATATATCATCACGTTGACTTTTGTAGAATTCCACACTTCAAACGTTGTAGTCACGAATGGGACCTTTCACCTTTTATTGACCAAAATTACTTTTTCTGTGTTATAAACACAGGGAGCAAACGAGCATGCGACTACTACCGAGCACTCACAGCACCAGAGACAATGCAGGTGTCCTGTCGGCCTTTTAAAAAGGAATATGCTCTTTTCTTGAAGGCTATGATATCGTATCGGTACGGAAATTCTGCTGCTGTTGATTCTAAAGAGTGCTTGAAGTTCTTCTTAGATGTAGGCTTATTTATCATCACGTTGACTTGAACTTGTACACTTCGTATGTCAATGCAATTACAGATTGATAGGTTATCAGCAAAAAGTTTAAGTATATAAAAACGAGTTTCAAGATTTCTGTACGTTTCCCTTTGATGTAGGCTAATTTTGTCATCACTTTGATTTAAGCGGGATTCTACATTTCATTGATTAAAACTGATCACACATTGCAAGGGAGGTAGTTTTGACAAATATGGCGACCAAGATTTCTTGGAGTTTTTCTTAGATACTGGTTTATTTATCATTACTTTGATTTGTGCAGAATTCCACAGTTCATAGGTTATAATCACCACTTTGTTATGTATATATAGTATTATAAAATTTCTGCATAGTATTGAAAATATATATCTCCTTTAGTTTTAATGCTCAAGAGCTTATCAACTATTCTGCAACAGGCTTATCATCACTTTAAGCGTAATTTTGAGCATAATCCAACTGTATATTGTCAATGTGAACACAGGCATACCATCACACTGACTTATATATATAATTATATAAAAAATTCTACACAGTATTGAAAACAATGTATATCCCCTTTAGTTTCAATGCTCAAGAGCTTATCAACTATTCTGCAACAGGCTTATCATCACTTTAAGCGTAATTTTGAGCATAATCCAACTGTATATTGTCAATGTGAACACAGGTATACCATCACACTGACTTATATATATAATTATATAAAATATTCTACACAGTATTGAAAACAATGTATATCCCCTTTAGTTTCAATGCTCAAGAGCTTATCAACTATTCTGCAACAGGCTTATCATCACTTTAAGCGTAATTTTGAGCATAATCCAACTGTATATCTGTATCATCTTATTTATTTATTAATTTATTTCTTATTGCGTTCCATAATGTGATTAGTAGATAACATTTCAACTTCAATTATGGACCCTGTCGGGCACAGCAAGTAGGAGAGAGGAGGACAACACTTTTTTCACTTTAGAAATACTTCAAGAGTTTGTAACAATATTATCCAGTCATTGATATTATTTTACAATAGGTACGTATTTTCTGTATTCTGTATTCATTATTAAAGTATTTGTGTGTATCTATACATATTGTAACTGTAATTAATATTATATGGTTATTATATATATTCTAGTTATTAAATATAATAGCAAACAAGCTGACGGCCCACCTGATGGAAAGTGGTAACCGTCGCCTATAGACATGAGCAGTACCATGCACATAACAGAGTATACTGTTTCGCCCATGATACCCCCCATGCGTTGCCATTCCTGAGGACTCAGGTGTTAGAGAGAGGCTTATGTCCAGCAGTGGACAGTTAAAAGCTGACATGACGATGACGATTTATAAAATAAATTTTGTCAATTTAAATAAAACTGTAGTAATTTTTAGAGTCTCATACCTCATAAGGTAAAACAGAAAATAGGTACAATAAAATATATACGTATATCATTACTGCACTGATTTTGATAGTATTTTGAATTTATTAGAAACTAGTTTTATAATTCATAGGTCGGTAATGGTGGTTACCAAGTTGCGACTTTTATTTATATCTCATAAAAAAAAAATAGATTTGTAATCAAAATTTTAAATCATTCATAAATTCTTTCATCTTTTATATTTATTACTTTGACTTACTCGTATTTCATTATTATTTATAGATCACTTATTACTTTTATTCACGTGGTATTTTAATTATTGTTCATAGGTTATTAATTACTTTTACTCACGCGGTATTTTAATTATTGTTCATAGATTATTAATTACTTTTGTTCACGTGGTATTTTAATTATTGTTCATAGGTTATTAATTACTTTTACTCACGCGGTATTTTAATTGTTGTTCATAGATTATTAATTACTTTTGTTCACGCGTTATTTAATTATTGTTCATAGGTTATTAATTACTTTTGTTCACGCGTTATTTAATTATTGTCCATAGGTTATTAATTACTTTTCTCCACGCAATATTTTAATTATTGTTCGTAGATCATGAATTACTTTTATTTTTATTTAATGACTTACATATATTTAATGAGTGCTCGTTCTATTTATTTATTTATTATTGTTTATAGATTATTAATTACTTTTAATTAATGTAAATAAAATTAAAATAAAAAAAAATACGGTATTTAATTATTGTTAATTTTATTTATTTATACTTTGCGGTACAAAAAGCGGTCTCAATGCAATACCTATAACATTCTATACCAGTCCACCTTTACATTATTAATTACTTTTACTTACACCATTGATTATTAATTTATTTTTATTTATGATGTATTCTGCTGTTGATAATTTCTTAATACCACTACAAGCCTAACGACGAAAGAGATTATGATCGATTAATTCCGATTAATACACAGTTATCTATTTAAATATGACATGTTCTGTAGTAATTTACTAATGTAGGCTTAGTTTATATCATCACCTCCGTTATATTTATCTATTTATTTTCTAATTTCTATTTATAAAAATTTTAAAGTTATAATATCAGTCTTATCCGCAACTGTTAAATATTCTGAACTTTATTCTATACAAAATCCCATAGATAAGATTGCAGTCATATTTTAGATAAGTCGACATTTTTCATACACGTGTGTCAAAAATATTTATGTATTTTTTTTTTAAACAAATGTTTCCGATGCTGAAGGTTTTAAATTAATTGTTTGTATAATTTTAAATTTGTTTATATTTTTTTGTCAGTGGTTTACAACTGATTTAATATTAACAAGTATTTTACTTGTGTATTTAAATAAATTTTATTTAACTTTTACTTGTGTATTTAATTAAGTTTTATTTAATTAAATAAAATTAATAATTAAATAGAAATTAACTAATTTCTAATATAGAAATATTTTCTAAATCTATAATTTATAAATACGATTTTTAGACTAAACTCTTTTTTTTTCTAACTGTGTATGCTGTTGGCCGCAGATGGCCTTTACAGCTTCACCGGACGCGTATGCAGGGGTGAGTGCGGACGGAACTTCAAGCTTGCGAGAGGGCGACAGAGGTGTCGACTGTTACTTATGGACTGCGGCGTGCGCTTAAGGGCTCGGGCCTAGGCCACCGCACTTCGACCTGCGTCTAGGAACGGCGAAGGGTCGGTACGTCGTGATGGGTGGGGACTCGGGATCGTAGGGAACTAAACTCTACTTCAAGTATGTTGCTTGTTTCAAAAAAGAACGTTAGCTGAAGTTCTAGATATGACCTATCTCGTTTTATATCTCCTTCATTCAATTTATTTAATATAAACTATTAAATTAAATTGCCTTGTGGTCCCAGCATAGAATAGGCCGGAGGGATGGGCAGCAGCGTCCCTCTTAAAACATTTAAAGCCTAACTACGGTTGCCAAACCGCCTGCCAATCATTGCAGCTACTGGCAAAACCCCCTAAGAGGGACGTTTATGTTCAGCAGTGGACAGTTAAAGCTTGACATGATGGTAATTAAATTAAATGACGTTTTTAGTTACCAAGTCTTGTTGAAATTATCCCAAGTCCCAAGTCTTGTTGAAAAATCCCCCTCCGCACTGACAGTATACACTAGCGGAGCATCAGTAAGGGATGATACGTGAGAACGAAAAGAAAGGTCAGTTAGAATACACCTGGGATTCAGCACAATGGCTCTTAGGAAGGTCCACGTGGAGGTCGACCATTATCCGTTTGTTTATATTTCCATTAAGTGTTATTGAAACTGCAATGTCAAATACTGCGTAAACAGTTACTTACTTGCAGTGTTGGGTTGAAGTGGGTACCTCGAGGACAATCTCTCTCGACTAACTCCCCGAATGCGCAGTAGTAGAACTTGCTGCAGTTACTCTCGTGCGGTAAAAGTTGATGAACGTCGAAGTCGGACGGGCAACCGTTTGGGAGTGTTCCATTCTCGTATGGTTCCTCTGTGGTTGATCCCGGGTTGGGTGTTGAATCTGGGTTGATGGTTGGGTTTGAGGTGACAGTTGAGTCGGGATTGACAGTTGGGTCGGGATTGGCAGTGGTACTTGAGTTTGCCGCATCAGTTGGTGGTCCCGGCAAATCGCAGTTTGCTAACGACGGATGTACACACACCTGTAATATATTATTACATTATAACATTTGCTACGTTTGTTTCAATTCAATACAAATATTATAATTGTGAAAGTGAGTTTGTTTGTTTGTTACCTCTTAACGTCATAACGGTTGAAACAATCATTATGAAATTTGGTACACATCGTCATCTTCCTACCCTTATCCTAATTATTATTTGGGGTCGACGTAATGTGTTTGTGTGTGTGTGTAGATGTGTTTACATCTATTATACAAAAAAGACGGGATGGATGGGCTGACTGCTCTGCCTTTTCATCTTCACCTATCATCCCTTACTGGTGCTCCGTCAGCGTATGCCGTTAGCGCAAGCGAGGTTACCATTCTATTATCATCCATTAAAAAAAAACCTTTTTACTAACAATCCCTCCCCCTTTGGGTCTACTTAGTATGGAATTATACGGCACTCTCTTTTCACTCAAGAGTTTCCTGATGTCGAGGTAATTAATTCATGCATTCTCTTCCAGCCAGCTCTATTCCAGGCCATATCTTTGACTTCCCTCCCTATAAGACGGCATTATGAAATATATGCCGTTATATGAAATATATATTTGTTAAATATTATAAGTAGTATTTATGTGTTATATGTGTATTTTTTTATGTATTATTATGTATAATTATTTCAGTATGTTGCTATAATTATGTCATAAATTTTTTACCACATCTGCCCTTCATACGCTTTCTGTTCTCACCTAATGGTTAGCTGGTAGGGAATGTCATATGGCATTAAGCTCGCCACTTGTACAAAGTTTTATTGTGCAATAAAGAATAAAATTAAATTAAAATAAATATATTATTTCTATTATAAGTAGAGTCTGTAAAGCAGTTGTGTTTGCATGGTTGTGTTTCGGTTTGAAAGGTGGGATATGGCGTGAATTTACTGGATACAGAGGAATAACACCTGAGTCCTCAGGTATGACAACGCATGGGGGGTATCATGGGTGAAACAGTATACTCTTATGTCCATGGTACTGCTCATGTCTATAGGCGACGGTTACCACTTTCCATCAGGTGGGCCGTCAGCTTGTTTGACATTCTAAGTTGTATAAAAAAAAACACTTACTTGTAAAGCGTAAGAGAATTCCGTGCCAGGAGCACACTGTCTTGGCTCTGTCCACTTAAGTCCATACTCGCAGTAGTAAAACAACGTACAGTCGTACTCGTGGGGTAACAGCCAGTGTATATCTGGGGGACACTCGTCACATTCTTCCACAGCATTCGGGTTGGGTAAGATGTTACCTTGGGCGAGTGCCAGGGCGGAGAGAAATAAAAGTTTTCCTGTGAAAAAACATATAGGACATATAAATAAAATACATGGAAAATAATAAAAAAAAAATGAGAAAAGAGTATAGATTAAAAGTAAAAATTAAAAGACTAACGAAAATAATTATAATAAAGGAAAAAGTGACAAAACTGTTTTTTTTTGTGGTAAAAATCTGACGGTTTACGTAATTTATTTGTGTATTTTATATATATATATATATATATATATATATATATATATATATATATATATATATATATATATATATGTTTATTAATGGCAACCTGAAGACTAATGTTTTACGATGTCCATACTATAATGTGCATGCATTGGGATTAATATACATGCATACTATAATTTGCATGCCCTATCCAACCGTTCAAATCATGGGGGAAAGGAATTGTTAGCAATGGAGTTTGACAGCCCCATTGCTATCAATATACCCTATCAGGTCGACCTCCACGTGGATCCTCTTGGAAACCATCGTGAACAATTCTTGTTGAATTCGTCACGATGGGCTAACTGACTTGCTTCATCCTCACCTATCATCCTTCACTGGTGCCCCGCCGGTGTATAGCGATAACGCGGGTGGGGTTACCATTCCATTATCACCCATTAAAAAAAAACCGTTCAAATCGAAACATAGTCATGACAGCATAGCTGCTTCACGGGTTGAAACACGGGTGGGTCATAAAACAAAATTTCAGAGCATTATTGCGTTATTAAATAAAACTATAATATAAGAAACATTGCCGTGTGATCCCGGCGTAGAATAGGCCCCTTTCCTTTCCTGTGGGTGTCGTAAGAGGTGAATAAGGGAGGACGGGGAATGGGCAGCAGCGTCCCTATTAAAACATCCCTAAAGCCTTTTTTTTTTATACAACTTAGAATGGCAAACAAGCTGACGGCCTACCTGATGGAAAGTATTCAGTACCATGGACATAACAGAGTATACTGTTTCGCCCATGATACCCCCCATGCGTTGCCACTGAGGACTCGGGTGTTATTCCTCTGTACCCTATAAATTCATGTCATATCCCACCCTTTAAACCGAAAGACAGCTATGCAAACACAACTGCTTTACGATAGAAACACGAATGGGATAGAGGTACCCAAGCAATCGACTTTTGTACAAAGTCTCCCTGCGGTTGCCAATCCGCCTGCCATGCTTGGCACTACTGGCAAAGCCCCCTAGAGGAAGGATTATATTTAGCAGTGGACAGTTAAAGACTGGCATAATGAGAGCTTTGTATAAGTGCGTTGTTTACTCTGAAAAACCCCTTTTGAAATTTGAAGAACTGTGGGTTCCTTTATTCAATTGTTTTTCAAAGGAGTTTCCTTCCACAAACACTTTAGTTCTTTTTATTTTTATGCAACTTAGAATGGCAAATAAGCCAGGCCCACCTGATGGAAAATGGCCGTCTTAATCGCCTCTTACGACACCGATGGGAAAGGAAGGGATGGCCTATTCTATGCCTAGACTACACGATTACTACGGCCGGGACTATAAATCCCTATTAAAACTATACTTTTTAGAAAAATCTATTAATCTTATTAAAGGAATTAATCACTTCTTGTATTTTTTTTTAAATTTAATTAGCATGCATAAATTCATTAAAAAAGAATGGATTTTTAGTACCACTTAAACCTCTTGGGCTTGTGCGTGTGTGGTACTTTACATTTCGTTGTCAAATGTCAATATTTACATTAATATTCTGCGGTTTCAGCAAGGTTGGACGGTAAACAAGCTTTCAGTTTAAACTTTATGTTTTTAACAGTGATATCGTTTCGCAAGTCGTCTTTTTTGGTTTTTATTTAAATGGGTGAAAATAGATTGGTAACCCCGCCCGCGCTATCGGTATACACCGACGCGGCACCAGTGGAAGATGATAGGTGAGAATGAATGCAGGTCAGTTGGCCCACTATGATGAATTCGACAAGAATTAAACATGATGGTTTCCAGGGGGAACCGCGTGGAGGTCAACCTGTGAGGGTATATTGCCAGTAATGGGGCTGTTAGACCCCATTACTAGCAATCCCTTTCCCCCCTAAGCCGGTAGGTAGGGAATTTACTAATCGCGGTATTGAGGTAGGCGCTCGTTCGCTCGTTTCATTCAATCAACGTTTTGAAATTTGTTCAACGACTTACCGTACATGGCGCCTGGTCGACGCGCTCAGACTTATTGTCACTTTATTGTTTTACACAGCAGTTCCACGTGTCACTTTCTTGTAATTCATCTGTTTATCCTCCCAAGTACATATATATATATGTTTTTCAACAATATTATCAGATTAATCGACGATATATAATAATTACATATAGATTACAAGATATCGGCTTGATGTACACGAAAGCGTAGGATTACAGCGTGTTATTTTAATTTTACAAGATAACTGTATTGTAACGTATAATCCTGTGTATATACTTGTTAGTGTTTTCCTTTAATGGGTGATAATGGAACGGTAACTCCCGCGCTATCGGTATACACTGACGGGGCACCAGTGATGGATGATAGGTGATGATGAAAACAGGTGGTCCACCATGAAATGAAATTTCGAATTTTCGGGCTCAATTCTGTGTTTTTGTTTGTACCAAAATTGACCCAGTAAATGGAGCTTAACATTTCGTTGATCATAAATTCTGTCCTAATAGTCCAGAGGAACGATATTTTAACATTTTTAATAATTTTAAACGGCATGTATTTTGTAATTTTAACATCAAATTTCTGTTTCGTTCGTCCCAGGAATTTCGGAAAATATTTCATAGTAGGCCCTCTGGTCAGTTGGCACGTCGTGACGGAATCAAAAAGAATTGACCACGATGGTTACCAGCAGGAACCGCGTGGAGATTGACCTGAGAGGATTATATTTTTAGCATTAATGAATGAATGAATGAATGAATGAGTATACTTTATTTGCATTATACAATATAGGAAATAAGCAAGACAATTTACAAACGCAACGATACAGTTGTATAAGTACAGTAAGGCGGTCTTATTGCTGAAAGCAATCTTTACAAGACAACCTTAGGGTAATAGACTAATTGTTGTACAAGTAGGTATGATAGTGCTGTATAATTAAAAAAAGCATGTTTTGCAAATTAAAAATATATAAAAAATTAAATATACACACTAGGCACAATTATAGGCACAAGGAAAATAAAACAATCATAAATTTAATGGATGATATTTTTATTTATTTATATTATTTATTTTAGATAACTTGGATCCAATTTTTTTAGTAAGTGTACTTAAAAACAATCTTAATACTTAATCACTAATAACGATCTAGTCCTCTCGTCGAACATTCTCACGAGAGGACTATCTAATTTATTCACAAACATGTTCAGGATACTGTTGCCACTCCCGCGCATTCTGTGTAAGAACGAAGCTGTCTTTTTACGTCAGACAGCGCCAAAACTATCTGTACGAGCTTCGGCAAACATCGGTGAGACGCTGCATAATCGCATAATGGAATGGTAACCCCGCCTGCGCTATCTGTATACACTGGCGGGCACCAGTGAGGGATGATAGGTGAGGATGAAACGGGTCAGTGAGCCCATCGTGACAAATTTATCAATAAATCATATTATGGTGGTTTCCAGGGGGAGCGCAATCGCGAGGAGGTCGAACTAATAAGGTATGTATGTATGTATGCTATATGTATCCTGAGTCCTCAGGAATGGCAACGCATGGGGGGTATCATGGGCGAAACAGTATACTGTGTTATGTCCATGGTACTGCTCATGTCTATAGGCGACGGTTACCACTTTCCATCAGGTGGGCCGTCAGCTTGTTTGCCATTCTAAGTTGTATAAAAAAAATACTAAAATCGCCATTACTGACAATCTCTCTTCCCCCCGAGTTATGAGGTAACAAACATAAAAAAAAAAACTGAATCGAGATTCTATTTTATGAAGTCGTTGTTAAATATAGATTCAGGGATCTTGGAGTTTTCGGAATAATTGGATTAGAAGGTGGAATTCACGGAATTGATTGCATTGCTGATAACATTTATAAACGTATCACGGAAGCCTGGCTGCCTTGTAGACAGGAAATGTTGATAAGGCCACAATGCCAATATGCTTATCTAAACAACGGTACTTTACCAGCGGGGCACTTTGTACAAACTGGTCTGCAAGAGGACATCATCACCTTCATGTCGGCCGTTACCTGTTCACTGCTGAAGGTGTACTTCCCCTTGGGTAGTTTTAGTGCTACGCTTGGTAGGTGGGTTGGAAACTGCAGTTTGGCTTTGGTGATGTTTAAAAAGAGAGGAGAGGGAGATTTTGTACAAAAGTCGATTGAGATACCCAACCTCTGTCCCATTCGTGTTCCAATCGTAATGCAGTTGTGTTTGCATGGCTGTGTTTGAAAAGTGGGATATGGCGTGAATTTACTGGCTACGGGGAAATAACACCTGAGTGTTCAAGAATGACAACGCATGGGGGTTATCATGGGCGAAACAGTATAACAGTATACTGCTCATGTCTATAGGCGACGGTTACCACTTTCCATCAGGTGTGCCGTCAGCTTGTTTGCCATTCCAAGTAGTATAAAAAAAAGAGACGCTGCTGTCCATCCTTCGACCATTCATTCATTCGTTTCAGTTTATTAATTTATTTATTTTGTGATACATAGGTAACAATGGATGGTAAAATAAGATAAGTCCACTATGATCAATCTTTATATCGAGGTAGGTATACAAATTCGCAATTATATAATAAAATATATCTAATATATAAAATTCTCGTGTCGCGGTGTTTGTTACCAAACTCCTCCGAAACGGCTTTACAGATTTTCATGAAATTTTGTGTGCATATCGGAGAGGTCTGAGTATCGGCCAACATCTATTTTTCATACCCCTCAATGATAAGGGTGACCCACCCCTAAATATATTTTTTTAATTTTTTTGACATTTTTTTTTTATTTTTATTTTATTATGACTAAGCATCGAAAAATACATACAGCTTCAAATTTTTACCCTTTTACGATCAACCCCTGTTTTTTAATAGCCATTTCTCAATAAGTGGTAAAACAACGTTTACGGGGTCAGCTAGTATATATATATAAAAGAAAATCAATAATGTCACATTTACAGTAAAAAAATCATAATATCATGGAAGCCATTAAGTTCCCTTAGTTGCCTCTTACGAATTCTTTCTCTCTGCTGTGATTAGAAGTAGATGAAGACACATGGCGAGGACCTAGATCGAGACAGGCCTCGTCGACGGTACACTAACATCGTAAAAACCACGACCATTCTGTCAAAAGTAAATGCAAACAAGTGTATATACATAAAACTAGTTAAAATAACACGTAACGGAATAGAGACGTGGAAAATAATATATATATATATAAAAAAAACAAGATGCAATTAACTCTCAAAATAGGGGGAAAGGGATTGTTAGTAATGGAGACTGAGAATTGCTAGCAATATACCTAACCAGGTAGACCTCTTCGCGGTCCCCCCTGGAAACTATCATGGTTAATTCCTGATGAATTCATCATGATGAGCTAACTGGCCTGTTTTCATTCTCACCTATCACCCTTCACTGGTGCTCCGCCAGCGTATCCCGTTAGCGCAGGCGGGGTTACCATACCATTTTCACCCATCAAAAAAAAAAAACTCAAAATAGATCACTTTTGGTAATTTTTGATAAATTCACAAGCCGGATATTGGGTTTTCTGTCTAGCTGATAAAGAGATAAGTGATAAAAGAGAACATAGTTACATTTATCTATATTACGGAAAGGGGGAAGATTTTGTCTAATATTCCTTCAAAGGGTCCCCACATAGTACCATTTTGCGTTTTTCTTTAAATGGTTTTTTTTTTAATTTTTTTTTACTACAAAGGGGGCAAACGATCATCACCTCTCTCACTCGTTTGCCCCCTGTGTGGTAAACTCGGCTCACCTGATGGTAAGTGACTACCGCCGCCCATGATCACCCACAACACCTACGGCATTGCAGGTGTGCTGCCGGCCTTTTAAAAAGGAATATGCTCCTTTCTTGAAGGTTATGTTGTCGTATCGGTTCGGTAATACTGCTGCTGGAAGTTGATCCCAAAGAATGGTTGTGTGATAATGGAATGGTAACCCCACCCGCGCTATCGGTATACACCGGCGGGGCACCAGTAGAAGATGATAGGTGAGAATGAAGCAGGTCAGTTAGACCATCGTGACGAATTCAACAAGAATTGTTCACGATGGTTTCCAGGGGGAACCATGTGGAGGTCGACCTGATAGGGCATATTGCTAGCAATGGGGCTGTCAAACTCCATTGCTAACAATCCCTTTCCCCCACCAGTTTGGGGTTATATACGCCTACAATATCAATTAGAGTGAAAAAGAATTGTTAATAATGGGTATTAGAACCTCTATTGTTAGCAATAGACCCTGTCAAGTCGACCTCCTCGCGGTTCCCCCTGGAAACCATCATGACTGATTCATTAGTGAATTTGTCACGACGGGCTAACTGACCTGCTTTCATTCTCACCTATCATCCCTCACTGGTGCCCCGCCGGTGTATACCAATAGCGCGGGCGTGGTTACCATTCCATTATCATTCATTAAAAAAACAATACCAATTAATATTATATATACCTTTCAGAGGGAGACTTTGTACAAAAGTCGTTTGCTTGGGTACCCCTGTCCCAATCGTGTTTCAGTCGTGAATCAGCTGTGTTTGCATGGCTGTGAGCGAAACAGTATATTCATGTCCATGGTACCTACTGCTCATGTCTATAGGCGACGGTTACCGCTTTCCATCAGGTGGGCTGTCAGCTTGTTCGCCAACAACCATCCTCGTGCTTCAAGGAATAATCTAAAAAAGAATTAGCGAAATCGGTTCAGCTATTCTCGAGATAGCGTTTAGCAACACATTCAGCGATTCAATTTTATAGACGATATCACATGTGATAAATCACGAGTAGTGATTTTCGCTCGTAATAGCTTAATGTCGCACTCGCTACTTTCTGCTATTCAATGTGAAATATAATTTACGTTTTTTATGATAAAAACGAGCGAATAGACACTTTAATACAGTGTGATAAAGTCGCTATTTACTCGCTCTGCACAGCCCATCGGTTGCGATTTCACTTCACAGCTAACCGAGCGCTGCCGACAACTCACGAATACATCCGAACGCGACGAATTTGTGGCAGCTTTGTGAAGCGAGTATGTCTTAAACACATAACATTAAAAATATTTGAATTTAGAACATATGTGTCTAGGAGTAAAGTTTGGATTTAGAACGCGGAGTAGTGCGTTTACCAATAAATTTTGCTTTACAGCA